TCAAGACATTTGATATGCACTTCTTTTCTTGGAATATTTTGCTTTAGTTTTCCAGCTCGAACAGCTGATAGTTTCGAAGAACTTCGACTGATGTGCAATGCGACACGGTGAACTGAACTTAGGACTGTTGTAGTCATCTTTCCTCTCTGTACTTTTCCATACTTACCAAATTCCTTGGATTTGTAAGACTTGTCTTAGTGATAGTATATTTCCTATCCATACTAGAATCATCCCAAGCTCCAGGAGACTTCTTCTGGAGCTTTAAGCATTCTTCTGGTGGTTCTCAGACAGGTTTTAGAGGTCATTTGGGTGTCCTGGAGTTCTTGAGGATCTATGTATTAAGTGGTATTAAATTACAATATAAATATTCCTAAATCTACATGCTGCTTATACTCAGTTAAATTGTTCATTGGGTATATTTTCTATTTGGTATATATTTAATTGACCCACAAACAAACAACAACAACAAGGTATTTACTGAGACTGATAATATTAGGGAATGCTGGCATCAATAACTGATAGGCAATTGTGACTGCGTATTGATTATGGATCAGAGTACAGCTAACATTTCAAGGCAGTGGGAAACGCTGGCGGAGCGAAATCCCACTCCCTTCCCTCTGTCGCGGCTTCTCTTTTTTTCTTGATCATTTCACTCTTTTATTAATGTCTTATATTAAAATAATCTCAAATTATTTTCCCCTTGCATGACTAGTTGGACTCAAATCTTAAAAGCATCCAATCCAATTTAATTTTAGGAGATCAAGTCAAGCAAAGCATTGAATTATGAAATACATTATAATAATGAATATTAAAAAATGGTGGCATCATTTTACCACAAATAGCCATCAGGGTATATTTGTGTATGATGTTACATGGCTATATGAATTGCTCACAATTGCTTCTATAGAATCAGTCTTTATTTGGCATAAGGCCTCACAGATATATAGTTTCAAAGCATCCTTCAGTGTTCCTGAATTATTAATAAGTGTGGTTATATGAGGAATAAATGTCCAGTGTCAGATGTAATGTCACTAACTTTGATGAAATTGCAGGTTGACAGAAGTGCTTTAGCTGCAGGTTTAATATTGTGATTGTAGAGAAACTGAAGAGAATACAGTGAGGATAATTCCAGTGTTATCAGGGGTAAGCATCTGAATTGATCATAACAAGTAAAAAAGCACAAAGAAGCCTTCGATGAGGAAGTGAAAAATAGATATTTCCGGGGGCAAATCACGTCACGTCCATCTGAGGCCGAGACCAGAGTGCAGGCGTTTACATTTTTTATCATCCCCCCTTTGGCTACAGAGGGATGGACGCAGAGGCAGACTGGCGTTTCCCTAAAACTCATCCGACAGCGTGTTGAACTAACTCAAACTGAACTGACTGAATCCAGAATGGCTCTCTGTGAAACAGGCGGGATGAGCCTTGAGATTGTTAAGTTCTAAATCCTTATCTTAATTCTTAAAATGAACGATGAGCAGGAAGAAAACAAAAAAAAATGTTTTATATATAAAGACATAGTGAAAAACGACGCTTCTTAAATTCAATATGAATGAATATTCATATATATATTTTAACTTTGAACGTGCAAATACATTTTTGAAGGTGAGTTTTTTTTATTTACTAAATGTAAATAACCTAGTTTAACCTTAAAATACCATTCCAACAGTTTTCAAAATGTTCAGGTTAGTCTGAATTGTCTCAAATAAGAAATAATGGTTGTAATTATTTGAAATGTAAAGCAAATTTATTTATGGCATTTCAACTGAAAATCCACGAAAGAGCTTAGCCATTTTACTTTGAGATATGAATGAATGTTGTTTCAGTTTCTCTCTTTAAAATCCAAAGTGCATAATTTAAAGTCATTTATTTTAAGGGACACAAATGCATTGAAAAAGGGATTCATAAAATAAAAATTTCAGTAAAGCATGGCTTAGGACATGTCTTTTTTAATTGGGCATATTGTATTCGGTTCAATGACAGTTCTCTGTCATTGAACCGTTTCTCTATATAATCACAACAGGAAACATTTTTAAATAAGCTGATCCAAATCAAATCCACAGACGTAATACTTACTTCATTAAAATGTTGCACCCACTTCTATGTGAGTTGAAAATATCATCCTAATTGGGACAAAATATCTAAAACAAACGTAATCCTAAAGCAACATAAATACACCTTCGAATTATCTTGCAAAATAAAACGGACTGAAAGATTAAAAAAAAAAAAATGTTGGTAAAATACAACACCAAATATAACTTCATTTTTTTAACATGGAGTTTGGTGTAGGACTTAGATCGCCTACTGCCCCCTGCTGTCTATATCCGGAACTGACAGCCTGCAGCAGATGCACTTGTTTTGCATAGTTTTAATCAGGCGACGGCATGTAGTATTTCTAAGTTGAAATCTTTAAGGATGGACTAGGGTAAAATATATTTTACGTTTTAAATATGTGGATTAACATAGGGAGACATTTGGAAAACCTTTTTTAACATAAGTTTGAAATGGTATTCAATGTAACTGAGTTATTTTAATGCGGCTCAATCTTTCCTTTCCATGTCCATTGTGTGCGTACCTTTACCCAGATATTAGACATGTCCCTGAATTCAAATACAATATACATATTGAGCACATAGTGAATTCATTCTCCGCAAAAGAGGAAGTACGACTGCCTTCTCCCCCTCTCAGTTTCCCCTAAACCCCGCCTCCTCTCGGACGGACATAACTCTGATTGGTCAATCCCTTTCCGCGGCGACCCCCCTCATTGGCTGAGAGCTTCTGGAGCGCAGATGAGATGCAAATCGCGAGGTCTGCCAGTAAAAGCCCTGCGCTGTCAGACGGGATGTCCATTCATCTCAAGGGGGAGGGAGAGAGAGCGCAGCTTGTTCGTAACACTGCATCAGTGTAATGTTACAATCAGGAGGAAACGACATTTAGAGGAAAATTACTTCACATTTACCTTCCTTTTTTCGTGTTTTCGTCAGTTTCCTTCCACTTTTGATGCCAAACATGTGTGATTTTAAGCTGCAAGAAGATTTTCCAGCTGTCATCTCAAGTCTCGAGTCTTGAATTCTGCGTCCAGGTTTTTGGAAAGCTGCTTTCTGCTTGGTTCTGTCCGCGACTTTTACGCACAACGGCTGAAATCCGGCGCATTTGGATAAAGCGCCTCAACTGGAGCATTTTTACCGTCGTGACACGCTCTTAAAAAAATATACATACAATATTCTGCTTCCTGTTCTCCAAACAAGACGAAAATCGGGGGGTTTACAGTGAAGCAATCTGGGTATACCTGGACGCACCGTGGCGCACAAATGGTGTTCCTGTGGGACGCGAAATACGGTACAACCATTTCTCTACGATCTGTTTGTTATGCTTTATAGTAGCCTACGTGTCTTTGCACACACACCTAATATACCTACGTTATCTTTTGTGAAGTTGGGAGCTTAGTCTCTCTTATCTTGTTACTTGTGAAACTTACCATTTCATTTAGAGCGTGATGCATTATAAAAAAATATTTAAAAAAACTCGTTCCTATCGTAGGTTAATATCATATTAACTCATACACAATATTTGTGTTTTTGTATTTGTGAGGATATCAGCTGAGGGTGCATGGACTCATTTAAAGACTCATATTATACACAAAACAAAACTGGTTTTCAAACATTTTAAAAATAATTTAGTGTCCATATGATTTACAAAAGTCATTCATTTTTTCTTTTCTTTTTTCCCTAAATTTAAAATACTTACCAGACAATGTACAGTTCAACAAAATGTGAGATATGATCCAACTTCACTTCATTATCTGCTGCAGTAAACAACATCTCCTTCCACGACACATGCTGACTTTAAAACAAATCGTTTTAATTCTCACATTTTGTCCAAAAAAGCGCACAAATAACTCTGGATCTCCACATTATTAATGCAACTTTTTAGAACTGAACTCTAATACTTTACAGTGAATTTAAAGTTTTGTTTTTTTAAATCCAACACACAGGCTTCACTAACACACATTGTATTGTATGTGAGGCTCTCTCTTCATTATGTGACATGCTCTGAAATTGACCATTTGTGTTGATGGCGTTGACCACTTCCCTCACTTTTATTCTTTTATAAGAGAGGGCAGAAGTGCTGCTTCTGTCTTCAGTTTATGACTCCACTCTGTGGTATTCAGTCAGTGTGACCACAGTGTGTGTCATCATGTGCTGTAAATGTGTGTTTGTGTGTGTGTGTGCAACTGTGTATCTGTTCCATTAGTGTTTATATATCACAGTTCTCACTGATATGGCTGAAACTATTTTTCTTTTCTCCATGGCTCTTTGAAGGACATATACAGTAATACTGAGCGATATTACGCTTTCAAATATCTTGTGTTGCCAAACCAATAGTCCGAAACTCAAAGAAAATACATGTACGATTATAGAAGACTGAGAAAAACGTTTTTATTATTATTAAAATAATATAATTATTAAAATAAATATTATTACTGTACAGTATTTATTCTACTATACATTATTTATTTTACATTCTGTTTTATCTGTTTTTTTATTTCATTTTATTCTATATTCTAGGTTATATTTTTAGAATTACTTTATTGATCCTAATTTGGGAGTAAGGCATTTCACGTAGAATACAAATTAAATAAATTAGAGAATAAACAGAAACAGTAAATATGTACAGGGAAAAATATATATCCGTAGAGTATCTCTATTGAATACACCGTATAAATATACAGTATTGAATTAAGTATGCACTATAATAGACCACATATCTTATATGTATACATATTTATTACTCCTGGAATTCCTGTACATTACATAATTGGAGGATTCTGTGACCTATTGCAACAACAAATACTGCTATTGTGCATATTATAATAAATCCTTAGAATATTTGAGAGGACTGTGAAGTCTCCTTCTCAGATATTTTAATCGTTTTATTCAACCAGCGATCATCATGGAGATATTAAGAGCAGAATAACCAACTCATGTGTTCTGTTTCAGACCCAGCCCCTGGCCGGCGTTACACCCCCCCCTCCACCACCCTCGCCTCGGGGGGGAAGATGGCCGAGGCCCTGCCCCTGGGTGCCCAGGAGGCCGGAGGCGGGGCCTCTCTGGTGGGCAAACTGCGCATGGCTGACCGAGGCATGGTGGAGGTACGCTGACACACACTCCTTATTAATATCTGTTGTAGTGATGTAAATGTCCCTCACGGCTCTCCGTTGTCCTCTCAGGTGATCTCAGATCATCCGGGGGAACTGGTGAAGACGGACAGCCCCAACTTCCTGTGCTCCGTGCTGCCCACACACTGGAGGTGCAACAAGACCCTGCCCATCGCTTTCAAGGTGGGTACCTCCACCCAATCCACTGCTGCATCCAACAGTACCCTTAACCTATTAGGTATGATAAAACATATCGATTTGTTAGAGATTAAACCGCCACACAGTAAACATTAGATTAGATGTCATTTATTGATCCCAGTTTTATGTGATTATTACAATTATTTGTTACAGCAGCATGTAAACAAGGCATTGCAAATTAATACAAAAATAAAATATGATGGAAAATCAACATACAAACAACAGTAAACATATACATATCATCACCAGAGCAATATATCACAATCGCATACACAATATAAAATATAAACATGCAGAATAAGAGACCGTTAGGTTGCTAAGTTAGTTGTATTCCTCGATAAAAAGTAGTATTTTAAATAGTTGATTCACTTAAAAGTAGGAAAATCTTTCCGTACAATTATTTTCGTATTATAATATATTACATTATTACAATTCCTTCCATGTAAAACTCTCTCCATAGACGACAATTTGACGATTGTTTGGGTTTTATACTATTTCCTATGAGAAAGAGAATAATTGGATATATCATGGCTGTGTATTCCCTCGTGTGTGTGTGTGTGTGTGTGTGAACAGCTTATCTGCACTTTGAGACAAAATGCATTTGTGGAAAAGCAGCTTTTAGCCGCAGAACACACAGCTGATTGATTTATTGAGTTTTATGCATTAGTGTTCGCACATGCGTGTGTGTGTGTGTGTGTTTGGTGCATTATGCGTCATGAGCGGATGTCACTGCCTCTTACTGATAATGGACGATTGTTATGATGCACACACACAACCAGAAAACATACTATAAAAACCTATACTATACAGAGAACTGTTCACACAATAGGTGCACAAAATAAATGTATTAAAATATGAAACTAGCAAACAGAATCTGATAACTTCCTAAAACTAAACTAGAAATGAATTAAAAAGTCAAACCATTAATATCTTTGTATTCACAGGCACCTGTTTTAAGAACACACACACTGGCCTTTTCCTGTTTATCCGCTGGGCTTGTGTGTGTGTGTGTGTGTGTGTGTGTGTGTGTGTGTGTGTGTGTGTGTGTGGTGTGTGTGTGTGTGTGTGTGTGTGTGTGTGTGTGTGTGTGTGTGTGTGTGTTGTGTGTGTGTGTGTGTTGTGTGTGTGTGTGTGTGTGTGTGTGTGTGTGTGTGTGTGTGTGTGTGTGTGTGTGTGTGTGTGTGTGTGTGTGTGTGTGTGTGTGTGTGTGTGTGTGTGTGTGTGTGTGTGTGTGTGTGTGTGTGTGTGTGTTCTTTCTTCCTCTTTCAGTTCTCCTATATGAAATTATTTTTGTGCCAAGACTTGTATTTTTGTACCCAGAGTAACTGTTTCTTTAAAATCCCCACTCACCATTAATTCCACCATTCCACTCCAGATCAGCTCAACACTGTCGTCATCATCAGCACAGCGAATTTTCAGCTCATACCAAAGAACTTAAGACATAAAGAACACGGGTATAGCAATATGTTATTAAAAACAGAGCAGTTAGCTCAGGTGACAGAGAGGAGAGTGTCTGTTACTCATTTGCACACGGACGGTGTGATCAGCGCTCGTATGGAAATGTTGCTGGAGGTGTGGAGGAGGACAGTGTGCTCTCTAGTGCACGGAAAGTTTCATGTTTACATGTTACACATACGGAGAATCATTTACCTTTATTCCATCATTTGCAACTTGTTCATGAAGTTTTGAGGTAGTCAAGCTTATCGCTTCTCTGTGTCTGAGTATTTATCTGGGTATGTGTGTGTGTTGGTGTTCGTTTGTGCGTGCGCAGATTCCATATATATCCCAGTATGAGTGTGTGGTTGCTTGTGTGTCTGTGGGCCTGGGTGCAGCACATAAGGTCACTATCTGTTGTCTGCTTCTATCCCCTAAAAGCATGATGGGAACTGTAGTACGAGTGAAACTGAATATCATTATTTTAGTTTTAAACTATAAACACATGTATAAACTCAAAATATCCTCTATCATGAGACATCACACATCTCAAACTTTTCGACAATTTTCTTCCATGTCTCTAGGTGGTTGCCCTTGGCGACACCCCTGACGGCACCTTGGTTACGGTGATGGCGGGAAACGACGAGAACTTCTCCGCTGAGCTTCGTAACGCCACGGCCGCCCTCAAGAACCAGGTGGCCCGATTCAATGACCTGCGCTTTGTGGGCCGCAGCGGAAGAGGTACACACACAAACACACACACCAAACACACACACACACGAGTGCCATTGACCCAAATATGAGTGAGATGGGGCTTCAAACTCTTACACAACACAGCATGGATAAATTAGGGGAAGTAAATGTGAATAAAAACGGTGTTGTCTCAACTTCCTCGTAAAACCCCGTTTAACGTCCCCCCCCCCTCTCTCTCTTCAACGGACACACTACACTACAGTTACACTAAATCAGTCGCAGGCAAATGTCCCCACTAATCTATTTAAAACAGTGTGTACACATGCTCTGCTAACACACTCACACACGTATAAAAATGACAAGTACTCCCCATGCTGCTGAATGGAAATATGGAATACCTGTCAATATTTGATAGATTCCACAATGCTGCTGTTGGAAAATTAGCATACATTAATGATTCATGTGCAGTCCAATTCAAATTTAGAAAGTTGAGGAGTGAACATTTGTTTAGATGCAAATGTAAGCGCACAGAGGACAATGAGTACATTTTCACAGTATTTTAAGATACAAAACGTGATCTTCTTTGGAGTTATTAACTCACATCTGCAACATAAGAGGGAGAGAAACTGTCATGTATCATATTTCAAACTGAACCCTTTACATTCTTCACTTTTCTTTTTGTTATGAGTAACTTGCTAATAAAGATTTTTTTAGATGTATTTCATGTGCCACTATAATTTAAATAATTTAAATGATAACATTTTCAAATGATTCTATACATGATAATGTTCATCCATTTGGACTTAACATTCCGATATATTCGAGTTATATTTATTTAAAATAATTTGTTAATGATAAGAGCATATTCTTTCAAAAAAAGTAACACGGGCAAATACATGTTTTTTGTATAACACTGAGGAATATTAACGTTGTTTCAGGAGCTTCTCCTCCATAATTTGTGGAGGAAACAGTGAATCATTTGCATGTATCATGAGATAACAAGCCACATGTGGAGCAGCTTCTCCACCAAAACCTCCAAACGGTCATCAACTGTCTGTGGTGAGGGTTAGCTTAGCGGCTAACCCCAAAGAATGGTTTGGTGGTTATAGTAGCGGTGTGTGTGGTTGTGTGTGTGTGTGTGTGTGTGTGTGTGTGTGTGTGTGTGTGTGTGTGTGTGTGTGGTGTGTGTGTGTGTGTGTGTGTGTGTGTGTGTGTGTGTGTGTGTGTGTGTGTGTGTGTGTGTGTGTGTGTGTGTGTGTGTGTGTGTGTGTGTGTGTGTGTGTGTGTGTGTGTGTGTGGTGTGTGTGTGTGTGTGTGTGTGTGTGTGTGTGTGTGTGTGTGTGTGTGTGTGTGTGTGTGTGTGTGTGTGTGTGTGTGTGTGTGTGTGTGTGTGTGTGTGTGTGTGTGTGTGTGTGTGTGTGTGTGTGTGTGTGTGTGTGTGTGTGTGTGTGTGTTCACACAGGGTGAGATGTTGTGAAAGAGAAAAGTGATTGTCCTGTTTAAAAGAGGAACTAAAAGAGAGACTGAAAACTGGTTGCCCATGAGCCATACACACACACACACACACACACACATTGGCAGTAGGCTGAAACATCATATGAGAAAACGTATGAGAAACCGCATGACACATGCTGCATCATCATTTTCCTTCGTACGTATGCACTGTTGCACTGAGATGCCTATAGGTTAAATCTGTATTGCTTTCACGCAATGACTTAGCTAAAAAACATAACAACCTTTACTCAAACTGTAACAGCGGTGCATCAAACAAGAGGGTGCGTTGCTGGAGGCATGCTGCTTCAGGAACTGATGAGATTAGGAGATATAATGTTGGAAACTTGATTGAGTCACAGATCTACGAGTTTGAAGGTCTGTCTTGTTGCATTGTGCTCAGACAGTACTCTCATTGAAATGAATGAGGGAACGGCTGCAGCAACAAATCAGCAATTTCTCCCAAAATCGTTTTATATGTTGGTGTTTTAACATCAAGGCGATAGTTTTGGGGATTTTTGGATTTGGGGTTGCCATACCACTCAGGAATATAATTGTATACGATTATTATTGGCAGGAAACAGATGATGTTCACTGATATGCAGATATCAGTATGTGTTCTGCAAACACACACACACACACACACACTGATGTTGCTTTGTTGAAGATGGTAAACAAGAGATTTCGTGTGATCGAATGATTATGAGTAAAACTGGACAACCCCAACTCAGCAAGCCCTGACACGATGCGATATACACACACACACACCTCTTGTGAAATTCGCTCTTATCTTCAGTAGATGACAGAGACATAGAGGTGATTATAGAGGCCTGAAAAACACTGATGTCAAGATACACACGCCTTTGTGATTTGGTGTGTGTGTGTGTGTGTGTGTGTGTGTGTGTGTGTGTGTGTGTGTGTGTGTGTGTGTGTGTGTGTGTGTGTGTGTGTGTGTGTGTGTGTGTGTGTGTGTGGTGTGTGTGTGTGTTGTGTGATGTGTGTGTGTGTGTGTGTGTTGTGTGTGTGTGTGTGTGTGTGTGTGTGTGTGTGTGTGGTGTGTGTGTGTGTGTGTGTGTGTGTGTGGTGTGTGTGTGTGTGTGTGTGTGTCACCGGCTGGCTGATAGACATAACACACACAGACTTCAGCTGTTCTCTCCCTCCTCCTGTGTCTCTCTATCAGCCACCATATCTTACTGTAAACTCTCTCTGTAAGCAACCTGCACTAAGGACAGGACACCATCTGAGCATTCAGTCAGACAACAAAAAGGGCAGCATTGGTTTGGGCGTCTTGCTACATATACTAATGAGTTTGAGTATTTGATCTATGAGTTTAAACGTCTATCAGTCACTATAAGACTGTCAAATTGTTCATAATATTCGTGAAGGGACTTTACAAGTGTGGAAAGTTGGCACAGCTGCATTATTTTGCATTTACGACACAATGGTCCTTATCGAAAATGTAAAAAAAAATGGCTGTTATGCAACAAAGTAAAGAAAACAGATGTTTTAATTATATTCATATTCCTTAACTTTTGGTGTTATTTGATACGTAGAGAGAGAGAGAAGTGAGAGTAACACCTGGCGTTACCAACAAAAGTATGGTGTGGTGTGGCATCACACTGTCTGCATGTGGTAACTTTACTCCGGCCCTGGCATAAAACAATAGTGTGTGTGTGTGTGTGTGTGTGTGTGTGTGTGTGTGTGTGTGTGTGTGTGTGTGTGTGTGTGTGTGTGTGTGTGTGTGTGTGTGTGTGTGTGTGTGTGTGTGTGTGTGTGTGGTGTGTGTGTGTGTGTGTGTGTGTGTGTGTGTGTGTGTGTGTGTGTGTGTGTGTGTGTGTGTGTGTGTGTGTGTGTGTGTGTGTGTGTGTGTGTGTGTGTGTGTGTGTGTGTGTGTGTGTGTGTGTTTGCAAAAGTGTTGAGTGAGTGTCTACCAAAGCTGTGTCTGGCAATGACCCCCCCCCCCCATCAGGGTCCACACATACATACACTAAATGTATAGTCCTATAAATGTGTACAGGAGAGAGAAAATTAGGAGGACAAATATACTAGTACTAATAAACACTTCTTTCCTTCCCTGTTTTTCTTCCTCTTTCTTCCTCTCATCTATACTCTCTCTTGTCTTCTTCCCCTTTGCCTCTCCTTTTTCTCTCATAGGGAAGAGTTTCACTCTGACCATCACCGTGTTCACCAACCCTCCTCAGGTGGCCACGTACCAGAGAGCCATTAAGATTACAGTGGACGGCCCCCGAGAGCCAAGACGTGAGTGACACATCACTATGTTCTCCACAGCAGATTATAACATGTGGAGTCCCACAGGCTTCACATTTGGGTCCCCAGAACGTTTTACATTTTGATTCATGCATATCCTGTAGTCTATAAGCTAGATACTCAGAGAAGACTGTAATCCATAGACAGACTCTCGGTTTGTGAGTCAATAAGGATGATGCAACACTGAGTTCCTGTGTGATGACACATGGGGAATTCTCAAGGCATGTTTAATAATAAACACGAATACTTATAGTTTGCTTTGATTCGGAGTGAATTGAGCGACGGTGTTCAGATAAGACATGAGGTGACAGAAAGAGAGGAAGACTCCTGCCAGCTCCGCTCAGCTGTGAATAACCATCACTCGTCTCTAACTCGCCACACACACACACACTCAGTATAAATACACACACATGCACACTTCCCCCATTGGGAGGAAGTGCCTGTAACTGGATCTCAGTCTCACTGCTTTGAAGTGCAGCCAACACCACAGACAGCGTGACAGACCACCACACACCCAGCCACACACACACACACACACACAGGGAGACAGTCAGACCCCTATGCGGCGCCCATCGTCAGATTTCCGAACGCATTAGCAGACAGTGTGTTAACAATGTTGGGACATTGTTACAGCCTGCTTTGGGTTGTAGCTGTTAATGTAATCCTTATATTATGTAATCATAACACAAGCAGGAAGTCATCTGCTGACAAATCACCTCTTCATATTTTGATGGAACGGAAAATGAGGACTGAAAACAAATCCATGTTCAATCGTCACACAGCACCACGCACACAGTGAAATTGAGCCTCTGCATTAAACCCATCCTATTATTGTGGGCAGGTATTATAGCTCAAGGGCAGTGCCTAGAAGGTGAACTGGCACCTCTCAAAGTACTGGCCAACACTTTCTACTTTTACTTAGTTCTCAAGACACTGCCATACACTTTCAATTGTGGAATAAGTTGGTGCTTTGGACCTTCATATTTTAATTTGACCATCATGACAGATTTGTGTCATCTCTTCCTCCCAGGTCATCGTCAGAAGATGGATGAAGTTAAACCCGGAACGCTGGCTTTCTCCGAGAGGCTCACAGAGCTGGAGCAGCTGAGACGGAGCTCCATGAGGTTGACGCCTCCTCACCACCATCACCATCAACACCCCGCCAACAGCCGCCAGTCTGCAGCACTCAACTCTGCCGCCTTCTCCAGCCCTGCACACGCTCAGATTACTGCTGGTAAGAGATCTAAAGGGATTAAATCCATGAGCCCAAATCAAGGAATTAAGGGAATTGTCATTTACCATATTGTACACAGCAAGAATGAGGCTTTCAGGGATGAATTGACTTCAGGCAAAGTAACTAAAAAACACAACAACCAAACAACTTTTCTTATCAATTCAAACAAAACGCTGAGCTAAGCTAGAGTTGCTAAACCAACCCATCTAAATACGTTGTAGTCTTAGACCCCGGATATAAAGTATGACTGGTTCATCAGGCTAGAATTTAGACTATAATACATCTTCTTTTAAAAGACAGGGAATTCACAGATAGATCAGAGATTTACTTTCATGGAAACTAATTTACTGTAGCTTAGTTTAGTAGAAACTTGAATGGTCACTGTTTTGATAGATAGCAGCACCGAAAGAAAGTTCCCCCAAAAAGACTTTAACATAAATAGATGCAGAGAGAAATAAGTTATTTATTTATGATTCCTCAGAAACCCTGTGTGATGAGCCATCACTTAGTTCATCTATTTCTGGAAGCTTTTTCTTCTTTGGAAATGATCTAGTTGCATGATATAAGCATCATAATAATGATTCTCAGAATAGTCAGAATGTATGACGTTATTAGGTTGCCCCCAACCCTAACCCTACTTTCTTATAACCGGAAAGCCAGGGATTTGCCTTAAACTGCAGTTTCTTTAATGGCCGGTAGCTGCCTCCATGCATCCACACTCATCAATGCGCAGTTAAGCAGCAATGTTATTAGCATAAACCTAATTTATAATCTTTAAATCTAATTACATTTTAGAGCGGGATCAAACTGACTCGTTTCCAGCATTTAATCAACGTCAAAAAGCGTGTGTGTGTATTTCCCAAACTTGTGAATTCATGTTGCATCAAACCTCATTGTTCCTCCTTGTGGTTTTAGCGAGATCCATTGTGGTCTGTGTGCGCGTGTAGGTGTGTGTATGTGTGTGTGTGAGTTTGTGTTGCGGTTGCCGTGGATACACTACCACCAAAATGCATTATCTGTTCCTCTTTTGCCTTAGTGGTAGTGACGCCACGTGTGTGCGTGTGTATGTGTGTGGGTGAGGAAGCAAGTCATGCCTGAAGGAGGAAATGAGAGTCAGCTGGCAGGAAGTGCTACTGTGAGAAAAAAAATCAAATGTATAACTGTCAGAATTTGAAGCATCCGAGATATCTGAAAAGTGTGTCAACCATTGGCTATGATACATTTTACCGTCCGAAATATCAAAAGTCAGGCCTTAGATGACCATAAACAAATAATTATAGTAATTAATAAATGCAAGATAGACCAAAACAAACACTGCTTTTTCTTTATTTATACTTATCTTCTGAACTTCACCTTTTAACCAAACTTAAATACAACATGATAGCCTTTGTTTCATATTCAAATGTCCAAAACAATCTCTCTCGGGGTGAACAGGTGTCCCACGCCGCGTAAATTATGCCAATGTCCAGCATTTGATTGACAGCTGCCATTTTAAACTTGCCTTTTATCCAATGGCAGTGTAGAAAAGAAAAAGATCACCATTGCCTGTGTCAGCTGTCAATCAATCAACACACACGTGGGCAGGTCAAGGGCTCACCGTTCTCGTTTCCTATGTTATGCCCAATTCGCACAAAACAGCACCAGCTACAGACATCCACTTTTTGGTGGAATAGGATGTATTATCCATCATAGTCATTATCATATCTGCTCATCATATTAGAATTTCACTAGCACTAACTGCACATGGTAAAATGGGTAAGTGTCATAATTTCTGACATTAATTAGCCTACCGTTAAACGCCACAGATACAGTATGTAGTTCTTTGTGTTCTACTTCTACTTCTTAGCAGCCAGCCGGGGTGACTCCTGCCTCATATTAGTGCTCTGTGCACGGGGAGAGAAGCCTGGAGAGGAGGGGGCTTGGCACAGGGCCGGCCTTCATCACCACCCAGACCACACCACACACACACACACACACACACACACACACACACACACACACACACACACACACACACACACACACACACACACACACACACACACACACACACACACACACACACACACACACACACACACCACACACACACACACACACACACACACACACACACACACACACACCACACACACACACACACACACACACACACACACACACACACACACACACACTCTTGGCTAGACTTGAAAAGCCTTCATTGACGTCTTGGCTGCTGTGTACAATTTGCTTCCTCGTCTGACTGCACATACACGCACAAACACACACATGTACACACTCTTGTCTGCAAGTCTGTGGGTGATCAGTGCTATTTATTAGACTGTGTGGAAAAAGAGGGGATTGAATGAAATATCTCACACACACACACACACAGCCCTTCCTTTCATCCGTCGACCCCCAGACTGAGTTAACTGCTTCCTCTTCTCCGTCTCTCTCCTCTGTTTCTTTCACTATCATCAGCCTCTGTCTCAAGTCATTTAAAATCACCCTTTCTTCAAAGATGATGCTATTTAACTGTATTCTTACTTGTCTTGGTGAACAGCATTGTGCAACCACATTTAAATCCTTTGCTTTACATCTCTAAGTTTCTCCATGATTTTATCTCTCTCTCTCAGACTCCAGGCAGATGCAGTCATCTCCATCTTGGTCCTACGACCAATCGTATCCCTACCTTGGCCAGATAACCACGCCCACTGTCCACACAGCCAATCCCCTTTCGCCTGGTCGATCTTCGCTCAGTGACCTGTCCTCGCGTCTCACAGGTAAGACACACGAGCATGTACACTGATCATTTTCAGTCTGTTCATATTGTTTAGAGGAACGCAAAATTAATATTCTAAATAGCAGTTAAAAACATACTAAAATCTATTTCTCCTGCACCCTGGGACTCTATCTGGTACAATTCTATTGTGCGTCCTCTGAACAGTTGTAACCTAGCCTATGTACTTGGAAGGCCACTTCTTTCCCAGGATGCATACTTGACTTTGGGAAAACAGAGAGAATAGACTGTATAAGTAACCTTTTACCTTTGCCCTCTCAGGTCCTGACCTCACAGCCTTTGGCGACCACAGGATGACCTTGGAACGACCTTTCACCTCCCTCCCCTCCTTACCTGACTCCCGCTTCTCGGATCCCCGGGTCCACTACCCCTCTACAGCCACCGCCTTCACCTACGCCCCCTCTCACAACGCCGTATCCAATGGCGCCCTCGGCCTATCCATGGCGACGGCCATGGCGAACACTCCAGCGGGGAGGTACCACACCTACCTGCCTCCCCCCTACCCGGCGAACACCCCCCACCAGGGTCAGAACGGGCCCTTCCAGTCCACCTCCTCACCGTATCACCTGTACTATTCCACCACCGCCGGATCATACCAGTTCTCAATGATGGCCGGCGGTGGGGGAGGCACCGACTCTCGCTCCCCGCCCAGGATCCTGCCGCCGTGCACCAACGCCTCCACAGGCTCCTCCCTCCTGCACCCCTCTTTGCCCAATCAGAATGAAGGAGTGGGGGTGGAGGTGGAGTCCAGCCACAGTAGCTCCCCCACAAACATGGCCGCTGCAGAGTCCGTCTGGAGACCGTACTGAAGCAGGCTTAAGGTGCTCCCTGGTCATGTGACTTCACTGAATATACACACCAACACAAAATATGATGTGACACGAGGCACAAGTCAATGTAAAAACGATAACTCGCTCCAACAATCTTATCTCGGTTAAAGGATGAGGAAGTCTTTTTTTTTACGCATAAAGAGCGCCAAACCAACCATGTGTGTCTCTCTCTCTGGATGCTTTCTGACTTCACCATCCTTCTGTGGCTCTCTGCTATCTATGTTGTTCCCAGATTTCATCCTAGACCTTACTGATTTTACACACCTCTACTGTGAGTGGAGTTTCATCACAGTCAGGTTAGAGGAAATGTTGCCACACAGGGTACAATGTTGAGGGTCACCTTTCCTTGGGTAAACTACAATTTTAAAACCTGCTGACTATTTTATTTATATTCAAGCACTGGATTTTTTTCGTGACATTAAATATTTGGAAAGACTTCACAGAGCACGGTTCGTCATGACTTACCCAGGAGGGGGATAAGAGCACCCAGTTTAAACAGCAGTGAAATAACATTGAAAAGGGCTGGAGAAAAATGAGTGAATATGGACGGATGAACGCAGCTTCCTTTGTAAAACTTTCTCATAAATGGTGTTCATTAGAGATGATTTGCTGATGCCAAATAATGCGATTGCCTGTTTATGTTTATGTTTGTCATTGTTTCTTCCCATGATTGTACCTCCTCTCTCATTCTTCTGACATTTTTCAAAAAACTGCCCATTATTGTCATCAATAAAATAAGATGACTATTGGTGTTATTACGGCCCTTAAGACAAATTTGGACAGAAAATATAAAAACTGCAACAAATCTTAATTGACATTGATTACATATTTATCATGGACAGGCCTTACCACACTGATTTCTACATATTTTGAGAGAACATTACAGCATGGAGTTCTGTAAAATGCATTAATTTATTCCATTTTGGTAGCATGTTGTGTGTGTGTATGTGTGTGTGTGTGTGTGTGTGTGTGTGTGTGTGTGTGTGTGTATGTGTGCGTGGGTGAGTGATCCACTGTCAATTTGTACTGTATATAACCAAGGCTGAAAATGATACCGGCATTTGATCCTGTTTTCATCACCCCTTCTCTTTTTGTTCTGACATGTTGATAGTACATTTCTGATTTGTGTTTTATATAAAAGTTCTTGGGAAATAATCCAACTTTTTTTTCTGTGTTTACTGGTTGTCTGATCCTTACCCTATGTAACCCACACACACAAACACATTTATCCATTGCTATTCCTAAAGCTGTAGGAATTTACAGGCCAACAGACAAGCCCTAGCTTGCCTTCTCTGCCAGTTTACACACACACACACACACACACACACACACACACACACACACACACACACACACACACACACACACACACACACACACACACAGAAGTTGCTAAATAAAGGTCAAGTGTAGCCAGACAGTGAGTCCACAGTATGAAAAGCTGTATACAGTTAGATAGTACTTTTACATTGACATAGACCCTAAAGGTACAAATAGCATTACTTCAACTGTATACAAAACACACATTTGACACAAAATGTCCTTATTTTAAGATTAATAACAAACAAGAAAAGCACAATATGCTCGAAGGGCAGTTAAACAATTTTCAAATATGGAATATTTTGCTGCTTGGATACTTGTTTAGCTTTGGTAAACAGTGACTTCTAGTGGTTTAATGGCACATTATCTTCCCAATTGGGTATAAAGAGGTTAATTTTTCGACTACAATAAGAATGTTTTCTTATAGATGGAGTTCACTGGGCCTAATGCATCTTCATTTGGGGGTCGAGGACATGCCATGATTTCAGCAGCCCTGTTAAGGTCACTAGCCATCAATTCAAACCTGACTTTTGATGCAAATAGCACTACTTTTCTCTCTTCTTCACTACCAAAATATATGAGAATTGATTTCCTAACAGCAGCCATCATATAGCCTTGCTGAGGTTCAGATGTGATTGATGACCCAGAGTAATGACAAACGAGGGAGAAATTAACATGGAGAAAACATTTACATAATGTCCTATTAATCACTGTGACAGAGGGACAGAGGTGGAGATTGCAATGAGAGGTGTTGGGCAGGGGGGGCAGCTCTAGCAGGGAAATTCACTGTCCTCTGTGGTCATCAATGCACATTTTGCCATGATGACGCACACTGAATCACAAGGCTTTGCTGTTGCAGCTGCTCCACAAGTTAAATTACCTACAAACCGTACAACTTAAGACCAAAAGGGCATACACTTCAATATGAAGATACTAACATATTAGTGTTGTTTAAGGAAGTTGTGGCTTATATAATATTTATGCTGGCATATTTTCAGCTCATTATTATGTGTGTTATCATGGTGCAGCAACTTCAACATAGGATCATTGTTATAGATGTATTAAAGATGTCATTTATTGAAAAACTCTAATAGAGTTTGATTCCTAAAGTGGTAGATTTTCCTTCTTAGATCAGTACCCCAAATTCCATTTTTGTTCTCTCTAAAACAAACGCAACACGTACGTGACGCTTGACGTCAGCACGCTACGCGCCAAATTTGTATAGTGCGGAAGGCGCAACAACAAAACGTTAGTGTCAACAGCTGCAGTGTTTTTAGCATTTTGTCGGTTATTTTCTGGTATTTTAGAGAAATTATTCCTCTGCAGTATGTCTCAACCGAATGGCTATTCGCCGAGCTTCAAGCGACCGGCTGAAATTATGCGAATGAGGAGGAAAAGAACCAGAAGCGACGCCAGTGTGTTCTCCAGCCCGAGCGGACAGGGCTCCACTGTCGGGCAAAGCGACTCTTCGCCGGCAGGAGTTCGGCCTTTCTCCCCGGGGCCGCTTTTTAACACCCAGAGTCGTCCCGGAGGTGGAATAAAGCGCAGAAATCCGTTCGCAAACATTGAGAATACGTACAGTCCAAGCAAGAAATGTCTAATTTACAACGAGGACGGACATGCAGAAGCTGTGGACCGGTGCAAGAGAAAGAAATTGACAGAAAAGGAGGGAGAGGAGGAGATGTCAACAAAGACGGACTGTAATGCAGCGTTACCCCTCAGTGCGAGGCTGACTGAGGCAGAGAAACACGAACACCAAGATGTTAACAGCAAGGTCAGTTATACACCTACTACTAGTATTTTAACTTGCAAAACCCCACTACAAGCTGCACAGCTGTTATGAAAAACAAGGTGCAGTATATTAGCTTTTCAGAACACATTATTAGCCTACTTAACCTCGTGATAATCAGAATCAGAACCAGAATTAAGGTTCATTTCACATAAAAGGAATTTTCTTTGGAGTTTGGTGCAAACATAAACATAGCATAAGGAAATAAGTTGTAAGAGAAGATCAAAAAGATAACGATTATATAAAGAAAAAGACAATATTATGACAAACAGCAGTATAATATATTGTTGAGTGGAAGGCTGCAGATTTAACATGAACAAAAAAAAACGTTATAAGTGCTTTACAGAGCGAGTTAAGCTAAACAAAACAATAACCATGACTACAACAACCATTGAGAAACATCATTAAAAAGACATGGACAGTTAGTAACATAACAGATCTCTAAATATCAAATGCATCACGCGAGGCATTGGGGCAACTCGCTTTTAGCTATAGGTCTATCTGTGTTTAATTATCAGGTGGAATTTATATTTATTATGTGATCCCTGTTAAATAAACTTGTAAGGAAATGTTGCAATTGATTACTTCATTTATGCATACTTTTCTGAAAGACAAACATAGTGTTTAGGCACCAGAGACCTTTAGTTAATGTTCATCTGACTCCTATTTTTATGTATGAATCATTTGTTAAAGATGAGAGGAATACAGGACATTTGTTTTTGGGGTGACATGCTGACATTTTGATATCTTTACCCTTCTGTCCTCTGCTGTAGAAATGTCTATCTTTCTCTGAAGATGACTCCTTGTTCGAAGAAGAGGAGGAAGATGTCGTGAGCCCACTAATAAAGGTTGGATTCTTCTCTTGATGTTTTGCACTCTGATTAATCATATCTATACAAAACATCTGTTGGTATGTTCTAACAGAGCCACATGTGTTTAAACACTTCTTCAATGTCTCTCCCCAGAGTCCCCAGGCCATTGCTCCTGCCTCCATCGCCCCCCCCGTGTGCACAGTGTTTCCCACAGACTGGAGCCTGAAGACGCGCCTCCTCTTCACCTCCCCCCTCACCCTGTCCTGGGCCGAGAACCCCAAAGCTCAGGAGGAGGCCACAGGGCTGAGTCAGCACCTCAGAGCTCACTTCATCACGCTGCCACACAGCCTGCAGGTACACTCACCACTGGATCTCTTACATATGACATTACAGCCGTTATCCTCATGTCTTTTCACCTACACAAGAAACAAAATACACATTGTAGTCTAGATGTTTGCTGACATGTACCTTGCCAACCTTGTAAAGACAACCCTGCCTTTTAATAAATCAATATTATGTAATATGGACCAATATCACAATAAATATATATAAAAATGAATATGACTGACAGTGCAATTATGATATGATATTAGAGGGATTGATTATTTTGCATAGTTTTTCCGTCGTCATTTGAAAATGTATTAAAATAAATAAGCTCGATACCAAATAAATATGACTTTATTATTAAGTCGGCAAAATATGATTTGTAGGCTTTTATTTATTAAGCCTAACAAACAATATTCCTACTGCGGTTTGATCATTGCACTAATCTATATTTTGTATTATTTGTAATTAATTGTACAGCCCTAACTAGGATCATGCTACTTATGAAATACTTCACTGTTGCTGTTTTGTAGAAATGTAGTTTCTCAAAAAACAAAACATTCCTTATAAAAAAATAAATGTTTAATAGGTTTGCTGAACTTATCAAAGCTATCCTCTTCAGAATGAACCTGTAGAGCAGGGGTGTCAAACTCAAGGCCCGGGGGCCAAATCCGGCCCGCAACTTCATTTAATGCGGCCCCACAAGAGCTTGCAAAGAATATAATATGTTTATTATACGGTTACATGCTACTTTACAGAAGCACGTTGCCCATAAACTACATATCCCACAATGCATCTCAAATTTGACTTTTTTTCTCCGAATTTGACTTTCATTTTGTGACATTCTCACTGAAGAGACTTGCAATTATTTGCCCTAGACTTCTGCTTTCAGACGTAGTTAATTATGAAGTTATTACCCTATCCGATAATAATCCAACACAGAGGCAATAATGTAATATAATATATAATACATTATTTTATATATATTCAATATTTATATATGTATTTTTATATATAGTCTTAAAGTTACAACCGGCCCTTTGAGTGCAACCATAATGCTAATGTGGCCCGCGAAGAAATTGAGTTTGATACCCCTGCTGTAGAGAGAGAAGGACAATAACAGCAACAGTAGGGAACATGTCTTCAGGGGTTTGTAAACGATGTCATTGCATCTGCAGGACCCCCGCTCGTGCTCGGAGCTGCGCTGTGCGTTCCAGCAGAGCCTGGTGTACTGGCAGCACCCCTCCCTGCCCTGGCTCTCCCTGTTCCCCCGCATCAACGCTGAGAGGAGCTTCACCGGGAAGTGCACCCCGTGGGCCCAGGACCGCGCCCTGCAGCAAAGTCTCATGAGCGAATGGTGAGGCTTGAGATACAGTAGTGTACAGAAACAGTTTTGTGACCTTTTTGTGACTTTGGGACTCTGGTTTTCTCTCAGGTCCGTGAGTCTGTCGTCCCTCTACAGTCTGCTGAAGACCAAGCTGTGTCCGTACTTCTACCTCTGCTCATATCAGGTACATGCCGCTGTCACTTGAATCCCGTTATAAAGGAGGGAGAACATGCTTGGTGGTGCTTTTCACACTACCATCCAAATAGACATTTTCACTGCAACTTTGTGTATAAACTGGTATAAAACTAAATCCCCAAGTGCCGTACAAGTACCTCCAGATTGTACTTTAGTACAGTAATTAGTTGACTTACCAACTCTGATTATTTCCCTCTACCTACTCTCAGTTCTCAGTGTTGTTCAGGGCAGCAGGAGTGGGGGGGGTCCGGCAGCATCACAGCCCTCATCTCTCCCACAACCCGGGGTCTCAGAGAGTCCATGAAGGCTGAAGGTGAGTCTTACCATTACACTTTTAAAAAACCTTTATTCTGACTGCATATTATGGTTCTTCGTTGGACTCATCTCTATCGTGTCCCTATGCAGGTATAGAGTTCAGTCTCCCCCTGGTGGAGGACAGGAGAAAGGGCAGGGAGCAGCAGAAGCACCCGGGCGAGGAGGAGGAGGAGCAGGAGTAAGAGTCCGCTGTTCTCCACGGCAACCAGAGTGTTGTTGTCATTTGTCTGGCCTCGTCTTTAGCGTACAGGACTTTGCATTACGCTCACTCATCCACACATACACGACTGATACTACTGACAGACACACTTCATCTTGGTAGCTTTCCTTTGGTTTGTTTATTTAGCCATAATAAATACATTTACTTTACACATACCTCGCGTCCTTTCCCAATTGTTGTCATGGCCAAGAGCCAGACCATGACAATCAGTCTCCAAAGTCCCGTTTTGGACAGGCAACATATGGCAAGACGTCCCAAAGGATTTACAATTGTATTCAGACTATGAACATATGGCAAACTCAAAATAAATAATAAACAAAACATGTTGTATTGATCTGCAGGTGTTCTGAGCTGAAAGAGGCTGAGGAGCGCGACGGAGAGAAGGACGAAGACAACGACGATGAAGACGGCAGCTTCTCCTGGCTGAAGGAGATTGGGGTCCAGGACAAAATCAAGAAGCCCGACAGCATCACCATCCAACTGTATCCTCCCCCTCCTTCTGCCTCTAAAATGCAGACTCATTTCTATGTTTAGGACTCATTCCTGCACCACTCTGTTGTACCGTGTCTAATTAAATGTATGATAGCTGCAGTTAAAGCTCCTTGACCCCAGTGCAGGCAAAAGGAGGGTCAGACCGTGTCTCTGGACCACAAGCCCGAGTCGGTGGTGTGTGTGGAGGGAACACACACCTTCACCCTCATCAACTTCCTCATCAACTGCAAGAGTCTGGTGGCTGCGGCGGGCCCCCAGGCCGGGTTACCCCCAACGCTTCTAGCCCCGAACGCTTTCAGAGGAGCCACCATGCACACACTGAAGGTATGGAGAAACACACACACACACACACACACACACAAATATTGCTATGTCTGCAGTGCATATGACTGAATGTGTGTGTGTATTTCAGGCCCGCAGTGTGAATGTAAAGAGCCAGATTGGGGGTTCCTACCAGGACATCAGCAGTCTGGAGATCACAGGTACTTTGTCCTATTTCATATCTCCATCATGGTTAGACATGGTAGCAATTTTATTTAGTTGTGGAAGAAATTGACTTTTTTTTAATGTCATTTTTCTTCAGGACCTATCCTCCCCTCGTCTCTCCACACAATCACCAACCTCCTCCGGCCGGCACAGAAGGGAAACTTCTCCTCTGCTCTCTACACACACACTCCTACCGCTGTCATGAACACACACACCACGGAGCAGCAGGTAAGACTGCCTTAAATGGAAGGCTCACATTTTGCCAGATCTTATTTTCTTCCACTTTTTGATGAAATAAAAGCGATGGATGCTCACATCAGTTGGAGATACTGATGAGGGTTTATAAGGGGGTCACCCACAAAACACTTTTTTAAATCATAGTGTGTTGAAAAATATGGAGAGAAAAGTCCTTGCATGGCATTTTAAAATATGAAAAAGTATAGTGTACTTTTAGAATTTGCTCCACATGTATCCACCCACTGGATGCCAGAAATGCTCCTGTGACTATGATGTGTGTGTATAGCTCCACCTGGTGGTCACTCACTGCACATGCTCTCCCTCCTGTCTGCAGAGCTCTGCCGGCTCCTCGGACCTGTCTGCCTGTGGCCTCCACCCTGCCTCCATCCAGCAGCTGATGCAGCCCTCCACCCTGGGAAAGACTGCTCTGAGCCACATCAGCATGATCAACTACAGCTACACCTGGAGGAGCTGATGGAGGAGTGATGGAGCCATCAGCTGTGAGAGGGGGGAGCACTGCTGTTCGATCTGCTTCACCTTCTCTTTACAGACACATCAAAACAAACTGTTTCTGTCCATACACATTTTATTGTATTTTAATATCTATATCTGGCATGTATTGTGAATGTGTTTTTAATGTTGATCAATTTATTTTTTCATTAATATGTTTTTAAATGTATTTAATGACTTGTAATTCGTTTTTCTTGATGACGTATTTTCTGTTTTATCAAATAAAATGAATGTTGCAACATCAAATGTTTTAAAGTTGTGATTCAAGACCATCATTCATGGTGATGCAAACAAAGTTTGTGGAAAATATTAAAAGAAAACGACGTAGTATAGTTTGTTGAAAATGTGTGGAAAAAACAATATAGTATAGTATGTAGAAATGTTTCTATATTTTTACATGTCAAAGATTACTATACTATCTATATATAGATTACTATACTTCTGGGCTACAGGCTCTGATAATGTATACATTTCATACATTCATTATTTTTAAATATTTTCTGTTGCTTAAACATGTTTTGTCCATGGAAAAAATGTAAGAAAGAAAACGGCATAGTATGTCGAAAATGTGAGATAAACTGTTAGCTATTTTAAAAATCAGCATTCATATATAGCCTATAAATAAATGTTTACAATAAATATAAAGTAAACTAGGTGAGAATAAGACTATGACAACAATTATTTGCCATGGATAGCCCAACTTTAGCAGGCTCAATTCAATGTTAACAAACTAAATATGAAGATGGTTTATTCTGCCATGGCCCCCCCACAGGATGGTATGACCTGTAGACGCCCCGCCCCCTGCTGGCCAGAGACGCTACATAGGTAAGGTCAGCTGACTGATACGGATGACGCAATGGCAACAGCTCACAACAACTTCGCCAGCTCACGAGATGCACACGGAAGAATGACTGGAGGGAATAAACAGCGATAACTAGAGTTTCCTGTTATTTAAAAGGTCAGTCAATGGCCAAACGTCCACACAAACTTAACAAATAAGCAAATCAACACATAAGCGAAACAAATAAGCAAACAAACACATAAGCGAACAAATAAGCAAACAAACAAACACGTCCCCGCTGTGTTAGCTTACAGCTATGCTAACGCCGCTACAGTTGCTACAGTCCGGCCGAATAAACAAACCGCTCATTGTCAAATTCACCCGAGTCATGGTCACTTCGAAATAATAAAATACCATGACATTTCATACTTTTTTTTTAATGGACTGTGTGATATTTTCGCTACTGTAGTTGTCAGTGGATGAGCACTTCCGGTTTACAGGCTCTGATAATGTACACACATCACTTCATACATGATTCTCTACATTTTCTCTAGCTTAAACATGGTTTTTCGAGGTATTTAATCCATTTGTGTTGTATGTTTAGCAGCAGATATACTCTGTCTGCAGTGGTGTTAGGGTGCAGTTTTATTCATAGGCACATTGCCTATCTTGTAGCTATGATGTGTGTGTATAGCTCCACCTGGTGGTCACTAACTGCACATGCTATAAGTCTTTTCTGATATTTTCATTCTATAGTCAGTACGTACTATTCTGACTTCCTGGTGTCTTTTTCTTCTTTTCTCCCCACAGGACTGCGAGGACATTCATCTGACATCAATGAAGACGGTGGCTTCTTGTGTTTCTGAAGAACTTACGGTACTAAACTGTGACTATTTCTGATATTGTCGACATACGTCGACAATAACGTCGACTATGTCGTTTTTGTTCATTTTTTTGGACATACTATACTTTGTTCATTTTTTGCATTTTTATATATTATATATATTTTCATTCTACTAAACTGACGTCATGGTGTCTTTTTCTTCTTTTCCCGGAACACCGAGTGCAAGTACATCTGACATCAATGAAGACGGTGGCTTCTGGAGTTTCTGAAGAACTTACGGTACTATACTATGACCATTTCTGATATTTTAGACATACTATACTATGTCATTTCTTCTGATATTTTAGACATACTATACTGACTTCATGGTGTCTTTTTCTTCTTTTCTCTCCACAGGACTGCGAGGACAATCATCTGACATCGACGAAGACGGTGGCTTCTGGAGTTTCTGAAGAACTTACGGTACTATACTATGACTTTTATGATATTTTAGACATACTATACTATGTCGTTTTTTTCAAAATGTCTTCTGATATTACTATATTATACTTTTTCATTTTTTATTCACATTTTTCACCCTAATATATTAATAGTTTTTTTTCTAAAACTTCTATACTGTGTAGTTTTTACTGACATTTTCAATCTACTATACTGACTTCATGGTGTCTTTTTCTTCTTTTCTCCCCACAGGACTGCAAGGACATTCATCTGACATCAATGAAGACGGTGGCTTCTGGAGTTTCTGAAGAACTTACGGTACTATGCTATGACTATTTATGATATTTTAGACATACTGTACGATGTTTTCTTTTTGCATTTTTCCGGCATTGGTTAGGGTTAGGGTTATGACTTGCTATACATGCTATATTATGACTTTTCGGTCATCGTTATCGACATACTATACTATGCCTTGTGTCTACGCACTAAACCGTGCCTTATTTCCACATCAAATACGATGTTTTCTCCGACATTGGTTAGGGTTATGACTTTTTTGTCATTTTTTCAACATGCTATATTTTGACTTTTCTGTCATTTTTTACGAAATAAAATACCACGCCTGGTATCCACACACTATACCGTGCCTTATCATGGCATAAAATAATTAATTTTATTTTTTTCCAAAAAAATCGACATACTGTGTCGTTTCTAATTTTTTGAATTTTTTATAAATGCTATATTATTACTTTTCTGTCATCGTTATCGGCATTACTATACTACGCCTTGTGTCTACGCACTAAACCGTGCCTTATTTCCACATAAAATACGATGTTTTCATGGGTTAGGGTTAGCTATACTGACTTCATGGTGTCTTTTTCTTCTTCTCTTCCCACAGAGAGTGAAGACCCCCCCCCCATCATCGGCTGCCTATGTTGCTGAAAAACTTGTGGACGTTTTCAGCCTTGGGGAAATATAGCAGACTTAGCAGCCTTTGGGACGTATAGCAGACTTAACAGACTTAGCCAACTTGGGGCGGTGGCTGGGGTGCCGAGCGCCCCCCCCCCCAGCCACATCAGCCCCCCGACTTAGCAGACTTAGCAGGCTTAGCAGACTTAGCAGACTTAGCAGACTTACAGTAGCAGGCCTACAGACTTAGCAGACTATCGGCAGTGGCTGCAGGGCCAGTCTCACTGCCAGGAGTGCAGTGAGAGCCGGCAGCCACCTATCGGCCGCTTAGCAGACTTGGGGACGTTTAGCAGACTTAGCAGACTTAGCAGACTTAGCAGACTTGGGGACGTTTAGCAGACTTGGGGAAAAGGCTACACTGCTATGTATGAATTGTATGAATAAATGTGAATAAAAAAAAAGTTTATTAAAATACATTTATCTCCTTTGTTCATTTCCAGTTCCTAAGATAGTATCCTATTCACTACTCTCTTACTTCCTAACCCTCCTTTCTTCTATTCCCTTAATTAGCATCCTATTAACCAATTAACCCTATTAATGTATTCATGACCCCTTTATCCTTATCCTTATCTACTCTCTGCAACGTATAAGGCTCGAACCTGCAACCTCTGGCCTACCAACCACCCTTCTTATCTCCTTGAGCTATCAGACCTGATGACAGTTCTCTGCTTTTACTTGTATTTGACTTCTTCATCAAGGGAAAGACACATTCAAACTCTGCATGGCACAAGACTCAAACTCCTGGGATCTTTAAACTCAGTGGACCACCCGAGGTTTGAACTCACGTACTCTGGTCTCCAAGACGGGTTCTTATCACAGTGAGCCATCCGACCTGACACAGTTAGATGTTCAAGCACCTCTTATTTGACCTGAGACATTATTGTTTCGTAGAGCTTATGTGTTGTTCATTTGGGTTTGTGGACCTGAAAGATGACTGCACCTGAAGAGCCTTGAACCGACAACCTTCAGTCTCACAGGCAGTCTTCTAACGCTCTGAGCCATTTGACCTGACACAGTATGGGAAGGTTTTCAAGTGGTTTTGCCTTTTTATTTGGGATGATGGACTTTAAGAAACAATGCACCTCACAAGGATCGAACTAACAAACGTTAGGTTTCGGGGCAATGTTGTATCTCTCTGAGCCATTTGTTCTGGCTCTTGTCCTTTTCATTTTCTAATCTAATTCTTCACTTTGGTTGTTGCTTGTTGGCTTTCAAAAATCACTGCACCTTAAGAGGATCGAACTTAAGACTTTAGGGTTGCTGAGCGGTTGTGTATCTCTTTGAGCTATTTGATCTGAGCATCTGGTGTCTGGTTTGGTCAACTAACCAATACTTCACTTTGGTTGAAAGATTGCAAAATATCACTGCTCATAAACCCTAAGCCTAAACTTCAGCTTTCTACAATGGTCCTCTGTTTGAATCTGTTGTCTGTATTTCATGTACTGCTTCAGACTGAGGTTAGGACCGCCCACCTCATTAGCATACGGACACATAAATAAATAAATAAATGTATGTCGAGTAAATGTAGAAATATATCCGTATGCTAATGAGGTGGGCGGTCCAAACCTCAGAAGCAAGAGATTCGTGGCAAGTCATATCTGTTCATTCTGAGCCCTCTGCCAGAAATGATCACACACTCCTGTAACCAATCCTGCTTCAGACTGAGGTTAGGACCGCCCACCTCATTAGCATACGGACACATAAATAAATAAATAAATAAATGTATGTCGAGTAAATGTAGAAATATATGAAGGATATATAATAACGTGTGTTCTGTTTTATTTATTTATACATTGGTGTATTTATTTCCATATTTATTTATGCATTTATTTATTCTTTTATTTATTTATTTATACTTAAGTCATGTTCCGTCCTCCATAAAAATACAAAGCTCAAGAACAGGAACCAGATTACATTTAGAAATAACAGTTATAAAAATAGCTTTTTGTTACGTGGGTAATAATGGACACATTAAAGAAGGAGAGCCAAAGCTTGCATGGAGTGATGACCTTTTATTTGAGGAGGATAGTGCTGACAAACATTCATATTAAAGTGAGGTGGCTTTACAGAAGAGATGCTGTGAGGCTCGACACTTTGGTACATTCTGGTAAGACAAACTGAGGGAAATATATAACTATGTTCATAATGTGAATGGATATAATATTAGTTTGTACATTCAAGTGTGAACAAAGGTCCCAAGCTGGATCATAGCTCCTTCTATTAAATATCAGGGTCATTTCCTATGAAAACATTCCCATGTTGAAATCAGATGACCTAGTTGTTTTTGACACCTCCCTCTAGAATAACTATCTTTTGCTCTGATCTGGTTGTGTGGGGCAGAAGCAGATCTTTAATCATGGGGAGATTACAAATAAAATAATGCAATTATCAACTGCACAATTAATTGAAATGTATAAAAAATGATAATGATTTTATCCGGAATAGGGTCTTGTGGCGCTGCAGAGAAGTCCCAGTGTTCTACAGACTAAATAAAAAATCCTGTTTGGGAGTGTCCTCTTTAAAAACACACCATGATCATTTTTAATATATCTTTCAGTTATATAACAAATCAGAGTAAATGGATATGCTTACCTACTAGGTCATTTAAAACATTGCAAATAAGTGTTAACCCTTTTTTTGAATCTGGTACAAAATCACAAACAACACTACCTCATAAAGTGAGTTACATTCAAATCACAGAACATTAGAAAATCTCATTTCTTCTTGTCGATGAAAAAACTGTAACAATTCCATTCCTGCACTGGAAAGGGAGCAGAAGAGCCTCTCAGGGAAATCGCTCAAAGATTACCAAAAGCCATACGAGAAAGGGGAGTGCAGAGTGAACGGGCCACAGGGTCGGACCCCCGAGACCACCAGAGGCTGCAGCTCTAGCAGTGAAGGCAGTGTTCGCTTCTTCTTCCTAAAGTGATACAAACAAACCCCCCAGGTCGGGCTCCGATTGGTAGAACCCTGAAAGTAAAAGTTCTGGTCCCAAAGGCAGTGATTCTTCATTCCTCACATCACACAGGTGTGTCACTAAGTTAAATACGTGCAACAAAAAGGTCCTTCGAGTGCAGCTTTATCAAATATAGCCCGTCGTGACAGGAAAGGGGCTTTAATCCAGCTTCTTCTTCTCTACCAGCAGCAGGCCTTGGGAGGGGGTTCTTGGTCGCACCAGGGTCTCATTCCAGTCCGAAGGTGCTGGTCTCCTCCACGGCCGTCAGCATCTTCTCGTACAGCATGGAGAAGGAGGGGTAGGGGGGCAGGTCCAGGCGGTTGAAGCAGGTGTGAGCTCTGCAGAGGGGGGGGGTAGAGTTAGAACGATGTCATTCAAAGGATCAGTTTATTATTGAACGTCTGTATAATCAATATAACATTTTAGCCACTGTGAAGCTCATGTTGAAGTGGCTTTACCCTTCTGAACACACCTCAATCTAATTGTATTCATTATAGCCCAATATCACACCAAGGTATTGTTTTATCAAATGAAATATACCCTTAAAGGTGGGGTAGGTACGTTTGAGAAACCGGCTCGAGATACACTTTTTGTTATATTCCATGGAATGCTCTTAACATCCCGATAGCAATGAATATCTGAAGTGCTTTGACACAAAATCCATAAAAAAATTTAATCTGTGGAAGCCGTAATACTGTAAAAAGCACGACCAATCATTTTAGCCGGCCCGGCTAAAATAACTGGATGGCCTACCTGCCTGTCAGCCTTCCATCTGTGCACAAACTTATCTCGTGCCCTCATTGGTCATGTGTGCGTTCGTGTGTGTTGGAGGAGGGGCTCTGTAAGGAAGTGGCAGATTTTTTCCGGCTGTGTATTTTCAAATTTTAGCGCACTCGAGTTGGTTTCTCCAAAATGACCTACCCTACCTTTAAGCAAACAAGTAGGGTGTGGAACTGTGACTGCTATTTTTACCTTAGCACTTCAATTTGAGCCAACTAATGACTTATATTGTGTTATAATAGTAACAAAAGAAGAGAATACTTTCAAAATGAACGCTGGTTTATCTCACTAAATGAATGTTGATTTAAACATTTGTGTTTTATTAATGTATGGGATTTTCTAAAGAGTTCCATACTAAGGCTATACAACCATGTCTCCATTCCTTGGTATTTTACTTATTTAAACCTAAAGAAGAACTAGGCATTGTCATGCCACTTGCATCACTTTTTGCCACCGAACAGTCTACCTTCCTGAGGCTAAAAACGATGTGAAATCAGAACTTATTTAAGTTAAAATGTCCAGAAGCAGACCATGCTGAGCTTCCTACCTGGGCAGTGCGCTGACCTTCCCCCACTTCTCCACACAGAACCTGCGGGGCCCGTTGCTGCCTCGCAGGGCGGCGAAGCCCTCGTAAGGAATACTGGACGTCCCCGTCACAAACTGGAGAGGGGGGGGGGGGGGGGACAGAAAGAGAGGGAGAAGATGGGGTTCGAACTGTTGTGCTTTACCTCAAAGTTGAAGAAATATCACAACACACACACACACACACTCTCACACACACGTACCTGCAGGAGCCGTAGTCTCTGTTCATTATTGAACCTCTCCACCGCTGCCCAGAACCACCGGATCACAATATGGTTGTCATGGTAACCTAGACATAAAACATCATATCAAATCATCAAGAAGCCTGTAATCGGATCCCTCGAAAAGCATGAAATAGCCGTGCCTTTATTTCCTATTTACAATAGAGGAATAATAATAAAAGCAAAAGATATTGGGTTGCAGTAAAGTAAATAAAACAGCATTTAAAGAATCTAGTCTGTTTTTCTTCCTCACCTCCTCTGTACTCCGTGTTGCTCCTCCAGTCTGATAAATCGATCTCCGCTGTGCCGGCGATCACCAGCTCCAGCTCCCTGGCATCGAACACTGACACCAGCCTGGAGTCCACCACCTGGAACACAACATGAAGAGCCTCTGAGGATCCCATTTGCTACTGTACCGGTTTATACTTCTTACATATCAGATGGTTTCATGAAACAGATGCACTTTGATCAGAATATGAACTGTACATAGATCGATGCAGAAAAAGCTGAAGTACCTCGTAGAAGCCTCTGACCAGGCTGTCGGTCTGCTGCACCACCCCTCTCTCTATCCTCCACTTCACCATCCGCTCGATGTATTCCTTTTTGTTCTTCTCCGACACTGGGATGTCTGCTCCTCCGGGCCTCAGCTCCCTCTCTGTGATCTACGCACACACACACACACAGGAAATCAAACAAACTGAATCCACATTTGTCATCGCTTCTTTTGTCAAGACACATCACAATTAAATACAAAGAAAGCTCACTCACACCGATGCACACCATTAAGAAGAAACACACACACACACACACACACACACACACACACACACACACACACACACACACACACACACACACACACACACACACACACACACACACACACACACACACACACACACACACACACACCACACACACACACACACACACACACACACACACACACACACACACACACACACACACACACACACACACACACACACACACACACACACACACACACCACACACACACACACACACACACACACACACACACACACACACACACACACACACACACACCTGTCCGAAGACCTCCTCATTGACGGTGAAGGTGAGGTCCAGCATGTCCTCGATGTCGTTGTCCTTCATCCACTGCAGGGACTGATGGAACTCCTCGTCCAGGTACTCCAGGTCACTCAGCTCACAGGGGCTGGGGGGGGGGGGGGCAGGGGAGTGAGTGTGGGAACGTGTGTGTGTGTGTGGCCGAGGGGGAGCAGCACATGTGTGGAAGAATACTCCAATATTCAACATTTTAAACACGTCAACAGAAATATATAGAAACATTGAATACATGTGTATTTGTGCATGTACACACACACTGTACGTACATGCGCAGTAGGCCTTTGTAGAAGGGTCTGGTGAAGAAGGCGTCCAGCAGGTACTGATGGATCAGAGCCAAGCCCAGAATACGACCACTGAACCGGAACCTGAAACACACACACACACACACACACATTAGATCCTCTGTGCGCTTCATTGTCTGTTGAATAAAGCTGGTAGTAGAAGCTCACCATTCGTGGTGATTGTCTACGAAGGCGGACATGGGGCTGATCTGCACGGTGTAGGTGTCATTGGCCGAGTACTCAAACAGACCATAATAAGGGTTGAACAGCTCCCTGGAAACCAGGAAGAAGAACTCTCTGGAAGGCCCGCTGTAGTCCAACCTGCAAAACACACATTTAGATACCAATAGTTACTGCATTGCTGTACACATTACAATCCAAGTTATGATGATAACTCAAAGTATTCTGATTCTGATGGATATACTTATTTACATTCCACCTGTGTGGGTTTCATGCTTATTCCTTCCCTCCCACCTACTCACCCCTCCTCCCCCACAAAGCTGACGTAGAGCTTGCTGCGCTGCAGGTCTTTCCGGGAGTAGCACATGATCTGATTGAAGGCATCCTCCAGCAGGTGGTCCCGGCGGATGATCAACCTGAGACAGGGACAGAAGGCAGGTGAGCGGACAGACACACAGAGACACAGAGGAGATGCTTTTCTCCGACAGATGTGAATCCCTTACTTGAGCTTCCCTGGTCCCTGACCGTAGCCTTTGGTTTCCAGTTTCCTGTAGAAGTTGCGCAGTTTGGCCTCAAAGTCTCTCTTGTACGGGGCTGGGGCTCTGGCATTGGCTCTCTGAGTCCCTACAGGCAGAGAGGAGGGGGGGGGGGGGGGGGACATGTACTCCTTCAGGGCCCGTGTCCACAGCTGGTATTACTGGATATCAATGCAGGTCTGAAGGCAGCTACTGTAGGTTCTAATAACTTCTGCCTACAAGGTGTTGGCCTTAATGCAATAAGATGCCATGTCTGTGTCTCTTACCAGGAGAGTTCTGCGGGGAGGAGACGGGAGACCCCCGGGGGGCCTGGCAGTAGCTCGGGTGCAGTAAGGCGTGAGGCGGTACGTAGCACATCACTTCATCTTCAAACAGACTGCAGAAGAGAGAGAGGAGAGACTGAGGTAACTGAACACATTCAATAGAATTGTTGAAAGGCAGGAAGTGCATTAGGAGGAAGTGAAGAAGAAGAGTGATACACAGATAATACAATAAGACGAGTAAATGCAGCTGTTACCTTAACAGCATGACAAGGTCAGCGTCACCTGACAGCCGGGCCAATCCTGAGCCTCCGTCAGTGCGGATCAGCTGCACCTTCTCCCTGTCGTCATAGCAACATTACAATGAAACAGATGCTGCTGACTGTAACTGTGATTTTGAATACAGGACTCGTAACAGGTTTTTTACCCATCAGACAAATGTGTGAATCTGAGTGTGTGTGTGTGTGTGTGTGTGTACCTGAGTGAATGGTTCCGGTTGAACTCAGGTTGTCTCTCCTGTAAAATCTCGAAGATGTTTGGTTGTCGAAGAAACGCCACAATTTTGTCGTTGTAAGCTGGAAGAAAAGCAGAGACATTTGTGTCGGTCATATTTGACTCATTTCTGAAAAGCAGACGGGTTGTGTGTGTTGGTACTGACCCACTGGCACCACGTCCTGACTCTGCCCCCTGTTGGTGGAGCTGAAGGTGCTTGAAGGTCGCGGCAGGACCGGGGGGCCGGCGTGACGAGGGTCTTCACCAACCTTCAGAGAGGACAATTATTTTAATGTACGGCTTAGTTGAATACTGGATCCTGATTGGTCCATTTCCACATTTGAATGTCTGTTATTACTCTAGAGAAGACTGCTGCTAGGTATAACGTTGATCATAGGACGTTGATAGATGTATTTAGTAAGCCGTCCTTAAAGTGGGATAATGTGCAGTTAGCTGGTCAATATTACACTGCACATTTAAAACATCAGTCTACTTTAAGTTATTTGGGATGACACACAGGTGCTTCAGGTATGTAGCTGACGTACCAGTCGCCGGGGGCTGACCTCCCCGGCGCTGTGGCTGCGTTGGCGGGTCAGGTGTTGGCGGTGAGCCAGGACGCTGGGGGGTCGGGTGCTCTGCAGGGGCAGCCGGGGGTCGATGAAGCTGGTGGCGCGGCAGTTATGATCCACAAAGAAAGGCTGCGTGTATACACAACACAAGAAATGTCAAGTATTACATTACATGTCATTTGTTAGACGCTTTTATCCAGCACACTACCCACTGAGCCACAGCCTCCCCAAGTATTTCTTCACATATTTTAAAACATCAGCTCAGGGTAGACAGCTTAAATGAACTCTAGATATATTCAGGATGGAGGTTTCAAATGTAACATAATGCTAAGGACTTTGGGTGCGCCCCCACCTTGCCGGTGTGGTCGTGCTTCATCTCCCAGCCTCGGGGCAGCTCCAGCTGTTTGTTGGCCATCATGTTGAGGAAGGCCACCAGGTCTCTGTTGTGCTGGTAGCGCTCAAAGTGGTGAGCATCCCTCCGCACCTTACTGATCATGTGCTTCAGACACGTGTTGGTGGTGAACATACGGTAGGCACTCTGAGCAAACAAGGGAAGCAGGAGAGGAGAGGAAGGAGAGAGGAAACGTGGAGTTAAGTGAAGTGGAACCACTGGGATATTATATCATCTATATCAATTCACCAATTTGAGAAGTAGTGTAATGAGTAAAAGCTAAATGTGTGTGGGGCAACCATCCAACCCTTTCCAGAAATGAATGTAGTTTTGGCAAATAGTGAATTATCTACGTCAGTGCGACCTATAATATGGAGGTAAGGGCAAAGAGAGACTGATCTTTGGAAAGAATAAAGCGATAGAAGAAGAAAAAGAGTCCGTACAGGGTTGGAATGAAGCACAGTGAAGAAGTCGGGGCTGGTGAGGAACTTGGCGCTGGGGGACTGGAGCAGCAGGCTGAGGCGGGACCTGGAGCTGGACTGAGCCACAACGCTGTCCCTGCGGAGTTCTGACACACACACACACACACACAACGTATCAGTATCTAATCATGCTTTACACATGGACCAGAATGCAGTGCATCGACAGGATCACCTGGGATGGACGGCTGCATGTCGGTCTCATCTGGAGGCAGCTCATTGGCTGGCGGTTCCTCTGGTCTGCCGTCATTGGTTATTGTCCTGCGTATACTCTGATACCTGCAGAAGTGTTGAGTTAATTACCATAGTGACACGTGTGTGTGTGTGTGTGTGTGTGTGTGTGTGTGTGTGTGTGTGTGTGTGTTGACCTGCGGTTGAGCTGCTCCATCTGCTGTATGGAGCTGGACCTCTGGAGGGTCTGTGGGGGGGGCGGAGCGGTGGGACGCTGCCATGTGGTGGTTCTGTTCACGTGGTCCACGTAGAAGATCCGACCGTGGCTGTCGATACGAGCCTCCCAGTCTGGCACACACACACACACACACACACACACACACACACACACACACACACACACACACACACACACACACACACACACACACACACACACACACACACACACACACACACACACACACACACACACACACACACACACACACACACACACACACACACACACACACACACACACACACACACACACACACACACACACACACACACACACACACACACACACACACACACACACACACACACACACACACACACACACATTGACAGAAGTGAGAACACATTCTGCAGAGTAGCTTTTGTGCATATGATAATAATAAAGCCTTTGAGTCTTTCTCTCTGAAAGTCATAATTACACCATATTTTGAGGTATGACAAAATAAAGAACGTTTTTACTGAGGACGTGGAGGTGAATCTCTAACTTATTTAATGCTTAGTGTCAGTTTAAGTGATTGTTTTCTATAGTAAATCATACAGAATACATGATAAGCATCAAGAAGCAGTTCATTTAGAATAAATCACACACACACACACACACTCACTAGGTGGTAGTGGCTCGTCCACTCTCTGGTAACGACTGATGTCATGGCGCACAGATGGCAGAGAGCGAACAGACTGGTGGCCATTGACCTGAGCTGTGGCACCTACACACGCACACGCACGCGCACGCGCACGCGCACACACACACACACACACACACACACACACACACACACACACACACACACACACACACACACACACACACACACACACACACACACACACACACACACACACACACACACACAGAAAACATGATGGAAAGTGCTCCAGTTTTATATTATTAATCCCTGATCCTATGACACGAAAGCTGTGGTCCACATTTTGGATGGGGATGTTCCTCTTATTACTAATTTCGGTACAGCATATGATTAATTTGGTCATGGGATTAATTTGTTTTAATATGCCACTTTCAAATGTGAACAATTCTGTCAAATAAAGGTCGTGTGTGGAGAAGTGTTGCTATAAAAACGGTTGTATATAAAATGACTTCTCTGTTAAGCATCTCACCCGTCTCCCCCTCCACCCCCACTTCCTGGGTTTGGACCGGGCCTGCACAGGCCTGCAGGGACTGCCTCCTCGTCCACACCTCCTCCTCCTCCTGCTGCTCCCGGCTGCTCCTGCTACTGGCCCTCGCTCCTGTAAACAACAACATTTTTAATGTGTGAATGAACTGTAATGTGGGAGATTTAAAGTCATTCAAACCGTTAGACACATTTCATATGACATATAGTATTGTAATCATTGTATTTTAAACAACCACCTACCAACTTCTGATGTCGCTCCTGCCTGGTCAGCTGTGCTGCGGTTTGCAGGAGCAGCTGCTACCGGAGCGTTGGCCTCGCTGCTCGATGACTCCCCCTCCTCCTCCGCCTTTGGAGCCACTTCGTTCCTTGTGTCCACCACCTCCTGAGGACAATAGAACAAGAGATTTAAAACCTGCCAGTTTGCTATTCTGTCTCAAAACTGGTGGATCAAGCTCTCAATTGATATCAGGACAGCCAATCATATACGCATCAGTTTGGTTTATTTGAAGCTAATGTGTGCCAGTTGAAATAAAAGCTACATTTGATGTAATGAAGAGATTTTGAAGTTAGTAAGTTAGTCAACAAACTACAGCTGCTCACCTGAATGGGGGAAAGTGGACCAAGTGAGGGGGTGCAGGGCAGATCACCCATCCTGCTGCTCTGCTCCTGACAGGTACACTCCCCCAGAGCCCCCCCCGGCCCTGCTGCTGCTGCTGCCTCCGCCCCTGCTGCCTGAGATGAGCTGGGAGCTGAGGAACTGTCTGCAGCTGACGGTCCAGCAGCTGTTGCTCCGGCCTCAGTTTGGACGGCCCCCTCTGCAGCTCCAGTGAGGGTCTCTGCGTTTGGACTCTGGTTCTCCTGAGACTCAGAGGATGTCTTTGATGAGTCTGTGTTCTGCAGCGTCCTCGCCTCCTGCTGCCCTGCCTCCTCATCCTCGTCTGAGTCTATGTGCAGCATGGCGTTGAGCCGCGTGTCCGTGGGAAAGCTGGAGCGCAGTTTGGGCGAAGGCCCCGCTGGGGGCCGCTCCCCTGGACTCGTGGGGGCCTCGATGGCGTCCAGGTAGTCGTTGAGCGACACCTGCCGGTGGGTGTGACCTCCCGCTGCCAGGGCGAGCAGATCCTCCTCTCCCATCTGCCCAGGGTCCCGCCACACGCTGTCATCGCCATAGCAATAAGCGCCATTGACTAACAGGGAGTCCTCATCGGGGCCGGTGGGAGAAGGTCTGTATACGCGTGGGGAGGAGGACAGGTGGGGGAAGTCTTCGTCGTCTGAGGGACTCCCAGGGTCCCCGTTAACTGCGCCGCCTAGGAGGGTCCCCACTATGTCAGGAGAGGCTTCTAACAGAGAGAGGGGGGGGGGGGGGGAAAGATTCAGAAAACGGCATATGTCATTTTGTAGAAAATGAATACAGAGAGAATCACAGCGACTTTGTCGATGCTTTAGCTACGTTTCTGGAAATTGTCGGACTTCATGCCAATTCAGATATCATTTATAATAAAGTTAAAAACCCTCTGGTTTCTCTTACCAGTTTTCATGCATTTCTTTATTTCAACAATACATGCAAATTTGTTTTTATCCCCGCCAAAATACAAGTACATACTGGTATTTGAAACTTGAGGACTTGTTTATAGTTACATGTATGTGATTCTCATATACATTCCCAACAAAAAGTATAATGTACAAACACACACACACACACACACACCTTCATGTCCAATAGAGGTGATGTCCACTCTGAACACGAGCTGCCCGCTCACATGGTCCGTAGGTAGACGCCGACACAGGCTGTAGCTGACTGCCTGATCACTGCACACACACACACACACACACACATAGGATTTCAATACTAAGGATACATTATCAGAAGTTCCCAGAAACACCAAATTCAGGCATACAAGCAATTGTGTGCACCCACTACATATACCTAACATTTCTGAAATATAATATGCATCTACATTTAAAAAGGGCCTACAAACGGTCCCCCTGTGCACACACTATACATCACAATTCACTAAAGTACATGATGTCCTCAGTCGCTAATCAATATCAGATCAATGTCTGAACGATGAGCTGATTAGGACTCATTGATCGGTATTGACTCAAGTTTGTAGAGTCACTGTGGTTAAGTGCTGAAGGTCACATTACTGCTTTCTGTCTGAGTGCACATTCAAAAAAGCAAGAGGTGCTATGGCTATGGCTATGTATGTGTGTGTGTGTGTGTGTGTGTGTGTGTGTGTGTGTGTGTGTGTGTGTGTGTGTGTGTGTGTGTGTGTGTGTGTGTGTGTGTGTGTGTGTGTGTGTGTGTACTTACTCCAATGCCGGCCCCTCCAGAAGTCTCTGCACAGGGAGGATCAGCTGACCCAGAAAGCGCTTGATGATTGGCCGGCTTTTGGCAAACTTATCCTTCACCTCGATCTCCAACACGTCCGTCATCAGCGCCACAAAGGTGTACTTCTACAGAGATAAATTGGATTTAAATGTTATTAAATGTTATTATATTGGGTTAGTTCCATCTCTGCTTTTGTCCCTTAACTGCTGAAATTGTGGAAGTATTCCCTATTCTGAATATTTGCTACTCTAGGGACACCTCATTGTGCATTCACACTAATTGAAACACTTTCGGATGCCTTGGATTCGTCGGTGTGTGTGTTTGCGCTGACCTCTACGTGCCACTCAGGGTTGGTGGTGTTGGCGATGATGGAGGAGCGTCTCTCCTGGCCGTGGTGGGTGAACTTGGGGAGGCCGCTCCTCTTCCCAGGCTGGATGGACATCTTCAGGTAGGGGTCGGGGTTGAAGAACATGCCCTTCTTCAGACCCACCGCCCGGATGTCTATAGTGGAAACCACGTTAATAAGAATGGACGTTTATTTAACTACACCACAATTGAACAGAATCACTCCTCGCACCTGATAGGGTGAAGCTGACTAGTTTCCGACAGTGCTCAACGCCTGATTGGTCCTCCACTTGGCCTTCACCTCCCACCTGATGAGGAAACCAATAGGAGAGCAGTATGAGTGGATTACTTTTGACTACTTTAAGTGATTTATTAGGGAGAAAAATACATGAGAGTTTGATGAAAAGCTAAAAGAAGGAACATGAGAGAAGGAAAGGAATAACGGAGAGTTCAACATAACGGCTTTAAACTTTACTGACTCAACTGGAGCAAGCGTCACTTCATCTCAGTTTCTTCTGCCTCCCTGCATTCTCTATTTTTGTTTCTATGTTTGCTAAGAGGAGCCCAACATGTTATGCAATTCAATCTAGGTGTTAAGGGGCTGCAGTGAAGAGGACTTTCTTCGTAGACCACACATGTCCTGAACTGAACCCTATTAATAGCCTTCATTTTAAAACATTTGTATATACCGGTAGTAGGCAGTGGAAAATGCTTAATGCCTCATACGCACAGGCCTTATCTATATGGAGCAAGAGTCTCCAGTAATACCATTAGCTCTTTAAGGCTGTTCTTGTTCTGAAATATGCTCACTGATCATCTGGAATCCGATTAGGCAGCAGGATTGAGCATGTGAGAGAAATTCCAATGCACAGAAAAACTGGGAGAACAGTTGTCAAGGAAGGAACATGAGAAAGAAAGGAGTAGAGAGAGAAAATAGGAGGAAAGATTGGGTAACGTACCGGCACTCCAGGGTTCTTGACAGTGATGCAAGGTGTTGTTGCTCTTAACGCTCCACTTACACCATGATAGTACTTAAAGCAGATCTTAGTCTCCGCTGTGGGGAGAACACGTAAAAAAATATTACACCATCAGGATATCACCGGGATTTTTCTCTCAGACTTGACTCAATTCTTCCATGTCCGATGGAGAAGCAATAGAGTGGTCCACCTATTTTGACCTGATAGGTGGGTCGGACTACAAAACTACATCATCTCTGCCCCACTCTGTACATACTATAAAAGAGTCTTCACATGTAAAGTGGGGTTAACTTAGAAAAAAAACACCACTCACTCTCCGTGAAGTTGGGTTCCGTCTCCAGTCTCCACACTATCTGTCCTCTCTGGGTTCCGTTCACTCCACGATTTTTTGAGTCCCAAACATTGGCCACGCACGTCTCATCTGTGAAACACACACACATTTACATTCAGAAGCTGTAAGACATTTGGCAAGGTCACAAAAAGCAACGCTCGACTTAAATGTGGAGGAGTGGTGGTTTCTTTAATGTCCCGAGGCAGACGTAAAAAGGAAATACTCAGTCAAAGTAATTTAAAATTGTACTCAAATACAGTAAATGTACTTTACTATGCTCCACCTCAGGCCACCACTCAATTTATGCTGTCACTGAATGTCTTTCCTGTATTTCTTTCATGTTTCTGTGTATTTTAAATGAGGTAAGGAAGCGTGTTGGTGTTAGTTATTCCAGAGGGAGACCCTGCCCTCGGGTCATAAAGCACATCTGTGCCTGTTGAGCCATCAAACATTTATGTGTGCGTCCCGTGACAAATGGCCCGTGTCCTAAAGGATCAATGCTGATGTCTGTCAGCTTCACACACCCTCTGTCACACCAGGTCATTGTCAATCAATCCTCAGCCTTTGTATGTGACAGTGGATAAGCATTCCTCACACACACACACACACCTATTTGACCTGATAACCCTGCAATCATCCAGACCTTACAGTCAGAGATGCGACACACACACACACACACACACACACACACACACACACACACACACACACACACACACACACACACACACACACACACACACACACACACACACACACACACACACACACACACACACACACACACACACACACACACACACACACACACACACACACACACACACACACACACACACACACACACACACACACACACACACACACACACACACACACACACACACACACACACAGGTCAGAGAGCAGGGTTAGATGGAGCTCAGGGTTCCAGGGAGGCACGGCCGACAGTCAGGCTGGAAACAGAGCTCATCCCTGGGGAGAAACACCCCCTGAAATCCTCCTGCATGGGTCAATACCATCTGCAGAGAGATAGATCACCTTTCACCGGCTCTCTCTGCCTCCAGTAAAGGATTTCCCACTCTCTCTCTTTCACACACACACACTTGGTCACCTGTGGTTTGAGATGATATAAGGCTTTGTGTGTGTTATTGGCAGCTCTTTCACACCTGAGCCTGAGAACTGCTGGGCATCACATCACAGACCAACCGTTAGCAGAGAACGGCTTTTAGCTCACAATAATCTCATGCTACATTATCAGATTAAGACAATAGTAGCCAGTGGGAAAACATATATGGATCAATGCTATAAGGAAGAGTAATAAAAAACACTTGCATGTCTAATTGGCTGTATAACCTGTGCAATATTCAACTGTGCAATACTAACTTGATTATTACACTTGGGTATAGCATGTACATATTGCGATTATATATAATTATGTTATAATAACTACTAGGTGGGGAGGTGTGTTTGAGTTTCTCACCGATGTGGTACAGGCCGATCCAGTCGGTGGCGTCCACTTCCTCCTTGATGTCCCAGGAGATCACCATGTGGGTGTGGCCTAGAGTCAGCTGGTACGTTGACGCCGTGAGCGATGAGCGGCTGTCTGATGTCACCAGGTCTGTGTCGCTATTGGCCCGCTGGAGCCCCACCGTCGGCGTTTCTGATTGGCTCCCTGGGGAAATATCGGAGGGGGAGGAGGACGCAGATTCTTCGACTGCGCCCGTCGAAGACAGACCCTGGAGGTTGTCCGGACCAATGGTGTACGGTCGGATGTGCGGGGTGCGCCGACGCACCGCCAGCAGGTGCTCCCGGGCGCTGCTGTTGCCAGGCGATGAAGGCGGGGGAGAGGAGGAGGCAGTGGCAGCCATCGCCATGGCTCCCTCAGAAGAGTGGCCGGAGAAGGGAGGAGAGGATTGGTGGTGGTGGTGATGGTGGTGGGGCTGGGGGTGAGGATGGCGGTGGTGATGATGATGATGGTGGTGGCGGGGGGAGGAAGGGGCAGAGGAGTGAGAGGGTGAGGGGGAGGATGATCGGGGGCAGGGGCGGAGGACAACGGTTGCTAGAGAGGGCCGAATGGTGGAGGTCAGGTGGGTGAGCCAATAAGAGAAAACAGGAAGTCAGGGAGGACGAGAGACAGGAAGTAGACACTTTAGCTTAAAAGTGCACCACTAGTCCAAACTGAAGTCGCTGGAGAGATGAAGAGAAGAAGAACTGAAAAAAGATGGAGGGATAGAGGTACCGAAGGGCGATCACAAGAGAAGTATGCTGTCAAAAGCAACTTAAAAAAGAGGGTTCTGAATTCCTTGATGTACATTTCATTGGCCCTGCTGGCATTCCATTGGGCAAGGCACTTCAGAGTTCATCATTCAAGGTCTCATGAAGCAATATGAACCATAGTTTGTCTTCTGTCTTTGATCAGTCATGAATATTAAGTTTCCACCTGGAAGTCCTAACACCCTAGGACACCTGTCCAAAGTCCTGCTCTAGGACGATATAGTTCTTGGTGAATAATCCAGCTACCCATGATGAAGGACAGTGGTAGAAGTGGGAAAATATGGATGTATTGCGATCCAGGGAATTCTTCTGCTGGTCTGTCCACAGGGAGGAGAGGGGAAGGTGAAGACCTATAGGATAAAGAGAGGAAGAAAGAGTTAGAAAGCTGGTCGGGGAAAGAGGAGGACAAAGGGGACAGCAGCTACAACACAGATTAAGGTATTTTGCACTTCCTGGTTCATATAAATCCATATCTGCTCAACCCTTTAAAATATAACCCACACACACTTTGGTTTCCATAATGAGGGTGTTTACGTCCAAATCAGTCGCGTCATCCAATGCTTTCCTCCCTTCTATTGTTTGCCATAAGACTGGATGAATGGATGTGCACCATCCCCCGAAGCTTCAAAATGAAGCAACATGCTGCTGATAGAGAGATGATGTATGGGAGGTAGAACTCAATTAACCATCGAAGAAGAAGAGAAGACACAGGGTATATTATGGAATATTTGAAATGCCTAAATGTTGGCCACTTGGGGGCAGAGCAACATGACATAAACACTGATACGGCCCGTCCACACGGCGGCGTGAGTTGAAGCTTCAACGCTTCTGCCCATTCACTTTGAATGGGGTGACGTCACGCTTTGCCGAACTGCATTGTGGTTCCGTCGCTTCGCTTTGCTCGTGTTGCGTTACGCAGCGTCCACACGGCGGCGTGCGTTGAAGCTTGCCGGTGGGCGTGTCTGAAACTCGACCAACAACCAATCACATGAATCTCCCGCCCCGGACACACAAGCACGCGGTTTGATTGGCTAGAGCTTGTACTGGCATATGATTTGTTTGGCTGACACTTCCGCCGAAGCTTCAAAAGTTGAACATTGCTCAACTTTTGAAGCGAGCAAAGCGAAGCGACGCGACCACAATGCAGTTCGGCAAAGCGTGACGTCACCCCATTCAAAGAGAATGGGCAGAAGCGTTGAAGCTTCAACGCACGTAGCCGTGTGGACGGGCCGTTAATGTTCAACTTTTGAAGCTTCGACGGAAGCGTCAGCCAATCAAATCATATGCCAGTACAAGCTCTAGCCAATCAAACCGCGTGCTTGTGTGTCCGGGGCGGGAGATTCATGTGATTGTTTGTTGGTCGAGTTTCAGACACGCCCACTGGCAAGCTTCAACGCACGCCGCCGTGTGGACGCTGCGATAGTGGATATGGCTGGTTAACTATTTACACACCTGTCACATATGTGGCAAAATTAGAAGGGCAATTATTTTCATATTACATTAATCTGACACGCAGTTTGTTGAAGTTCAGAAAAGGATGCAAAAGCTCTTTCTTTCAGTCCCCGATAATTGGAATGTTCAATGTAATGTTTTACAGAATATCCCTGGCCATGCTAAAAAATATATCAGCTCATATAACAGGACAGCACATTATTCTTTTTCTCATAATCTTGACAAATATTTGAACTTCTTAGTAAAAAAAATCCAACCAATTTGTTTGTATCCATGGCCAAAAGATTTAAATACAATTAAATTATTAATTGAGCTCCAAAATTAAATATATTTTCTACTACCCACAAATAATCTTTTGTTTTGCTATTTGTCCATGTGGGCCACCTGAAGTGTTCCACTGTACTGTGTGAGGTTGATTTAGTGCAATTGTTCCCTCAGCAGTAGCTCCAAGTCTGCAGGTTATTTATACATGGTGAGACTTTGTGCCTAAATATATACACAAGCCAGTGAAAAAAAAGATCCAGGCACTGACATCAATACACCAACCAGTGGTAAACACACAGGCAGGCACAAACACTCCTACTACTCAAACTAGGCTAAGACAAATAAATGATGAATAGCATGCACAAGTGTTTCCTATAAAACCCTAATGTTTGTAAGCTGGACAGGAGGAGCATTTCACCCTCTAACTCTGCACTAAAATCGAAATACTGCTGATATTCGTCTTTGTGAGGCGGGGCTTGGGTTATGCGTACAGAAAGTGCTACATTACTGAATTATGCAAGTGCTTAAAAGCAGCATTAGGAAAGCTCAAAATGTAAAGAAAATCAGCCTAATTAAATCACAAAGTGGCGCTCCAGCTGAGGCTGTCCCTAAAGACATGCCAAAAATGTGCCCTATTTCCCCAAAGAATGTTGTGTAATGTTGTTGTGCTACACTTCTCTGCAGGGAGAAAATGAATACAAACCGCCCCTTTAACTGCCAGCGTACAAGATTTCTGGTTGGGTGTTGTTTAATATGGGAGACAAATTAAAGGTCTATTAAGTTAAATTTAGATCTGGATGAGGTTTGTACAAACGCACACACACACACACAGTCCTGAAATAGCTGTAGCGTGATTGGAGAACAATGAGGCGGTCCCGTCTGAGGCGACAGCTTCCTGTCCCCAAACACAACCATCACATTCCTCTGTGCCAGTGCTTGTGTGTGGGTTTGTTTCATGAGATTCTTTCACTTCTAACTTGTGCGGATCAAGTGCCAAATACATTTTGACAAGACATGACAGTGCTCCACCAACGAAGACACTAATTTATCCCCCAACAAATAGTAGTAAGGGTTTAAAACAATTGGATTTGAATTGAAAAAAGACGACTGGGTTGCATTATGGTTGTGTTTTCGTGGCTTCACCCATACGTCATGGTATCTCGGCCTCTAATGCTCCAGTCATTTCCTGTGGATAGAACATGAAAATCTACAGGGTCTTTATCTGGGATGGGAAATGATTTATCTTTTGTTGCCACACTTTGAAATGCTGTGGTTGTTTTTAAATCATGTGCCTAACAATAAAGATGCATATGTGGATTTGTTAATTAGCGCAATATGGCAGCAGTTTTATCCAAGAGCAGATTAGGAAAGGTCTTTTCAGTTGGTTTAATACAAAAAAGCATGGGGCAGGATGCATCAATAATTGAAGTATCACATAACTGGTCAATAGGCGTAGTAGTCTAAAATAGTCTCATGCACTTGAGTCTCCCTTGTACTTGAATGCAACGCCAAACTGCAGCAGAGGGATGGTGGAGTATGTAAATGCTGCTTCAACTTCTACTAAAGTGTTTTGAGCAGTACTCGACTTTCTACTTGAGAATTATTACCATTAAAATGTACTTATTGTACCAAAAGTACACTTCTTTTGTTGTGCATAATAGTCCATATAAATTCAATTACTGGATTATGATGTATTAATGTGATCATAAATGTGGAGCTAACTGAAAAAGATATACTGCTGCTGGACACCTTAACATTTAATAATATATCATAGTTCATGTATTAGTTTATTTTGTATTGGCTTATAATTTAAATCTGTAGTGTAACTAAAGTGATTCAAATTAATGTAGGGGAGTAACAAAATATAATATTAGCTTATAAATGTGCTGGGGTGGAAAAACTCAAATAAAGTTTTAGTACATAACTACAGTACTTGAGTATGCACTTACTTACATTACGCCAAGCCACTGGACTTACTGTAAATGTGTCAGTTAAGGCTATTCCTTCAGCATGAATCTGCTAAAGGAAGCCACATCCTCATTGATCGCAGCACAATAACGACCTGTCAATCATTTTCCTGAAATATTTAACCCCAGATTACACTTCCAGACATATGGGGCTATAAAGTGAGATAATAGGAGATGAGCTGTTATTCTGAGGTTGATCTAAATTGTGATTACTGCTCTGATCTGATTTACCCACATTATTTAACAGTGTGTAGGCTATGTAAGCACTGTTGACTTGTTTTTGCTTTTTGCATAAAGCTCCTTTTTATTTAGAACGTACGATGATGCTGAAGATTAATTTTGGCTGTTGTTGTTGTTTTTATCAGGCCTTTAAATGTTGCTCATGCGCTCAACATACCACATTAAAGTATGACTTCATCAGTTAAAAAGCAGCCATATACACAGCAGTAAACACATTTATGGGTGAAAAGAGATATGATCAAATGCATTTGAGTTCAGAAAGAGGGTCGTTAAAGGCAACATACGAGGCAACCCCCCGGTGTAAAATCAACCACATAACTGTCTATTATTATAACATACATCTGAGACGCGTCACTTGCCTTATTTACACCGAGTTAAACGTCGACTACGACCACACCTGAATGCAAGCCCTGCAGAATGATTATGAGCGAAGGACCTCCATACGGCCCGGGCACCACCGACCCTTCATCGGCTTCCAAGCGGGATCCAGAGCTCCAGAGGCCGGGCGAAGAAACGCTGCCCCTCGGTAGCCAGTCTGGTCAAACAAGCCAAACAAAACAATGTAATTCCCGTTTTTAAATCATAGTTCCGATCTCATTCTCTGAAAAATCTCCGTCATGATGCCAGGCTGCATAGAAGGACGCGTTCATCTCTTATTTATTCGGCTGGACCTCTCCACATCCGCCTCTCCGTTTCCGCCGCTTCACGCACTCTGCTCCCGGGCAGCTGACGCCCTGCCATGCCGGGGGAAATACAACCAGCCGCCTTCTGGTTATCACAATATGGAATCGTTATACCTGCTGGTAAGGAACTTTGTTTTAGCAGTGCATACTGATCGAGCTCAGCATCAAAATAACTGCTTTAACACCTCCCACCACCACCCATTTGTAGGTTCCCAAGATATAGGTCGCGGGTTAAAGGGGTCGCCAGACACAGGGACCACAACTTTGCTCCATTAAAGGTCCCATAATATCCTATTCTCACTCAGGTGTATTTAAGTCATTTTGAAACCATTAAAATATGTTCACATGCTGTTATTAAAAAAACATAGATGAATAGCTATTAAAAAAAGGCTTGTTTTTTCTGACACATATGTAAAATACCAAAAAATTATAATATGTCACCTTTAAGAAGACCATGAACCACTTTGTACTTTTCTCAGCACCTACCATCTAAACATGACACCCAGAATGACTATATAACTATGTAGATATCATGAACCCACTATTTATTAACTTCAAAAGAAGGTAGGTATATATTATTAATGATTACTAAGATAATATTGAGTACAACGGGCGGTGCAAATACGGAAGCAAAATCATAAATATTAATACTTTTATATTAAATATCTTGTACTAGAATGTGGCACTTTTTTAAAATCATTTTATTATAAATAACTACAATGAACATCCCACCACTTAATGAAGTACATGTAAATGATAACAAAAATTAGATACTTGAACTTTTACTGAGTATTTTCATTTTATGCTACTTAAAACTTCGAATCAAATACATTTTGGATACCAATATTGTATTTAACAAGTAGTTCATTCTTTTTTGATGCCAATACTTACGATTTTCAATGCAGGACCTTTACTTGTAACTGAATATTTTCAAAGTTTAGTTTTGCTACTTTTAATTTTTCACCACTGATTTAACATATGATCTCAATCCAGACAGATATTACAGGATTATTACCATTATAACAGGTCTTTTATGCTAGTTATGATTGAGAAGGAAAACGTTTAGTAGTATTTATACTGCGTTTTGAACAATAGTACTGCTCACATTATTCAGTGGCTGGGGAAAGCCCCTCCCCTCCATAAGTAGGCTGTCCCGCCTCTGGCCTGGCCTAGATGCAGTGCAGTGACCCGGGAGGGAAATATGATGGAAGCAGATGCTTGGGAGAGGAGAGGGAGGGATTTGGCAAATAATCCAACAGTCTTAATCCCTGCAATCACAAAAGAAAAAGGATGTCCATCACTCTTTCTGTCACATCACTGAAAACAAAAACATTTAAAAACAACAAAAAAGCCACAGAAGCATTGTGTCAATAAAAAGAAAAAAATGTAAACATCTTTGGTTCGAGTGAAATTCTTTATAAAACAAATATGACTTTCTTTACATGATGGGTTATAGCAGCCTTATTATAGTCTTACTGAAGCATTAGGACTGTATATACATTTATAAATAATGCAAACGTAAATCAAATAATTCATAAGAAAATCGGACATTTGCTAAAATGGGATTGGAACAATTATGAAATTGCCTAAATTAATTTAGCAGTAGTGCTACCAAAACTAGAAAAATATCAATACTATGAAATACTCTTACATCTCACAGCCTTATATACAACATAACTGAAATTACAGCATTTATATACATATGTACAGCTGGTTTGTACCAAAAATGCCTTGCTTACAAATGAATCAATACAGAAATAAAGACATTTCTAATTAAAAATGTAATACATTTAAACTTTTATTATTTTGTGTATCTGTATAAAAGGTATGATTTACCTTTTAGTACAATTTGGACATTTTTTTATTTACTTTTTTCTTATGTGTAAATAAATTTCTTCAGAAAACCCAATTTCCACCTAGGATAGATAAATATCTTTATTCTTTTTTCAGACAACGCAGTGTGTTTTGATGATCTGGTGGGCCATGTTCATGTTCCCGCTGGCCTGGTAGATGAGAGACAGGTTGAAGGCGATCTCTCTGCTCAGATCCACCTGATCGTCAGGGATACCCTGCATGGAGGGTCAAAAAGAGACAAAAAGAGGAAAAGATGTTGCGTTATTGAGGTCTACTGGAGAATTGTGCACAAAACTAGCAAAAAAGTAGTCACAATGTTACAGCAGACTGTAATAGTATGCGGTTATGTGATAAATAGTAAAGAAATGGTTATGTGATGTATGGACACACACCTCTAGTTTCTGAGCAGGCAGTTTCAGTGCCTTTTGATAATAATGTATAGCCAGATATGCGAGGCCCATCTGATGCAGCGCTCTGCCCAGGTTGTACATGCTCTCCTGACACACTCCCCGCAGCTCCACATACCGCCACAGGAAGGAGAAACCCTGAAAACACACATATTTGAATAGGAGAGTATGTCACTGTACAGAAACTGTTAAAGAGGGAGTATGATTCAGACTCTGTACCTGTAGCACCAGCGCATGGCGTTTGGCCACATATTTCTGAGAGGCCATGTGGAAGAAGGTGAGGCCCACACACAGGCTGTGGAGGGGGGTGTCGGGGTGAGTCTGGAAGGCCTGGACATACTGGCCTAAAAAGAAAATGTGTTAGAGAATCATAACAATGGAAAACAAACAAATACTGCCTAATCTCACACCAGAAACAAACAGGGCTAACGGGACGATTTGTGGAAGACCTGAAAGCAAATTTAAATTATAGTAGCAATTCAAATCTATGGGCAACAATGAACAAACCTGGACATCAGGAGAAGGATGCTGTAACAAACAATGTTGAACTTAAGTAGAATATAATACAAATAAATTAAATATAAAATGGTACCTAGGGCATGTTTGAAGCTTCCGGAGACCATGGCGTTGTGACCGCACAGGAAACACAGGGCGTGGTTGTCAGGATGCTTCAGCAGGAGGCGCAGACAGAAGCGATGGTGACGCTGGTGTTGGGAGGTGATAGTCAGCTGAGGGGGAGAAAAAACATATTAGACATGTTTTATTTCACAAAAACAGCCACATGAACAGGAATAGGTACAAGATTGTTTGCTATTTAAATGAGCATTTACTACTCAGAGGGTCAGTGGTTCGATCCCAACACAAACAGTCAATTTGCCAAAGTGTCTTTGGGTAAGAAACTAACTTAAAATACCCACATTTTCCCCCCAGGCATGTCTACAGTATTGAAGTATATGCAGACCTGGTTGAAAATATTCCAAAGCTGAGGCTGATCCCGATTTTCCATCAACATCAATCTGGTGAGAAGAAGGAAACAGACACAAGACAATTCTAACTTTCAACAATTAACCCTCCATGTGAACATCTGCCTGATGGAGCTGTACGCTTGACTCTACCTGATGTAGTTGTATGCTTTGTAGTAGTTGTGGTCGAGGATGGTGGCGGACAGGCCGAAGAACTCCAGCTCCTTCCTCCGCGGCTTGTTGTCGTAGAAGGAGTAGAACTCCATGGCAGACTCCACCAGCAGCTCAGACTCCTCGTAGCGCTTCACCTCGCTCATCGTCTGCACGCAGCTCACCAGCAGCTGCCACCAGTCCTCTCTGGACAGGACGTTGGTCTTACCTGGGGGCGAGAGGAGGCCAGCAGTATGAAATGTAATGACTCATAACAAGAGTGGATAAATAGATAACACTTTATATTGGCTTTATTTAATTTTCTACTTATCATAGACAGAATAGAATTGGGAGGGATGAAACCCTCTTTTAATGGTCTCGCATGCAGAGCACACAGCACACACAGTGAAATGTGTTCTCTGCTTTTAACCCATCCTAGTACCAGGAGTCTAGCACTAGGAGAAGTGGGCAGCTATTGTACAGCGCCCGGGGAGCAATGGGAGTGAGGGGGGAAGGGGGCTGTCCGGTGCCTTGCTCAAGGGCACCACGGCAGGGCAGGAGGTGAACTGGGACCTCTCCAAGTAGCAGTCCACACTCCATATTTTAGGTCTGGTCGGGGACTTGAACCGGCGACCCTACAGCTCCCAGTCCAAGCCCCTACTGACTGTCGGACAATTACCTGTGTTGTCCAGATATGCAGCCTCATGATCATCAATCTCTGGCACCATGTCTTTAGACTTCACCAGTCTCAGGTGACTCTCCCCCGACAAGGTGACAGAACGCACACACACCTTAGCTCGCTGCATGGACACCTAACACAGAAACATGGAATCATCCTTTAATGACAGAATGAATGTCTGAAGCTTCTATGTGTCATATAAATAGCGGTTACTAACAAGTGACTAAATGAGACTACACTACACAACATTAGCCGCCTTTAGCTTAGCGGTGGTGACGTGAAGATGTGTAGTTCCTTAATAGCCTAGTGTTAGCTTTTTGTTTCTGTTGATTGCTTTTACGCTTTAACTATTATAACAGTGTTGTGTGAGTGAGTGTTACCTTCAGCAGCATGGAGATCATAGTGATCATAGCATCCAGGTAGTCCTGTGTGAGTCCCTGGGTCTTCAGCAGGGTGGAGCGATGGAGAAGCAGCTTCAATTCCTACAACCACGGCACATATAGTGATGAGAGTATACACACATTGACAACTCAATAATCCTGGCACTCTCTAAAATCCATAAAGTAGGACAATGGGGGTACTGGATAACTTGAGTTTTTTTGTAATAATGTATTGCCCATGAATTTAGTGATGGATCCCTGCTCATACCTTCTGTGCGGCTGAAGAGTCCTGTGCCAGAGTGTCACTGTCGTACATGGACTCCAGAGCTTTGAGGGCGCAGTCGGGTCGGCCCAGCTGCTGCTGCAGGGTGGCCAGGGAGAGCCGCGCCTCCAGGTGCTGGGGGGCCATATCCACCACTTTAGTGTAGCTCTGTGCCGCCACCTCCATGTGGCCCAGCGCCTTCAGACACTCTGCAAAAGTGTCCAAATAGGTGATTACTATACCTACTATAATTAATAGCTAATTACATTTTTCTGCCATATATGCCCCCTCTTCTGCATGACAGTCTACAGATTGTGTTTTGTTCACTTTAACTTTCACTTCCTGTCGGCCCCACCTGCGTGTCGGAGCCAGACGACGGCCAGGTTGTACTTCTCGGAGATGACGAGGGCGGACAGCAGAGGCAGAGCAGCCATGTACTCGCCCTCCTCCAGGTAGGCTTCAGCTACATCCAGGTACAAGTCCCCGATCTCCTCCTGACTCTGCTCCATCAGCGACGACACCAGGCCCTGTGGGGGGGTTCGTACAGAGATAGATGTTTTGTTTATTGAACATGTCAGAAACAAAACGTTTACGACAAGTCTCCAAAAAAGTTTAAACTCAATGGTAAAAGTAAAGTTGTGTTTACCTCCAGGGGTGTGATGACATGCAGGTGAATGAGGCAAACCATTAGCTTGGCCCTCAGGTCCACTGGGACACTGTCTGGTACTTGGACATCCCGAATTTCACCTGGGGAACAACAAATAATTCTCAATAAGCGTAACAATGCACGTTGAATACAGTTTGTTTGTGATGAACATTTGGATTTTGTGTTAAAGGATTGTCTATCTTAATCCATTTTGGCTACATAAAGTACCCTTTGATAGTGATGACTAGTGTCTGCTCATCTCTGATAATTGCATAATTTTGAAAAATAGTTACTCACCGTTCTCTTCTGCAGCTATTTCCTCTACAGTCTTCACAGTTGTTGTACATTCTTCATTCGTATTTGCTTCTTCCTCAGTCATCTTCTCTGCCTCCTTCTCTTCTTCCCTTGGTTCTACAACATCTGGGTTGGATTCATCCCTGACCAAAACTATAGCTGCAAACTGGACCAGCACCTAGAAGAGCACACACAGAGTATTTGCTTCACTAAGAAAAAACGCACCTTTTATTCCTCTGAATGACAAGCAAACTGTTTATTCACTGAACACACACACACACACACACACCTGCAGGGCCTTGTTGTACTGCCGGTTGGAAATGAAGAGCTCGGCGGCCATGTTGATGAAGTCATCGCTGACCAGGTCGGGGTGTCGCGCAAGAGCTTCCTCAATTACCCCCAGAGCTGAGGGCAAGTCATTACTCTCATAGTAGCTCCTAAACAAGACACACACACAGAGATGTTGCTAAACCTACAACCTTATGACACTTTATTAAGGAAATACTGTGATAGTGGATGTGGTTTGTCTCTCAGTGTGTGTTCTGTACTTGGCCATGTCCTTGGAGAGCTGCATGAAGTGCTCCCCGTCCTCCATGGGCAGCAGGGACAGGATCCTGCGGTATCCGTCCATGCACTGTTTGTGTTCGCCCAGGCGCATGTGCAGGCTGGAGCGCTCCCACACGTAGCGTACGTTGGTGGGGTCATATTTAATAGCTGCAGAGGACAAGAGTGAACGGAGAATATTAATATTGATAGTAGGCTCAATATTGCATTCTTTCATTGTTAAAAAAGTAGGTGAAAGAGTTATAGTTGTGCTAACCCAGAGATAGTAACGCAAAACACAATTATCCAATAAGTGGTGCAGTGTTAGGTGTGGATTGATTCAAAAGACGATGATGAGAACAGCCTACTCAACTTTGTGGCAAAAGTACTCGTAGAACCCCTTGCTAGACAAAGAATACACCATGGTTCTTCTCATGTTTGAATCTAAAGTCACTGACCCTTCGAGTAGCAGACGATGGCCTGTCGGATGTTGTCCTGCTCCAGAGACATTTCGGCCAGTCTGACCCACTCCTCGCAGTCTGAGGGGTTGAGATGGGCCGTGATCAGACCGAACTGCAGCGCCTTCTCCATGTCCTCCTCATCCTCGTAGATCATGGCCAAGGTGGAGAAGGGCTCATAGGCCAGAGGAGCTGCAAGAGAGAAAAATTCAGTATTGGAGAAATATAAAAAATAATAGCTAAAAGAAAACAACATACAAGTGGTCTCATACCCTGTCGTATGATCTCCATGCACATCAGGATGGCGTCCTCTTTCTCTCCTCGGGCGTAGCGGATGTTGGCCTCTCCCATCAGGCCTCTCAGAGCTCTGGGCAGCTTGCTGCGATGACGCCGCTCCTACACACACACATTAAGTTGAACACTTGCACACATTCAAAGTTTGGAAACACACCTTCCAACTCTCGTCCCCACCTTCATCATCTTCTTGTTTTCTCGGTTCAGCTCCATCTCCAGGGCAAACACATCCCCCACCGTCACGTCTTCGTCCTCATCCATCTCTCTCTTCTTCTTCTTCTTCCTGCCTTTTCGTTTTCTTTCTATTGTCACCCCTGGCCCCTTCTCTGCCTCCTCTACCTCTGCCGCCTCCTCTATGTCCATCTCCATCTTGCCCCCCTCATCTTTCTCCACCTTGTAATCCTGATCTTCTTCATCATCCACGTAGCTCAGGCTGTCCTCCTCCTCCTCCTCCTCTTCCTCCTCCTCCGGCTCTTCTGAAGATGCTGGTTCTGGCTTTTCTTCCAGCATGGAGGCGAAGGCCAGCTGGACCCCCGGGCTGACCCCCTCCTCTGTGAAGGGATGTGATCAACAGTAATAAATATAACAGATACGATAATAGTTGTATTCTTTGATTGATTATTATTTTTGGGAAATCTGCTACATGTCATTTATGGCGTACTTTATTGTTTGAGTTTGTTAAAGCTTTCAATGTTTTTCAGAAACAATATATAATTGAAACAATAACACTGTAAAGTAAAAACTGTTTTGAGACTGTTTTACCTATCTTTCCCGGGATAATGGAGGAGGTGGAGGGCTGAGCATCCTCCTCGACACCTGCAGGTACCTCCGACTCCTTAGAAAGGAAAACATATATTTACCTTCACCGTTTGAGCAACGTAACAGAGTCAAAATAAAAATCAAGCATGGAAGTATTGTCGTAGTACATTATTATCAATTACATGTAAAGGGGCATACTGAGTTAGCTAGCTTGTTATGCTAACTTAGCTCTACTTTTGAGTGCTGCGGCTCTCCTTACCTTTGCTTTCCGCTCATCTCTCCGCTTGTCGAACTCCTCAAAACTTATCCTCCCCTCCAGGTAGTCAATGAGCTCCGCGCTGAACCCAGACATGTCTGTCTGCTGAAGACCCAGGAGATTCTTCTTTATCAAAATGTGTCCTGTAACATCCTAACTAACTCTCTATACAGCCATACTTGCTACTGACTAAAGTAAACACAAATCGCCCGGATGTTACATACGTGACCTGCAGAAACTTCCGGTATAGCGTGTCTTAAAGCACCACAGAAGAAGAAAGGTGTTTCTGGCGACCTTCAGCGGTGAAAGTAGGAAAGTACAAAACACTGTATTTTCTGAGCTTCAATTTAGCCTAAATACTGAAACTACAAATATTGAAATATATGTATTGTTACTTTATATAACTAAAACGGGGTTTTGACATTGAAAAGTGAAGGAGTGGATACATTTGGATGACATTTAAGTGATACAAACTCATACAGAGGCTCATCTGAATTAGCTGCAGTCTAATCGATTAGTCATTGTCTTTCTTGAGTGTGCTTCTGGTTATAATAAATAAATAACATGTTTAATATGCACATAAAGTTCCATAAAGTAGGAACTTAATGTGCATAAAGCAAACACAACTGCAGAGCTCTTATACAGTAAACAGGTTACAAGGGGACACTTTACATGTTCTTGTTTTGTCAAACCAACAGTCCAAAAATCTAAAGACACCAATATAAATATATATATATACAAATACAAAGAAAAGCTGAATATTCTCACATTTGAGATGCTTAAGCTAGCAAACATTTAAATACAATTAATTAAACAATGAAAAAGATTTATTGACTAATCAATAAATCTAATATTTTTAACAAATGAAAAATTATATTCTAGGTACATTTTACTAATAACGCTTAGCCTACTGTATGCTTTTATATCATATTGATATAATATCTAATCAATGTAATTTAAGCAGCATATGGTATGTTTAGCGCATGTTTTGGCTTCTGTATTTGTTGTTCTACTGAAGAAAATTACAAATTATTTTACTATATGAAAGTGTAGCCCAAGCGTGAAATTTTGATATGACATGTTTGTTTTGTTATGAACAGGATGGAGATTTACGTCAAAGCATATCTGCTTTTCCATTTCCCTCAAATCTATAACAGTAAGGCAGCGGCTGCTGTTCATTCAACAGGATCCTGCTGCTGACGTATGCTGCATTCTCCTTTTATCTCCCCTGTAAGAAACAGTGGGAACACAGAGGGATGGAGAGGAAGTGTGATGAAGGACGGTTTTATCAGTTGATGCTCCTCCTACTTATTTCCCAGTGTCCTTCCAATGTGCACCTGCTGCCTTTCCTCATCAACTTTAATTATGTCAGTGTGCTGGATGATGTTCCAACTTTGAGATGAATGCACCTGAAGGTAAGTAAACTTCATTATCCACAAATAATGACTATGTCCTGGGGATTTTGGGTATGAAAGCCTTTTTAGTTTATAATCTCTAAGGGATTGAGTTAATTACAGGGTCACACGTACACGTGTATGTTTTTTTGTATGTCTGATTTTTCAGGCCCTTTAATTTCGTCATGCACCAGATTTATATTTTATTTATCTGTATCTCTTGAGATTTACTCGCTAATCCATTTTACACATATTTGTAAAAACATGCCTTGTGTGTACGTCATAGATGCATAATATTTTCAAAATGATGATCTTTCAGCAAAAAATTATTAGGAATAGATATGCATTCGAGTCCCCCAACCCACAACAATAATGTGTAGTACTGTAACTTCAGCCCTGTTTTATTTTGTGCCTTTTCACTGCAAATGTATCTTTTACAATCCATGTGTTTTAATGAAGCAACAGGGAAGCAGTTTGAATCAATATCAGTGTGTAAACAGTGAACACTTGTTTGGGTGCGCGTGTCGATGTTTTTGTCCCTTATCAGGAACAATTCTTCCCTCTCAGTTGTTCAGCACAAAGGCTGCAGACTGAGCTTCATAACAACCTCTCTCCTCTCATATCTCCTTCTTCTCTTCAAAATAATGTAGTGTGTACTCAGTGTTAAAACTATATACATCTCTCAGTATAGGACAAATTAAGTGGAAGATTTGAACACCTTGTTCACCACCGCCGGCTGAATGGTACAGTTGAAGGCTTCCCATGACTGAGTCTCCGCCTCCTCCCCATCATGAATGCGACCCCCGGCAGTTGCTCGGCAGAGATGCCGTACGGGTTCCTGCCCCGTCTGAAGGGCCTCTACATCGCCACTGAGCTCATCATCGCCGTGCTCGCCATCATCGGAAACTTCCTGGTGTGTCTGGCTGTCAGCTGGAACAAGAAACTTCACACGGTCACCAACTACTTCCTGGTGAGGAAATACAGTCCTGCAGTCTGTTTCATCCCCATCTAAAATGTTGGATCTTAACATTGAAACCTGTGATTTGGGAAAACTGCAAGAAGTCCAGGGCTAAATATCTATATGTATCTAGATCTTATATGTTGTAAATATATTTAATTTTGTTGCATTATCGAGATTGAGGTATTTGACCCAAGATATCCTGACATTTGAATTAATCCATAACTATAAACACTTATCCAAAGGAATAAAAGTGTGTTTTACTGTGTCTGAAGGTATCGTTGGCAGTGGCAGACACTCTGGTGGGTTTGGTTGCGATCCCCTGTTCGGTGCTCACAGACCTGGGTCAGCCTCACCACAACATGCCGCTCTGCCTGGTGATGCTCAGCATCCTGATGGTGCTCACACAGGTAGGAACATCCACTAGATAGTAACAGCAAAATCGTTTCAGCATCATTTTCTGATACCCCTCCCTCAAGATTAACACTGGCCCTTAACACAGAATTGGAGGTAAGCGTTTCATTACAGAAGTGTTCCTTCCCTTCAAGAGCTCCATCCTGAGTCAGTTAGCAGTAGCAGTGGAGCGCTACATGGCCATCATCCTGCCCTTCCAGTACCAGCGCGTCATGAGCCCGAGGAACGCCCAGCTGGCCCTGCTGCTCACCTGGGGCCTGGGGGCCATCTCCGGCTCCGTGCCGCTCATGGACTGGAGAAGACAACAAGCAGGCTCTAGGTAAGAGGAGGAAGAGATGGATGAGGAGCAGAGTGAGTGGTGCAGGGATGACGTGTATTTGTAGGCCAATCTAGAATTGCAATGCTCCTAAGAAAAGTGGGACATTGTCTGATTGGATTTTGGAATATAGTGCCTGACAATGTCATGTGACGTGTGCTTTTATATTATATAAATATGCCTCCCTGTCTTACCAGCTACTGTGTCTTCACTTGTGTGGTGAACATGAGCTACATGGTCTACTTCAACTTCTTCTGCTGTCTCCTGGTGCCACTGCTGGCCATGTTCATCATCTACGGCCACATCTTCCTCACCATCCGACGGCAACTCAAACGCATCGCTGTAGCCAGGGGGTCTTCGGAGAACACGAGAACTGCTGGTAGTGGGAGCACCGGGACCGAGGACAGTGGGAGTTCTGCTGCTTGGGGACATGACACAGGGAATAGATTCAGTAGACAAGCTAAAGAAAAGGCGGGAAAATGCAAGACTGAAGTGAGGGCTGTGGAAGAAGTGCAATCCAGCGTTGGTTCTCTTATTGACACTGAGACCACCGCTGTGTTTACAAATCCAGGACTCGGGTCGGCCTCGTCTGGGTCCAGCAGCTCCAGCTGTGGTGCGGCTGACCCCCGGCCAGGCAAGCCAAACGATGCCAGATCAGGCCTCCGCTCCCACCAGGAGGTGCGCAAAGCCACCTCCCTCTTCCTGGTCCTGTTTCTGTTCATGGTGTGCTGGATGCCCATCCACATCATAAACTGCGTGCTGCTGCTGTGCCCACAGTGCCAGGTGCCCATGTCGCTCACACTAGCGGCCGTTCTGCTCTCCCACGCCAACTCCGCTCTCAACCCCATCCTGTATGCGTACAGGATGAGGTCATTCCGACACACTCTGATAAGGATGTGGAGAGCATTGAGGAGCTTTAGGCTGAAACGCCAGTAAAGGTGTGGTTCTTTAGCAATTATTGTTTAAAAACGTGTTTTGCTGTCTGAGTTCAGAGGATTTATTGGAGTTTTTGTACAAATATTATCTATTAAAAACAAATAACGTCTTATTTGACTATCATAAATATTGCTTACATGGCACATAAGGAATATAAGTGCCCTATGTTGTTGGTTTCTATGTAATAGTTGAATAAATTGATTTTATATTATATAAATTGCACTAGCCACTTTGTGGCAGATTTTGAGGTTGTTTTAAAAATAAAAAATGCATTTATTGTACCGTGCCCATTCCGCAAAAAATAAACACAATACACAGAGAATCAAATCAACATAACTGCGTGCTTTATTGATATACAGTAAAGCATTTTATAATACAGTAGTAAGGCATATATTTGGTGGAATCTGATATGTTGTGAAGTATTGAACTGTGTTATTTAAAAAATGATGCGAGAATGAAACACAAACGTTAGACATGAAAAATAAATCGAATTCAGTGTCTGGATCAGAACGAAAGCCTCTTAGATCATGCCGCGAGAATATGACGCCAAAAACAAACGAGTGTATGAAGCCGCGCGACTTCTGAGTGGTTACACATTAAAGAAGGATGAGCTGTATATAGTCACACATGCTAATATTGAACACCTCACACGGCACAAAACAAAATAGCTTTTTAACCGAGGACAAAAAGACACTAAAATAAAAGCATCCTCCACACAGAAAACACATATCTAGTATGTCCCAGGTCTGACAGTAGTGCACACTGATTCATTTGTGTGAAATGTTTTGTAACTGGTCGTAAAGCTCTGATAGAGATGCATCGGAACATTCAGATTGGAGGCTCTACAGTGAATCAGAAATAACTAATAAATAATAATCTGAAAGGTGTTGAGTGCATTAGAAAAAATGCCGGGCTTTGACAATTTAGACGAGGTAGAGCTTACTGGGCTTCCTAAAATATTTCTCTGTTAGTGTTCAGACGGAAGAATTCCTTTAAAATAATCTCAGCTAGCAGCCTTGCAGATTTAAAATCACATTCTTCTTACAGTGCTCCAGTCAGCTTAGAAACCAACACTCAAGAGTACCGCGGGTCCTCAACCGGCCCTAAAGAGACACTCGGAGAGCATCGTAGAGATCAAAGATGTACCAGTGCAATAATCAGGACGTCTTTCTGAAGGACTGTGTCCAGGCCTGATTCAGAACTGATGAGGAATATCAGTTTGGATATAAAAGATGTAGCTTCCTTTTCCCCTACAAAAAAAGTTGCATTATGGGAAATGTATGAGTCAGTGTGTTTAAAGCTGGACACATATTAGCTTCAAAAATTGACTTCAGCTGCAGCTTTCCCCCCAGATTTGGGGTAAAGTACCATTTATATTAAGTTTGAAAATGATGCAGGGACATTTTAATAATATGTTAATTAAAGATGAATCGCATAGTAAAAAAATCTAAATAAAATGTATATTTGTTTCCGTAGGGATGCCACACTCTAGGACTATCTGGTGCTTAAGAGAAAAATAATCTGAGTAAAATCGAAATAAAAATGATGTCTAATTCTTGCCCAATATGTGCATTAGGTATGTAGTGACGTGTCTCAGTTCTGAATCAGGCCAATTCCAAAATCTGTCTACACTGATAAAAACTAATTCAGGTATAAAAACGTTTGTAAATCATAGGAATTACGAACTCACTGATGGATGGAGCGACGGACGGACGAATGCATGATTCAAACATGGGGTTTGTCAGCCAAAGCAACGTCAAAGCTGTAATGCAATGTGGAAATTAGGCACCACCACACACACACACGCACACACACTCACACACAGACAACGCACTGTAAAGATCCAGGATGCCTGCATTACCTTGACAGTAGTGTACGCTGTTATAGAAATTCATTTTCCTCTTAGAAAGCACCCTTATGATTACAATCATTCTTTTTCTTTTTTGATACAAATGTCTGAAATGCTTTAGCCGTTTCCCCAATTACAAAAAGATGGCCACACTAAACACACTGATTTGTATCTCTCTTTGCACCCACCCCCCCTCTTTTTTTTTTATACAATTGCATAGAAGTTTAAAAACCAGCCTCTGTTATTAATAAAACAACTTCAGGACGTTTTAAGAAACTACTTAAATCTACAAGGTATAATGTTATTCTTTTGTTTGTTTTTTAACGTTGCTGGAACCGCGATCCTTCACAAAAATAGACGTTTATATATTCTCTTTGTAAACTGTGTTTCCAATCCAGTTGTTTGACTAGAAAAAGCATGCGATAGGTAGGAAAGGAGGGGAGGAAAGGAAGGGGGGAGGGAGGGGGGGATAAAGGGGGGGTCAGAAGGGCAGGGCCTCGTGCTGTTCGGCGCTCTGCTCGTCTGTCATCAGGCTGACCAGCGACTCCATGGCCCGGCCCACACCATCGGCCATGTGGAACAAACTGCCGACACCTGGACCTGGGGAGAGACCGAACACAATCAGAAACACTGACTAACATCGCAAAGGTGACACAAGAAGCTGAACACGGCTGGTATTGGTGCTACATGTAGATTCAAATGAAGAAACGGCCGCAGAAGTATAAACGTTTTAATGGTGTAGCTGCTAAATGTCCTAAAATCTGTCTCCGAGGCACCAGGAAGTGACTCTAACATGGGATAAAGCCCAATGTCCAGCTCATCATTTCATTTTCAATGATTTAAACATAAAATAAAATGGCTTTACCTTCCCTTTTGCCCTGGTAAAAAAACATGTCTTTCCTCCATCTGTCTTCCAATAAATAACAAATCCCTGCTTTCAAAATAAAAGCATCAACTCAATAATGACTATTAGATATTACAAAAGAATGAATAGCTTCAACACATGGGTTTACTATCTATTTTCTCTATATGGTTCATCATATGTACATCAAACTTCCTCTTGCATATATTTAGCTTCAAGTACAAAAGGGCCTGGTTCCATTTCTATGGACGCTCATATTTGAAACAGATTAAACAAATCAATGTAGTGAAACGTGTGGTTATGAGGCTACACTGAGAGCACACAGAGACAATGGACTGCATAGAAAAATAAACATGTGACAGTAACTAAACATACATTGTGGAGATATTCTAATGTTCTGTTCTAAATGAGACGTTACTGGAAACCACCATTCGAAGAAAAATATGATGAATGCCTTGCATGTTATTGTCAACCCCCACATTGTGAACTGATGTGTGACATTAATACATCCCCTCATTCCAGATCTACATGTTGGTCTAGACACACACCCCCCCCCCCCACACACACACACACACACCCCCCCACCCACACCTCCCTACTGTGAGAACAGAGCGTCAGGAGACAGAGGAGGGAAAGGAAATTAAAGGCAGTGAAAGGGAGGGAGGAAAGATATTAGATTTTCACCATGACGTCCCACTCTGTTGTTTATTCTTTGCACCGAATACAACAGCCGTTCCCATTATTAAACCAATTATGAAATCGTCTTGTGAGTTTTTGTTCTGATAGTGGTGCATGCATAAACATGGCTTTTGCATGATGAGGAGGTGGAGATGGAGGAAGGTGAGCAACTAACCTCTCACGGGTATCCCCTTCTTCCTCCTGGCTCAGGGAGGAAACAAGGAAAGGAAGACAAGAAAGGCAGAAAGAAGGAAACAAATCAGCTTTGTGTCGCTAATAGAGAAAAAGAAAGTAGGGGGTAATGCTTCATTTAAGGACTAATGAAACTCAATTTAGGGTCAGAAAGGGATTTGATTATGCACATCTTAAAACAGTGATGGCCATTTTTTATATGTTTTTTATTTATTAAGCATGTAAACTAGTTCATAATAGTTTTACTGACTTTAAAGTTGCCAGTTTGACCTTTCTCTATGTGTTATCCCTTAAGAAAGGATTCATTCTCCCATTTTTGTTCTACTTTTCAGGAAATATAGCAGAATTGTATCTATTGATTGGATTTTGTAGAGAAAATTGAAAATATTGCATGTAAGAAATGGTGGTGTTAGTGTACTGTACCATGGCTATGAGGAAACGAATTGTTGAGCTGCTCCATCACTTCCTCCAGACCAGATGCATCCTGGGAAGGGCTGGACAGTTCGTCATCACCTGAAACAGGAAGACCATTTTTAGAACTACAGGCGGCTGAAACTAATGCTGAGTCATGGTCTCACACACACTAAAGCAGTTCATTGTAAGTTTAAGAGGTGTGTGTTCTCACCCATGGTGTCAGTAGTCTGGCTGGCGGCCACACGCAGCAGGGGGAGGGACGAGTCGGAGCGCTGCGAGGAGGTGGAGGGGGAAGAGAGGGCGGTACCGTTCACCTTGGAGTCCGTCTGAGACACACACACACACACACACACACACACACACACACACACACACACACACACACACACACACACACACACACACACACACACACACACACACACACACACACACACACACACACACACACACACACACACACACACACACACACACACACACACACACACACACACACACACACACACACACACACACACACACACACACACACACACACACACACACACACACACACACACCACACACCCACACACACACACACACACACATTAGATACACATTGGCATCCAAGCCACACAGCTTACTTACAGGTAGTCAAAATGTTGATGAACAAACTATAAAAGAAAATTATAGCTTTATTGGTCAGATTATAACATCATTGGATTTTATTACATTATCTGGCATTTTAAAGAAATTATTACATATTTGGGTGCTTCAGTTTGTGAGTTCCTGTGTCTGTACTGGCTTCATGTTGTGTTCCTGTGTGTGCATATGTTTCTGTGTATGAACCTGCTCCAGTGTGTGTGTGTGTGTGTGTGTGTGTGTGTGTGTGTGTGTGTGTGTGTGTGTGGTGTGTGTGTGTGTGTGTGTACCTGCTCCAGCAGCTGCCTGAGGGGGTGTAGTTGTGACTCCAGCTGTTTGTTGGATCCTCCAGGGATCTGCATGCGGGCCTCCAGGCGTCCTTTGTGCTGACGCAGCAGTTTTGGCCTCTGCGATGAGCTCGGCGTCGCGGGCGCTCTGCGGCGACGCCGGCATCATCTCCGGGGGCGACGGCAGCGGGGACAGGCCCTTCCTGTCGTGGGCCTTCTTCAGGCGGTCGTACTCCGACTGCAGCTTCCTGTGGAGAGGACAGCAGGAGGATCAGTCACATGAGAAGTAATAAACACACAGCTATGGGGAAAGGTCACTCTGTCCTGTCACTCACATGTTCTCCTGCTCCAGGTCGTTGAGGACCCTCTCCAGCTCCCCCTTCTCCTCCGTCTCCATGGAGATGAGGATCTGGGCGGGGCTGCGGGGCTGGCTGAGGGGAGAGCCTTGGTTCAGGGATTGGCAGTAGTGCTGGATCAACATGTGCTCATCATCGCTGCACACAGACAGAGAGAAAATGATTTAATTGAAAGAGAACAGAAAAAAACACCACAGAAGAAGAATCTATGAAACAGAGGGGATCGTACAACACATTTCTCCGGACATTAGATAGACATTTGGAACACTATAGGAAGTGTTTGTGAGGTTGTTGTGACGATGTTAATTGGGCCAGGTATTGAGAGGCTGCTGCGTTCACTGCCCTGCTTTCAGCTCGTTCATTGTGAACACTGTAGGAGCTGCAGAAGTGTGGCGTTTGAAGATTACTGCTCACATGAAAGTAAAACTCATTATGGGAGCAGTGTTAAGCTCTCAGTCTCTAGATGCTCTCTGCTCATCTTTTTCTCTTCATCATTCCACTTGTAAGTTATGTGGATATATTTATATTTGTACTACTTTAATTACAGGGTTACGTTTTCATGTCAGACTCCTAGCACTTCTTGTACAAACTTTGATCTTGTTTGCCCCTGATGGGACATTTACTTGCAGCTAGACTAAATATAGAACGCACAGACTTAGGATATACAATATATAACATAGTTCATGGACAGTTGTAATCCAGGGACAGTGAGGGAAAAATCTATTCAAATAAGAATCAAGAATTGTATCTTCTAAGACTATCAATAGATTGATCAAATTCCCCTAAATCAAAATATGTGATGATAGAAACACAATAAAAAACCACAACATGGGGTTGTATCCAGAACATTGAGCATATGTAACATTCATCACAATGAGACAATGTAAACAAAGAAGGCGGAGCCAGTTGACACACAGCCAATCAGTGAGTGAGGTCAAAGCAATCAAACAGAAAGCGGTTCTCACATGCTCTCATTGGGTGAGATACTGTCATTCAGATAAGAGCCATTACGATTCTCCATTTCTGCTAACCTGCGGAGGGGGGGGGGGAGAAACAGAGCAGTCAGTACCAGAACCACACGCAGCACGTTCTGAGGGGAGCGGACCCCTCAGAGCAGAGTTAGGATTTCCTTTGCTCCGGCATATGCTGTAATCATTTCACCCTGTGTGCATCCCTCTGTAAGCGTCACTCTGTTGCATTTTATTTGATAGCGTTTACAACTGATGCACTATAAACTCAAGTTGCACCTTTTTTACAAGTTGGCTTATATTGCCTTAAAGGACCCTTGTAAAAGTGGCAACTGGCAGACAACTAACACGTAAAACTGCTGTTTGTTTTGACTTCATTGTCTGACAGCCTTTAAAACATTGATTTACAGCAGTCTCATTAGTCACAAACACTGCAATAGTACTGTATGTCATGTGGGAATCGAAGATACTATGACATTAGGGGTTTTATTTGTCTATATTTTGAGATATGTCTCTGAATGGTATGTTTTTTATTTTTCCATTTATCTCCACTTTTTGTTTAGGGGCAAGGGGGGTGAATAGCTATATGGGTGGCACTAGAAATAAGTAAAAAACATGTGTTACGTAATATTGTTGAATCACAAAAAGGATAACTAAAGACAAGCCCTGTGAACACACTCCCGGCTGTTCTTCTATCATGATGAAGCAAAAAGCCAGAGATTTAAATCGCCGTGTCGCTATCTCCACTAGATCAGTTGCCGGTGTTTGGAGTGTGTGCCCAGAGCGCAAAGAGATTTTGGGGCTTTATCAGCTTGGATAAAAAAAGAAGCTTGGTGCTTGGCACTGAGTGTTTAGGCAGATGGAGTGTGACAGGCCGGTGTGTGTTTGTGCTCATAATCTGCTGCGCTACAGAAACAAGATAACCTCGTGGTTCGGAGGATCACTCCAGGCTTAATGATGTTACTTCTCCGCCCTACCACCTCCCTTTAATCGTGCTATCTGGAATCCAACAGATCTATGCGCAACAGCGGGAGTGTGACTCAGCATGTGTTTGTGTCAGTGTATTTATACGTGTATGTGTGTGTGTGTGTGTTATCCCGAAGGCAACAGTGAGTCGTGTCAAACACTCTCTGGCAGGGGTCAGAGGTTCAGCCTCACACTGACTCCACTGAGGAATGCACGGAGGGAAAATAAGTATTTACATCCTTTACTTGAGTAAAAGTACCAATAAAATACAGGGGGGGGGGGGCATTTCCAGTGGTTCAAAGTAACTGACTGATTCAATAAGGGATTGATTGCCTGTTTGATTGACTCACTAGGGTTGATGTTGCTTCTAGTTCCTCAGTGGTGCATTCTGGGAGCAGTAAGCGTCACTGCACAACACTGAGATGTTTTGCATTGAGGGATTTCTCTCCTCTGAGTTCATCATTAATGACGTTTTAAAGCACATGCTGGTGAACTGGATGGCACAGGCAACATCTCAGGAGCATTAGCATATGCTATTATGGATAATTCACCATAAAGCCAATGCATCACTTTATCATGTTAACAGATTCTAATATATGCAAAGGGATATCTTGACATTTTTCTGAGCAAATTTGTCATTATTACCCGGCTAGTAAAATAATTGTAGCACATTTAAAAGCATATGTAAGTACAGTTTTCTTTTATGCGAAAACCCCTGCCGTGATTTCACTTTTCAAAGGGATAGTTTGGATGTTTTGAAGTGGGGTTTTATAAGGTACTTCTCCTACAGTAGATAGCGTTCGGCACTCCCCAAGTTTGGAGAAACAGACAGGAGCACCTGCAGGAAGCTAAGAAAAATCAATATCATCTTAAGTGCACGCTATATTTAGAATATTTTCACTGCTTTACCTTGCTGTCAGACAGCCTTTTTCAAGGGGGAACTGAACCCTTTATGTTCTCTTCAAAGCCGACAGACTCCTTTGACAAAAAACATGATTTTACCCTGCAGGACACAGGATTGCTTGTCTGGCAGGATTACAAAGTGCTCAGCTCAACAGAATGGTAAAGCAGTAAAACTGATATTGTTTTGAGGTGGGCGGTCCTCAGCAGTACATAGCTTAGCATCCTGAGGCTACTCCTGTCTGCTTTGATAAACCCTCATCGACTGTAGGTAAAACATTGACTATGACACTTCATACAACCTTACTAGATACATAAAGTACCTGGTGATACCACATTATAATATAGTTTATCAAGGTATCCCAAAAAGATTCACCAATCATGCATACACTACTTTCAAAACACTAACATATACAGCCGTTCATATGTTGAATATTCATCTAGAATGAGTTGTTCTAGCTCTTAAAAAGGTACTTGAATGCACCACTGATTATAAAGTGTATCAGTTGCTGTTCTTGTGTCTTTACTTACATTCTCTCTGTGGGGCATATTATCTCTACTAAATTCCTGGGACAGTAACGTATAGACCTTAATGTAGATGGAAGACACACAAATGGGAGTTTAGTTTCCTTTAACTAAATAATAAATATATTACACGACACAATTGGATTATATATTAAACATAGAATACCATTGGACTGGCTGTATATGACAGGTGCTTGAAAGCTGCTTCACATCTGTAATGTTAAGATTAAAGATTACTTATATAGACTCACTGTGTTGCAAACAATTGCTTTAAGTCTCTCAAACATGCCTGAGTAGGTAAATGAGAATTATGTGACTTTGCCCAGCTCTCATATGTGATTAAAGAATTAAAAAAGCTCTTTAATAATCAGCTTTACCATCTATTAAGTGTAATGAAAAGGAAATGCTGAACCAGAGTTCCCCTGAAACACGTCAGCAAGAAATGAGGGCAGCCGATCCCCTGTGAGTTAAAGGCTGCATGAACACAGCGAGGGGAAGAAGTGTGCTGGGATTTAGCTTTTTTTATTCTCCATCACATCAATCAAAAATGTTTCTGGTGTCTGGAGTCACAGGGAAGGTGACTTCAGTTGGCAACACTGTGAGTCTACGCTGCGAGGAGCTGCTGTGAATGCAAAGAGTGTGTTACCGGTTGGCGTAGTGCTCGATCCGAGTGTGTGTGTCGTCGTGAGAGAGCTGAGGGGACGATCCAGGCCTGCGACACAGAGAGAGAATGGAAAAGGTTTGACACTTTTTCATGTAAACGTTTGTCTGTTAAAAGCCAATAAATAAGTTTTCCCCCACGAAGTAAAGGTGGATGAGTACGAAAAATGTCAGGATAATCCAATTACACTTTAACATGATATATGCCAGACTCTTGAAGCACTTAGTGAATATTTGTCTTGCACTTCTAATTTTGTATTCTGAATGCAACTGGTGTTTCTTTCTGTGTAAAAGTGTGTGTTCTGCAGAGGAATGACGATGACGCACATGCTTGTGGTAATTGTTTTTCAGATGACTAAAATGAGCTAACAAATGTAGCTATTACACACAGACTGTCGATCTGTTTAAAGTCAGAATCCGAGGAGACTCATCCTGAATCACAGATCAGGGAGGTGGAGTTGTGTTTGTGAGTTTTGTTTTGGATTTAAAGAATTCAATGTTATCAAGTCTTTTTGTGAGTGTTTGAGCGTGTGTGTGTGTGTGTGTGTGTGTGTGTGTGGGTAAGGTACTCACGCATGGTCTACAGGCCAGAAGTTGATCAGGGTAACAGGACTGAAAGACAAAAAAACACAGATGATGACACATCACAGCAAGGCATGATGGGCAGAGTCATCATTGGTCATTATGAGCCAAAACCACCCGTATGTGTATTTAGAGCCAAAACTAGTATGATGTGGATTTCTATAATCTTAAGTATTCATCCTCTTAAGATGCTTATCTCTTTATGGTGTTTCAGTGTAATGTTCTTTTTTTCTTAGCATGATCTGTGTGTGTGTGTGAGACCCACGTTTCCATGTTGTCCCCCTCCAGGATGGTCTGCACGGGCAGGTAGCCCATGCGGGGGTGTTTGGCGAAGTAGCGCTTGGTCCTGAACTTGTTCTTCAGCACCTTGGCAAAATCCCTGACATCCTCTCCTGACGTAGTCTGCAGAGAGACAGGGCACAAAGGGGGCATTGTTCATTCATGGAAGTGGGGCAAACTTCCCTTTTGCTCTTATTCACACATCTAGCGAGTGAAGTTAGCTTTGGAGGCTAAAGTGAGTCCTATATATGAAGACTCTGAAGTGCAGAGGCCTAGAATATGGTTTTCACTTCATAACCAGAGCAAGACAATTATTCAAGAAGTCTGGCACCCTAACATTTCCATTATCCCAATTTCCCTACACACAATGCAGAGCAGGAATATAAATACATTCATACCGGAGTGCAGTACTCGACCATGGGGTACTGCATCTTATGTCCCTTGGCGACGCGACCGGAGAAGAAGCAGCTTTGGCAAATGTCATAGTTGAAATGCTTCAGACTCCGATATCTGGGGACGGAAAGCAGGGGAGGTCAAGAAAGCCCAGACAAAAGGAGGAGGGTAGGAGAGATGTGGGAGTGAAAAGAAAAGAGAGCAAGGAGAAAAAGGGAGAAGGTGGAGAAGCAGGAGGAAATAAAATAAAGACAGAGGGAATAAAAGGGGGATTTATGGCTGTGTTTTCTCCAGGGTAGGAGTAGTTAAAGTTCTTTCAGCCAAGTAACTAAAGGACATATTTATTCCCTTCATTAAAATGTATCACTGTCAAGAATAGCACAGACACACCTCCTTTAAGGGCTCAACCTGAAGCGGGGCGAAAAGCTTCCTGAGCATTAAAGGGCTGAGGCTACACATATAACAGCCAGTATAATCACACCATCAATCAGTTATACGTACTCATAGGCTGCCCTATTGCTCTGCTACTTCTCATGTTTGTATAAATATTGTTAATTTCTTTTGATTTGTAAAATAATATTTAAATACTTAAATTCTGCTGATTACATTTGCGCCGTGCATGAAGAGTGGTGATGCTTTATGGTTGTACGCACCTGAACCCGATGATGGGACACTCCTTGCAGATGTTACACTTGGCCTGGTGCTTGGCGGTCTCTGCAGCGGCCACGCGGTGCAGGACGGGTAACCACACCATGGACTGAGGCTCCAGGCGCATCCAGTCCAGGAACATGGCCGCTTCCAGCTCCGGTTTGTTGTTGGCCTGGACAAGAAGAAGTCATGGTAAGCATAGTGTGTAAATCAATCAAAACATGACCTGATTGTAAACTATTAATGGGTATTTAGTCTGTATCCAAGCTTGATATCTCCTTAGTCTCTGTAATCAAGTTGAATTTTGTCAAAAAACTGTTAAAAACCCATTCCTTTATCCCCTTTGAACACACACACATTTGACTCAATCCTAGATACAACTTCCTGTGCCAGAAATATTAACAAGAGAACCAAATATTGATAAATACGCCGCTGAAAATAGTCCCAAGCAAATAAACAATTTCATGACGACTGTTAAAAACACTCTCTTGCTATAAATAAAAGAGTTGGACAGACGGGGAAAAAATACCCAGAGACAACATGTTGGCTTCATCCACTGCTCTCCCCTCAGCAGGGACTCTGGGAACTCCGGGGTTTTGGAGTTTCCATGGAATTGACCCCCCCCCCCCCCCATGTCCCTCTTTCTGTCTCACGCCCACATGCATACTGCCTCTTCAGAGGGAGCAGCTGGGATGGTGCTAAGCTAACTCCAACAATTTTAGGGCTACATAAGATGAGATGGTCCACCTCATGTGTGTGTGTGTCTTAGTAGAAGATTTCCAGCAGCATCTCTGCAGCTGTTAGGGATCATTTGCAGGCTGTGGTTCATGCAAAGACTCTTACTCTGGCCCTGTTTACTGGAGTCATGAACTTTTTTATCCCTTTTGTTTTATAATCCTTGGTTTTATCATTTTTTTGTCCTGTTCTCTAAATCTCTGAGCAACAATCCATTTGCCCTTTTTTAACTAGACAAGCATTGTGACATTGTGTGCACTGTGCTCATATGTTAGCTTCATCTAGAGGGCCTCGGGCATCAGTGCATGTGGCTTTTGCAGTCCTCTTATCATCATGCATGAGTGCCTTTATTATGACTAAGATAACTCAAAACCAAAAGCTACAAAATAAGAGTTTGTGTGAGGGAGCGACGTACAAACTGGAAGCAGCTGCGGACGGAGGGCTCGATGTTGGAGCCGCCGAAGGAGGCGACCTCTCCGAGCTGCCGGGGGATCTGGATGGAGTCGTGGAGGAGGAGGCCCAGGCGCCGCTGGTCACAGAAACCTGTCGCACTGGCAACCTGTCTGAACAAGACTGGACAGAGGAGAGGTAGATAGTTACAAGATGACCACATACATTACTACATGCATCCCAAAGGTGGGTTATACCTCAAATATTGTAATTGTTTGTCATCAAAGTGCCTAATGTGGTGTGAGTGACTTACATCTGTATTTATCCTCCAGGTGAGCCTTGCAGAGTGAGATGATTCCAGTCTTGAACGATAGGGTTCGGATCTTTCCGGTGCGACCACTGACCAAACAAACAAAAGAAACATGTGAGCAAGAATTCCATCTAACTCCGACTATACTACTACTACTACTACTACTACTACTACTACTACTACGGTGTGCTTGTACTTGACGTACGTGTCGTAGACGTTGAGCAGCCAGTTGAGGCACATGTCCACACACAGCGGGACGTTGACCAGGTGAGAGTGGCTCTGCTCCAGCCGCTGGTACAGGCTGGTCAGACAGGTGACCAGCTGCGCGATGTCCAGCAGCTGCTCGTTCTGCTTCAGAGCGTGCTGCTCGAACACCTCGCACGCCATCTGCATGCTCAGCAGATCCACTGCACACGGAAACAGAGCATTGTGGGTTAGCAGACACACAGCTGAGCTCACTGTCCTCCATCAAAAGCTGCTGACCTTAAGGTGTCCACTACAAGGTTGGGAGGGGTACTTTAGAAATGTATTCAGTAACCTAATCTTAGTATCACTATATTAAGTAATCTGATTACTTTACATCACTTTCGGATAACAAATGAAATGCAAATAAAAACAAGACTATTTCCAAAATTCAAGGAAAGGGTTAAAGGAAACTAAAATGCCAGGCGCTTCCATTGCAAGGGTTAATACAAAAATGTTTAAGTTATATTTATTTTGATATCCTCCTTTCCATAAATAGTGTTGTGTGCTATACGGCACGATCCAGCCATCCGCCCTAAAACATATCACACATACTGTAACAGCTCGTAGGCGGCTCACACTCCTCAGTGAGAGACGAGAAGGATGTAAACAACAACACACACACACACACACACACACACACACACACACACACACACACACACACACACACACACACACACACACACACACACACACACACACACACACACACACACACACACACACACACACTCACACACACACACACACACACACACACACACACACACACCCACACACACACACACACACACACCACACACACACACACACACACACCTAGACTATCAGAGCAGAGATGGCAAGAGAAGAGAGAAGAAGAAAAAGAGGAGGAGGAAGACAGAATAGACAAAGGAGGAAATGAAGGGAGACGATGGAGAAGAAGAACGCCGCGGCAAATGAGGTGAATTTAAGAGAACAGACGTGGAAAGGAAGAACAAAGGAGGAGTGTAGGAGGGCTGGAACACAATAAGAGAAACAATCATGGACACAGAGAGCGTACTTGAACTATATGTGATGCACATTCAGGAGAAGTATAGAAAACGATATATAGAGTGTACTTACAGCAGAGAGCCTTCTGCAGGCGTCTGAGCTTCATGGCTGTCCGGTAGGCCGAGAATCGAACATTGTTCAGGTCGGCTAAAGGGCGAGAAAAAACAGAGTTAGGGATGAAGAGCAAGGAGACATTGGTTCCATTATTTCTGTCTGTTTATGAATTGGCATCTCACCCAGAGACTGGTAGAGCTCGGCCATTTTGGGATGATCCCAGCATGTTGTTTGGGTCTGGTGGCTGGAGAGGGATTCAAAAAGACGGAATGGTCAGATGTCGAGTAGATCAAACACATCATCATCCTAAAGCTCCCCTTATTGGTCATGAAACATATCGCTACATTTGCTAATTAACACTGCTGAGTTTTGTCGGTACCAGAATGTTGTTATACCTTTAATTGTTGAATGATTACATATTTGATTGGATGATGACCCTAGAGGAAGTGTTATGGATCGTCAAAGTCCTTACATCTCATCCTGATGGGAACATGATTGCCTGGACCAAATGCAATCCATCCAATAATTGACACTGACATCTCCAGGGACCATGAATGTCTGTTTAATGTCAATATAGCCAATCGTTGAGATTTCTGAGCCTGGACCACAGCCATGACTGTCTAACGCTGCCATCACATCATGTATTTCAAGCCTTGTACATTATCCATATTCACAGGACTTATAGAACACTGGCTGTGTAAAATAGACATATAAAACCCTCTAGATAGTATGTCAAATCTGAAGGTTATTATTTAAACAGCATAAGAACATCATACTAGTGTCCAGCGACTGCACCTGCGCCTGCCTTCCTAAAACAAGGAAAAGCCTGTAACAGAAATGATCATACGCACTGATGAATTAGCTTCCTTTAAATCCCACACTATGACATTAATCCTAGTTTCTCTCTTCTATATTCTAGAAAATGACAAGCTACCGTGATAGAGGAAGAGAGGAAGAAAGAGGACACGGAGGGATACATGGCTGCTGTGTCATTCTCCCCTCACACATCCTCTCCTCGTGACTGCTGCTCGCCACTCACAGGAGACTTGCCTGTCTGTGTGTGTGTGTGTGTCAGTTAAAACAGTCAAAAGGGAATATGTGTGTGATTCATGCCTTCAGAACGGCAGGCTTCTTTTCCATGTACTGTAACAGAATATGATGATGTTTAAAGAACTAGTGTTGGTGTCAGTCAAGGAGTGCGAAACAAGAACAACTTGATTTAAAATATTTTTCCCACATGTTTTCAAATAATGGGTTTATCAGTAGTACAGTACTGCATCATATCATATAAACATATATGTGTATCATGTGTTTTTATATATAAAAAGTAGCCAGTAACAGGAGTAAAAAGTGAGATATTTGCCTCTAAAAAGGCAGTAGGGTGGAAGTATAAAGTAGCATAAACTGTAAATACTTAATGCCAAAATAGTATTTAAGTACAGTAATGGTACTTAGTGACATTCAACCTCAAGCTTACATACATGTGAACAGTAGGTTTGCTAAGTGGGCGATCCATAGTGAACCAAACAAACTGCTAAAAAATAACACCACTGTTTAAAAATGCAGTGCTGCTGAGCGCTCCTCCACTGTTTTCTGCTTTATAATTCAGTCCTGAGGCGCGTTGTCACACAAACAGACCCCTCCCCTGATGCTAAAAGCACACATGTCGAGTCGATGGCACACAAGCGTACCTGCAGTTAACCTTTGTGTGAAAAGCAGCCAAACAATAATCCATATGCTGCTTTTTCCCCCGCATCGCCCTTGTTCTCCTCTCTCCCATACTCCCACTCCAGATAATGAGGAGAAGGGTCCCATGGTGAAGAGCTACTTAAAAATCCTCAAAGCTCCGAGTCTGTACTAACAGTAGCTCAGTCACTCAGCAAGGGCCACTCGGACAAATGCTCCTATTAGCCGCGCTGAGTCAAATACGCAGTGGCTGCTAGATATGGGATGCTAACTGACAACTGATGGAGTTTAGTGCACAGCTGAGACAAAACAGGAATCCTTGAGAAAGATGGGGAACCTGCAGATGCTCAGTAGCACAAACAATAATAAGGAGCCCTTCTATTTTCATATAAAACTGTGATCCCATGCATTTTTCCCCCTAAAGAGATCATTGCTTTGAGATGGAACCTTACATTCCCTGACCTGCCACACCACCCATTTAGGGGTTCATGCTTTGTCTCTTTCTTTATGCTTTTTAAAAGCAGACACTGTGTGCCTAGAGATTGTATCATGGCCCCAGGACAAGCCAACATGTTGATAATGCATGGTAACCTGTCAGAAGATAAACTACTGCACACTGTGCGAGGCTGGCGGAGCAGTCGTGGATCTGCTGCCTTGCTCGAGGGCGACCTGATTGAAGCTGACAAGCATAAGGAACAGCATTCAACATTCACAAGTCCCCGCCCACCATTTACCAGGATAGAAGAAGTAAAGAAAAATAGCTGGTTTAAATAAATAACTTAGCAAAAAAACACAAGAAAATGGAAATAAATAAAGATACAATTCCTTTGAGTGTGCTTATGTCTGATTTTACATGGCATTGTTTGATTTCCCCAGTTAAATCCTGATATATAAAGCCTACTTTGGTATAAATATTAGTCTATTAATAACACCGTAATTAAAAAAAGGTTTGCTACAGCGAAGACAATGAAATGATGGCCAAAAGTTCTATTTACAACCACAAATAGCAAGATAAGAAACCATGTTCTGTCTGTCTGTTGATCTTCTCTGCTCTGTTTCAGTAATATGCAATGCACCTGCACGCACACACACACACACACACACACACACACACACACACACACACACACACACACACACACACACACACACACACACACACACACACACACACACACAACACACACACACACACACACACACACACACACACACACACACACACACACACACACACACACACACACACACACACACACACACACACACACACACACACACACACACACACACACACACACACACACACACACACACACACACACACACACACACACACACACACACACACACACACACACACACACACAGCTTTCAATCAGTGAGCAGAGACAACGAAACATGAGCAATGGACAGTAGAAACTCTCCACTAATAGACTGTCTGACAGTGATGGCCATTAATGGAGTCCCCAGTGTGGGAGGTGATCCAAATTAAAAATAAAGGTTTTCAAGTATCTATAAAAAAAGAATTGTCAAGTTTCATGGACTTTTTGAGAAGGTTCCAACTTTAGCGGGTCAAAATCACTCAAAGTGGTGTCGCACTGAGGTGAAAATAACACTAGCTTTGGAACATTGGCCAGCTTCATTTTTAGCATTTGTCTGCATGCACAGAAATGAAGGGCCTGTCCACTGTAAACCTTTAAAACTACAGTCAAGGATCTACAAATAAATTATTGAACTGGAACAAAGTGATATGTAATCCTCACGCTTTTTACTTTATGACCTTTGGCAAATGTTTTGTTTTCACAACCTCTGCTTTCTGGATTAATCGATGTGAAATTACATGAAAGGAGGGAGAAACATCTTTTGAAGCTTTTGGCTTTAAAACCACTGGTAAATATGAGTGATTGTAGATAACACTTGGAACAACTGTTCTCTCGTGAAACAGCTCATTGGCGATTTTATAAACCCTTTTAAAACAGGCCCAATCTGTCATCGGCTTCATTGTCACTACTTATCAGATCCGATGTTTGTGTGTAGGCTGTCTGCAGATTATCTACCCAGCAAGACTAAACGCTTAATTAGTTTGACATTGTAGACACAAGCAGTGATCTTTCATGATTTTAAAATACAGAGACAACTACTTTGAATAAGTACAGATGTATAATAACTGATATTACTGACTCATACATGAAGTATGGGATGAATGTATGTAAATGTAAATTGCAGGGATTACCAAAACTGAATCCAAATCTTTAGGATCGGATCTTTTTGATTCTGCGATCAGAGCCAGTGTAATTGATTAGTCATTCAAACACCAAGACACCTGAACGGGAAAGGCTTGCAGCTCGAATGTGGAAAAGTTTCTTCTGTCTGACTGCAGAAACGTGGCCTAAAAACCACACATCAGGATGAGCTAGATCCTGTGGTTGATAATCATCCACACTGAATACAAAGACAGCACACACACAGAAACCATAACAATCATGCCTGAGCACGTCAGCACCACTATCCAGCAACTAGAGTTGGATCTGTGTGTGTTATGGCTGTATATCCATCAGCTGTATGTAATCAGTGCCCACACACACACACCTGCAATCACATTGGTGCCAAAAATCTGCACCAGCCAGCTCACATTCCCTGCTCCCATTTCACCATCACTCCACACACACATGGATAGGTCCATGCCATATCAGTGCAGGACAACCACATCTCTCTGTACAGCTGACCACTGATCAGCAGATGATCTGGAGGAACTGCACACATGCACCTTCAGCGCCGCTGTTTGCGCTGGAAAAATAAGGCCTGGCGTTATTTCCCATCCGAAAATAGACCAACATTCAAATATCCGCACACAAACCGTGCAAAAACGCACTGATCCAGCCCGGGCTGCTCTGCTGGCACGGAGGTGATTGTGTTTGCACCTCCGTGTGTTGCTGTGAAGGAATGCAACACAGTGACACAATGCCGCTCCGCACGGCTCTTTTCTCTAAGCCAAACGCATATATTATCGCAAATCCCTTTCGGGGCTCTGTTTGCATTCTGTTTGCTTTAAGGCACTCAATGCCCTTGTTTTTATTCCAACATGGCAGCGACGAGCCATTGAAAGGGTGCAAAGTGAGGCTTCAGAGTTTAGGATCCGGAGGGGGACAGCGGGGCGAGGAGCCTCACCGGGCCGTGCACCTCGCCTGGTTCCCCGGCAACAACCACTATCAACAGCCGCTGGGAAGAAACGGGCTGGTAGGGTTTAATGGCTACCAAAAACAATAGTTTTCCTCCCTTTTCATGGAGGTGTTAACATCCCGTTTATATTTGATGCACGATTTGCTTCATCTCTTATATGCAAACATGTATTTTAAACCTCTGAATACTGTGACATGCTGCAGAATTATCGGCAAAATGTAGGCTATTTAAAATACTTGAAATGCATTTTGGAGTAAGAAAATATTTTCCCCATGTCCAATATAAAATGTCAATGTACATATGTCCAGAATTTGAGGCTGTTTTTGCGCATATTCTGCACTACAGTGAAATAATGTGCGTTTTCTGCTGAGTGTGGGGGATAGCTCTGCTCCTCTGCTGGCCATGAACACCCACAGCCAGTGTGAGGTCCGTGAGAACAGGTTTACTGCATTACGAACAGCACAATTACCATCACCATTATTAATCACCACCATAAACAGCCCCCCAGCCCAGCACTCACTTCCGAAGCTGCTCCCGCATCGCCGGCCGATCACAGCGCTCAGCGCTCAGCGTCCGGCAGAAATGAACCGATTCCCGGGCAGAACCGAGGCAATATCCCGACCCCCTCCGCGGTCCGACCAAGCGTCCTCTACCACCGGAGAGAGGCGTCCGAGATTAACGTGTGTAGCCTACGTGTGTGTGTATGTGTGTGTTCCTCTGCAAGGCAGCGGTTGCAGAGACGGACTGGCCAGCGAAACACGATGGTCAATTCACCCGAGTGCAACGAAGACCACTTCCGTTTCAGGTTTCCAAAATAAAACCTTCCACCTGAACAATGCTGGGCTTTTTTTCTTTTCTTTTTTAAAAGCTGTATAAGTAAATATCCTAGTGTGTGTTTTGCCAAGTTAATGTTGTACGGAATGTTTATTTTACAGCATATGTTCCTTTTCCTATTGTTAGGTCAAGTATGGACTGCCATCGATGCAACAACACAATCCCTCATGTAGCAGGTAATAACTATAATTATTTATTTCTCTAAGGTTATTTTGGGTCAGGTTTAAAGCCAAAAATATATTTGAAAGGAGGAGATAGAGGGGGTGATGACACACAAAAAGGGACCCAGTACATGGGGTGCATCAACACTTAAATGGGGTGCATCAACACTTAAAGTTTAATAACTTCCAAATGTATTTATGGATATGTACTACTATTTTGCAATGATGTGATAAGCTGCTTTTACATAAGAGGACATTCCCTGATTTTCCATCAGGGTCCCCAAGGTTTTTTTTCAGCCATAGCCATGTTGATGGTTAAACAATTTGACATATGTTGTAATTTCTTTTTTAAATACCCAACATAGTTCATGCCTTTATTTTGAAATTCAACACCGCTCACTTCTGGTCTAGCCCTATCTGCATCTTGAAAACTTGACGCAATTTAGCTAGACGAGGCGGATGTCAGGCTCCCTGCCTCTGCCTCCCTTCCCCCCATCCCGCTGTTTCTGAGAGCAAAGGAGCCTCTACACACCATCCGAGGAGGTTTTTCACCTCCCTGACGAGAGGGAAGGAGGGAGGGAGAGAGGGAGGGAGAGAGGCTCTTTGCTTTTCAAGGCACACATATTTTCACGTTCAAGGCTGAGAGAGAGATAGAAAGAAAGAGGGGCAGAAGAAAGAAAGAGGAAAAGTGGGAGAGACAAAAGGGATTTTTTCTTTTACAAGGTACACAGGAGAGAAGAGACAGGAAGAGAGAGAGGGTGGGAGGGGGGTTTCTTTGCTTTGGGAATCTGTATTCAAGGCTTGAGAAATGTAGGCTATGTTGCACCAGCAAAGAGAGGGAACAGCCTGTAATTTATAGGACAAGTCTCAACTGTTATGTTATCCCATCACAACAGTGTGTCTGTGTACCTGAGTGTGTGTAGGTGTGTGAGGGACGGATTCAACACAACTTTCATGATTGCTGATTTTAGGCTCTCGGACGTCATTTTGCAGCTGACTGTGTTTGTGTAGGAGGTTGTGGATTTAGACTGACTCCACTCGTGGGGGAGGATGCTCGCAGTGAGGCAAATCAAACACACCCTCACAGGACGGATAGGCAAGGTGGATGTAGCAGCTTTGAGTTTGAAACCATCTCCAGAAGCAGATAATTTAATGTGTAAAAGAAGCAGTTGGTGTGCCATATGTTTCCCGCTGTGTGGGTTTATAGTGTGTGAAGTCTGCAATGCGTGCATGGACACTATGTGGCCAAATGTATGCAGACACGCCTGTAAACATTGCACACTTTTGGGCTTGCTTTCATGGCTTGAAACCCTTCGAAAAGAGAAGCAACAGAAGTAGAAGTAACCTGACTTTTATCCCGTGCATGTGTCAAACCTATTTTATATTTCCCATGATGCAACTCAATGACGTCTTTCATTAGATCCACCCAGCCCATACTTTTGGCCATGAAATGTGCATTATGTGTGTGATATAAATCCATATTGTATTATATATTATGTGTGCATGCTGTGTGTGTGTGTATGTGTAGACAGATGTGTGTGTGTGTGTGTGTGTGTGTGTGTGTGTGTGTGTGTGTGTGTGTGTGTGTGTTGTGTGTGTGTGTGTGTGTGTGTGTGTGTGTGTGTGCGTGTGTGTGTGCGTGTGTGTGTGTGTGTGTGTGTGTGTGTGTGTGTGGGTGTGGTCAGCTGGCACTCACAGGGTCTCCGTCATCAGGTCAGGTCCAGCTTTCTCACTGCATGAAGAGGAGAATCTGTCACTTCTCTTTCCCTCCCTCCTTCCTCCTCCTCTTTTTCTCTTGAGTGAGTGTGTTTCTCTCACTTGCAGTTAAATCAGCGTCAAACATTAAAGTGTTAACTCAAACACACCAAACTGCTAGTTAGTGATTACCAAATCCATGCAATCTACTGTACAGTATGTCGTCTCCACTGAAGAACGAGCAGGAAGTGGGATAGATCAATCATACTGTGGGGCTCTTCTGACCAATGGGTAAGGAATGTGAGGTGGAGAGTTAATTCTCTGTCAATGAAAGGATAAAGTGTAATAATCACCTCAAAAATTGTTGTGTAATTGCAAAATAAATTGAGCTAGAAGCTTTGTGACGAAGCTACCCCTCACAAATGTTCAATGAACCGTAGGGAGATGGTAGTAAAAAACGGTGTCGAGACGGCACATTTTCCAGCTCAGTTAATTAAGGGGTTTATTTGGATTTGTTAGTTTATTTTAGTGCTGTCGAGTTTGAATGCGAGTATTTTACGATGTTCTTCTGTTCAAACACACTAGCTGAAACTATGCACCACGCAAATATAACACAAGCCAACATTAGCTATTCTAAGCTACATGCCATACCTTGTGTGCGTCTTATTGTTTATACTTTAGACTTTTATTTGTAAGAAGAGAAAAGTCTTCCTTTTTTTTAAAGTGCAGAATCCAAAGTTCCTAACCGCTACCAAAAACATCTAAGTGTGCAGGAACTGCATGTTGTGCTAAGATTTATTTTGTATTATCACATCAACATGTTTAACTCAGTGAGTTGCTGTAACAACACGCCTGTTTGTGCACCCTGCGGCGCTGAGGCACAAGCTGCAAGACAGAGCTCACTACTGTGCAACACCCCCCCCCCCCTCCAGGACGTATGCTATCTGCTGATGGGTGCTGAAAAGTCTCTGAACGGTCTCCCAGCATTCACAGAAACCCAACTGCTCTACAAGCTGGCTTTGAGACATAATTTTAAGTCAACATTCTATAATTATAAATAAACATTCTAGAATTGTCATTGTATGAACATCATGAGACCTTGGAAGCGCTATCAAGTATAAACCAATCTTATTCCTTCAGATGGCAAATAATAAGCCAATACTGCATAACTACCACATGTTGATGTTCTGACCGAGGGTCGATTCGCTGTGGTTACCTAATGCTATCTGGGGCTACATGTATATATGTATAAATGGATTACTGAAGGAATATATGTGCTTAATGTGAAACCGTTAGATGAATTATTCAAAGCAACAAAGACAGAGAGGCTAAATGGATGCATGTTAGACACAAGGCAAGCCAACAGTTAGGGCTAAACAACAAACTGTAGTTAGCAGACAAGCAACACTGCATCAATCCAGCTCAAAGGATTCAAAGTCAATATTTTGGCAGCATCTCACTTCCTTAAAAACACACAATACACTTTGACTTTTAGAAATATACCAGATCATTATTTTATAGTGTTTTCTGTTGCATCACTTTGAGAATGCACACACTGAAACAGACACGGCGAATGTCAGTCACAATGATCTAACCCTTCATTTTCATCCACATTATTTGGGAACTCAAACAAAGGCCGTACATGTTTTATTAAAAAGACTTATCCATTTGCAGAACATTTCATTGAAATCAAATCCTCCAGTATTTTTCTGAAATATTTAGGAATTAAATAATTGAACCTTAAAAGAGAGACATACATTTGTAGGCTCAGCAGGCTAAATGAAGAACTTCTGTAGAGTACACTGGATTATACTTGTCAAAGAACAATATTACATTCTCTTCAGGGATGAATGTATTAAGGCCACAACGGATTGACAAAAACATGAGAGTGGGTTATTCATCCAAATGTAAAAATTGAAAGGAATAAGGTAGAAAAATACTTTATTTGCATTGTTCTATAAAAATGATTACAATTTTTCCCCTACTAAGATTGATTTTGTCAAAGAATATTTCGAAAAAGTTGGTTGTAATATTGTATGCTTTGTATAAATGTTTATTCATATTTATCTTGTCAATGTCAGCTAAATATTTCATTTGTTTTGGCTATATTTATAAACCTGCCTTGATACCAACATATTTTTACAATTATTTCTAATACTTTTGCCAAGTTAGATACTTCTTTTTTTGCCAATGCACAGAACAGCGCTTTAAGTTTATTAAAAGGTTAGTACACTCAGGTGAGAAATCCGTGCTCATTCCATGACATTTAACCAGACCAATAATCAGTGTTGACATGTCAAAATCATTGGGACTAGTACTGAATAATTAGGTCAGAATGTGTGTGTGTACTAATGGTACTGTTCCATTAACAACAGCTCAGAGGTCCGTACTTACTTGATGTAGTAGGGTACGTTGTTCGGGGAGATGCCCTGCTCGAAGGGGCTCTCCACAGATCCTGCCAAAACAGAGAAACAAGGTACAAAAATAAAAAAATGTATGTAATTTAAATGTAATAAAGAATAGGGCCCCTTTGATTTTTCACACACACATTTTACAGCAGCATGCCCACCCAGGAAGTGTGTATGCAGCAGCTACGAAAACATCATGAAACATTTTCTTCAAAGTAATCTACATGATAATGAAAAACATGAGAAATATTGCTAATTATCCAAGTTATTATGCCTCCAACAGTTGGCTCAGCAACGACTAATATAAAGCAGACCGAGCTTTCTGGGAATCAACAGCACAGTTGGAACACCGGTCTGACCAATCAGATCGCTTGGCTGAAACTACCCGCTGTATTATTGTGCCTCACGGGTAACATTTGCTGCAGTTAAAAACAGAGCGATGCATCGTGGGACAAGTGCCAGAACACATGCAGTGTAGATCATAGCAGTAAGATATGAACAACGTGTCAATTAACAGTGTTCATTTTTTTTATTTTAAGCCCCCCAGTCTTAATCTGCCCTGTTATTTTTAATATAGCTCAATTATAAAGTTAATAGGAACATTAATGCATGATCAAATGTGACTATGGGAATATTAGACATTTTTTAAATAAGAAGGGATATTACGATATTATATCATGTGGGGGCTGTTCTCCAATCTGTTCCACCATCTGACCTGATTGTGTCATTGCTATTTATCCACTTCATTTATATCTGAAGTGTTGATTTCACTTTTTGCTTCTACTTGTTTTCTTATTACAAGCCCCCCTGTGGTGCTTTTAATCCATTTTTAATCAAGTGCAAGAGAAACAGCTATTGCTTGGGGCTGCTTTCGATTTTGTTTCATTTTTTGGGGGATTCTTGTCAATTGATTCTGCTGCTGTTGGAAAAAAATGATATCTCTGCTCCTTTGATAATAGATTTCAAGCCGAAAAAGACTGTAAGAATCGAAAACTCTAAATGTGTTTTATATCTTTGACCGTTAATGTGCTGAAAAACTGCCGGCCAGCAAACTGTACTTACATTGGAAATATGCCAAATGATCTCTATCAAGTTAAATAATTCATAGGTATTAATATTTTACAGCACATTTATCTGTTTACAACCCACATATGCATATATTATTACAAAAAGCACAATTTGATTCCGCTGTACGGTATTTCATTTCTGTTATACTTCAGATTTCCAATGCCAAAACTGCACTGTAGCTCCTGTGCATATGACAGTAAAACCTTTGAATCATAATTATAAGTAATAATTTGTATGTATTTTTAAAACATTTTAGTTTGACAAAGATTAGAACCTTCACCAAGCCCTGCTAAGCAAATGGTCAAAATGTGATATTGTTGCTACACCCTCAAGCTTTCCGTCAGAATGACATAGTTATATAATGACATCATTAACATAGTCACTTCCCCAGAGTAAGTGTTAAGACCCAAAGGAGAACAGCATAGTGAGAAACTAGTTTTTCTTATGGAATGATCATCCACTCGAGTATTGGATGTGTGTGAGATCATCCCAACATGTGTCAGGCAGTTTCATGTTTGTTTTTTTAAGAATAATGTTTTTATACCCAAAATTAAAATAAATCAATCCACTAATTAGCAACCAGACGAGTCTTTAAAAACTCTTTCCCTCTTCACTTATTCAGTTACTTAGTGACCTTTTGACAGTTGAGTGCTGTGTCTCTCTCTCTCAAACTAATAAACACATCACTTATTGAGTGCCACTAAGTGATTCATTTAGTCTAACACATTTTGTCTCGTCCCTTTCTTACACCCACTTTCAACTGGTGTGTGAGTGTGTGTTACTCACCGTGCAGAAGGCCAAAGTCCCTGTGAGCGTCTGTCAGCTGCTTCAGATGTTCACTGATGGACATCTGATGGTGAAATATGAAAAGAAATGCAAAGATAAATTAAAAGATAAGGATTCTCATGCGCTAATGACTAATTTGACAGCATGAAATGAGAATACTTTACAATCAAAGGGTGAGAAATCCATATTTCCTAGGAAAAGATGAAATATAACCCGAGGAATCACATGGAAACTTCCAGCCCATATGCTTCCTCAAAGCGATGAATACATTCATAAAGCCATGGTAGGAATACACTTTGTGTCACATGAATACACATGATATACTCCAAGAAGTACAAGGATGAGCAGAGAAATGGAAAGGACGCGAGGAGACACAAAGACAAGCATGGTGGAGATAATATCATTTGTAGTGAAGGAATCAGAGAGGATCACTTGCGAGCCTCCTTCAGATCTAGATGGATTTGAAATAATTGTTCTAAATCAGTAGGATCTGTAGGAGGCAGCACATGAATCTACTGCCCCATAGACCCTACCCTGCAAAAAGTAGCTTCTGTCAGCCATAATACAGCAGTTTGAAGATGAAATGCGAGAAAGGCTAGTGGTCAATACTCAAATGGATTTGAACTCAGCCTACATTCAGTATGATATTCAATGATCTATGTGTTTCCAGGCAACACATGCAGCTCGGGCCGGCATGCAGAGCTCTGGCAGACTCTGATTAGAGACACATTCATTCAAATGAATACAGTGTTCTTGGAATCATTGGAAACGGTAGGGTCTCAACTTCCAACCATAAAAGTCAAACATTTTTTATTTTCATCCACAACCAAAAGAAGATGGATGACACATTGTCAGGGGTGGGTGTGTGTGTGTGTGTGTGTGTGTGTGTGTGTGTGTGTGTGTGTGTGTGTGTGTGTGTGTGATTCATGGTATGCGATGACGAACAGACGAAGCTATGACGGTAATGACCAGTTCTTTTTTTGGGTTGGGTTTTGATGACATGGAACCAATGGATAAAATTACCTTGGAGTCCACCTCACCCAATCCATTTCTGCCTGAGTTCCTTTTCCCCGTATCCACGGTAGCCTAATTAGATTCGTACAAACGAGAGGAGTGGGATTGTTGAGGAAGAATTTGTCCGAATGACTCAGATTGCAAGATGTCCCGCGCCAACCAATCAACCTTTTGAGGCACGACAAAACTCTGTGAACGAACTAAGTGACCTGAATTTGCAGGTCACACACACACACACACACACACACACACACACACACACACACACACACACACACACACACACACACACACACACACACACACACACACACACACACACACACACACACACACACACACACACACACACACACACACACACACACACACACACACACACACACACACACACACACACACACACACACACACACACACACACACACACACACACACACACACACACACACACACACACACACACACACACACACACACACACACACACCATAATTCCCGGGCACACTCCACCTGCAATGGAAACTGAGTCTTCACACACTGGCCGTCAAATCCTTTTTTCTGGCCAAATGAGATACTTGATTCTCTTTTTACAATTTTGTGTCAGCTGCTGCACATCAGTGTAAACAGAGAGAGCAATCTATTGATCAAGGTTCCAAAATTAAAATATATACAAGCACATATCTTTCACGATTATTCCTACTTTAAAAAAACTCAAGCCTTACTACATTGATTTGACTTTAACATGCTTTTAAATGTAAATGCTCATGAGGTCTTTAAAGGCAGAAACTGAGCCTGTCTTAAATATTTATTATATATATATATATATATAGAGTGACAGACCGGCTGGTCCCGTCACCATGGTGTCACCGTGGTGCCCGTCTCTGCCCAGGAATCTGCATCAGCTTGTCCCTCTGGCAGCAGATTGGCTATGTGTGTCACCCCCGGTAACAATCACTGTCTGACATCCAGCATGGCTGCCCTTGGGTTTATATTGAGACTGATGGAGGCACACCCTGCGCTGCCTTTGATCACCAACACATGCAGTGTGTGTGTATTCCTGTCAAGCATTGGATTTTGTCGCATGTTAAAGTGTTGTGCATGTTAGTGGTAGAGGAGATCTCAGTATATACTCAGTATTTGCCATAGCGAGAAACACAAACGCAATATTTTCAATTCATCACGGCAGGGGGTTTCCTTTGAGTCTCAGACCTGGCGAGGCCGCAGCAGGAGGGGGGGGGGGGGGGGGGGGGGTGGCTTTGTCTTTTACCTGGAGCAGCTTCCAGCGCGTATTCAGATCTTCGATGCGTTCCAGGTTGCTAGGCGACAGCTGGATGTCGTGTGGACCGAAAGTGGACGCCAACTGGTTCATGTGTACGACGTCATCCTTGATGGGAGCGATCTCTTCCTGGAACTCCTGCAAAACTCACAAACACACACACACACACACGGTGAGAGGACAGTTGGGACACAGACAGGTTGTTAGAAGACACCGGTTCAGTCTCACCTCAACAGCTCTAACAGTGAGAAACAGATGCCTCCATTATGTAAACTCAACTCTGCTGCTTGTTTAATGCTTCTGATGTGTGTTACACTGACAGGCCGAAGTACGATGCATGCAACATCACTACCAGTGTAACATTAAAGCAGACATATCATTAGAAAACCTGTTCAGTGCTTATGCATGTGTTGATAACTTCCTTTTCAATTTTTTCTCACTAGCCAATCAGATCAGACTTGGCTTTTCCACAGGCTCTTAAACTAATTTCAGGCAGAGGGATCAAATTGGCATATTAAGACGATCAGTAGGAAAAAAAATGTAAACAGTAAAGCATGCAAACATGCTCTGGCAGAAATTCAACAACCAAATATTAACAGGAAAATTATCATAATGTGTTCCCTTTATAGGTTGATTGCTGAAAAGGTTGTCTACATTTTCCTATTTCCTAAATGTTTCATTTAAAGGCACTCCATCTGACCTTGACTCTCTCGATGTGCTCCGGCAGGGAGTCGATCAGCAGGTCGCCCACAGGTTCCCACGCCTCCCTCACCATCTCGGCCTGCCTGAGCTGTCCGTCCAGCAGGTCCTCGGCCTCCTGGAGGTCCATCAGCCGCTCCAGGGCCAGCTCCAGCCTCCTCTGCCAGTCGGCCCAGTCGATGTTCAGCCGGTCCCACTTGGTCACCACGTCGTCTGCCTCTTTGCGGAGGATTCGCCCCACGTTCTGAGCACGCTCCTCCGGGCTGATGTCTGAGGGAAAGAAATACCATATCTTACATCATATGCGCAGATTAGTATGTAATTAATGTCAACTTACCTTTTACCAACAACTGTGGGGAAAGGCATGTCCCAATGAGGAGAACATTATCATCATTCCATTTAAGAAAAAAGCACCTGCAGTTTGCATTTGATGTCTTTACTTATTCACACTTTTAACTCAGTTTGAGATGTCGCTTTGTGTTTAAAAGCCTCTCTTAAAGCATAAACATTAACTGTGACAATAAAGGCCAGCTCCTGAGAGAGCGCCTCATTTATATGTCAAAGCACTCAGTCTTTTTTTGGAGACACTGGTTATCTTTAAGGAAATTAAACCAAGCAAAATGTCATATACTCTAAAGCGCTGTGTCAATGCAGCTTTTTTAGATGTCCCCAAACGCTGCCGATGTGAAGGTCAGATCGCAGAGACTGGAATACTTTCTAAAAGGGAGTAAGTGCTTGTTTCCATTCAGTGATTAGCAGCTGGAGTTCATTCTTTCTTTCTGTGTACTCTGAGTGTTTTTGAGTTGCTGGTTGAATGGGTTTAATGGCCCACAGTTAAAGTTCAGCTGTTTTCTGCAAGCCTGGTAACCGGGCTGCTGCCATGGTGTAGAGGGTGCTGCGGGAAAGTGTGTGTGTGTGTGTGTGTGTGTGTGTGTGTGCGTGTGTGTGTGCATTAACCCCTGTTTGTTACCAGGCTGTTGCTAGGGTCCAAAGTTCACTATGTGAGTCAGAGATGAAAAGAAAAGGAGCTTTATGTCTTGAGAAGAGACAGATCTGTTCAATTCACTTCATGTTTGCCTTTTATACGGTGGCCCTGAAGGTCACATTTTTATGTGTTGTTCCAAATGTTTGTGTTTGTGAGGTGTTTTTTTGTGTGTTTTCTAAAATGTAATTCAGTTTTCTGAAACGTGTTGTGTTTTCTGAAATGTTTTTGTGTTTTTTTAGATGTTTTTTTGTGTTCTCTAATTTCCAAAATTTCCCCCGAGATGAATTATTTCATATTCTGACTAAAAGGTTTGTGTTTTCTGAATAAATGTTCTTGAGTTTTGACCTTCAAGGCCACCGTACTTTAATGTAGGACTTGAAGTGTTGCAGTCCATCAAGGCGTTGCCCTGGTAATAAATGAGCAATTTCCTGTGTTTTCTAAATTAAATGGAAATAGGATTAGTTATAATAGCCTAACCTAAAGAAAACTTCAAAAGAGCTTATCCTGCTTACAATGCTTACATTCTTAATCCGTACATCCAACTTAAAAAACCATCAAAACAAGTCTGAAGGACTGAAATAGGACAATGTAACCAGTGTTAGAAAAATGAAAGGAAAGCCTATATGCAGACTTGTCTGGATTGAATCCTTTTTAGAATGTGTGTGTTACCTCTCTGCTCAGGTGAGGGTGTTTCTCGGGGCAGCTCAGACAGGAAGACCCCCACATCGTCCAGAGCTTTGGTCACAACTGGCTCTTTGGCTCTCAGTTCCCTCCTTAAACCCTGAGAACACACACCGAATGTACACACAACTTATTATCCGCATCAATAACAGGTTATAAAGAAAGGTTGGGAGTGATATACTGAAGTAGTTGTGTTTCTGCCTTATATTTTGTTGGTCGTTTAGGCATTCATGAGCTTGGGTCCCTGGGAAATCTACATTTTTAGGTCCCAAGATAAAATAACTTTAGAACACCTGCTTCAGAAATGCAAAAATGAACAGCTTTGGGAGTCAACACATCACTGCAAGATGTAGCGAGTGCTTTACATAATTATGATAAAAGACACGTTTAAAAGGTTGTTAGAAATGTTGCATGTACTCCGTGTGTGGTTAGATTAACGCACAAACATCACTAATGCTAGATTTAAATGTCTTTGTGCCCGAATAGCCCCTCAAGCTAAAACATTTCTCCATTTATTATGAAATACTTTGACTAAAAGCCTTTTCCTAATGCTTATATGCATGCACTCACCATTTGGCAGACTCATTGTAGTTTTATACATGAAATGACTAAATCAGCGAAGTCAATCATCTCGCTTTTTGCATAAAACGCTGCACAAAATGGGTTTTTCATTTAACTATACTTCCCATTTATTCTGAGAATTAGATTTGCATAATGGTGGTCAGAGAGACAGGAAGTCTACCTCATATGTAAATGGCTGCTTTTTGCAATGAGACCACTAAACTTTCAGGAAAATAAAAGCCAAAAATGTCCTGTATGTAAGACCCCCAATTTGATCTACCCTGCCCCAGATTCAAAGTAAAAAAGATAACTACAAATTATGTCCTTTTTTGTTAATCCTACGGTGGCCAATCAGCATAAAAACCACATCTATGTTGTTTTGTGCACATTGTTAGTAAAAAAAACAACAACTTCATGAACATTCAACAACTCCAGAATCAGCAGAATGTTAGCTTTTCAACAAAAAAGCTGCAGAGACAAGCAGTGTCTGTTTGTGTCCCGAGTGTGTGTCCTCCTACCCGGTTAGTGTCCAGCTGTGTCTGCACGGTGGGCACGTCTCCCCCTACAGGCGGCTCCTTCTCCAGCTGTTGACTTTTCAGCCTCAGCCAGTTCAGCAGCTCCTGGAGCGACATGTGGAGCCTCTTCCACGGGGCCATCTCCGAGTCCAGATGGGCCCTTGAAACACACACAGGCTTTTTTTTGTTTCTCGTACTTTATAGGAACTCCATGATTTTGCAGTAAAGACTGATCCCCTCCTCACCTCATGCTGAGGGTCTTGTTGCGCAGGTCGTTCCAGCGCTGCGTCATGTTGTCCAGGCGTCTCTGGAGCAGGGCCCCGTCCCCCGAGTCCCGCAGCGAGCTCACGATCCTCTGGCCGTTCTCATCCAGGGAGTGGTACATCTCTGTGTGGCCGTCAATCTCTGCCTCCAGCTCCTGGAAACACAAAGCTTGAGTCAGTGGGGAAAAGATAGTAGTGTAGTAGTAAATACTTCCCTGGTAATAACAGCAACCTTTCTTGGATTAGACGTGAGTAATGGCTTCAGAAAGAGTGATTTACAGCCATCAGCAGGATTGCGACATAATAAAGGGCTTAATGTATTAGAAATGGAAAGTTTTGTAGAACGTAAATGTCAAAATGCGTTATTCAGTGAGAAACTATGCATTACGGAAACTGTTGATGCATCTTAAAAAGACTCCTGAAAGGAAAAAGGTACTTTAAACCAATCTTAGCAGAGTGAAAAGGGAATAAAGCTGAATTTCTGTGAACACTTCCTGTTTGGTTTGTGCAATTTCCCTTTAATATGGCTGGCATTTAGCTTTACCATTAATTACATTATGGTAAGTAAAATAAGAAGTATTGGAATCAAGTGCCACGTTTTAAGGAATAGTTTATATTAGTTTAAATATACACTTTTATTTTTATTTCTAAAACACTAACATTGAGAGATCCATTGATCTTCCAGTTATTTGTATTCATTTAACTTTGTGTCGTCAATAAGCATGTCATTTCTCTCATTTTATTTAACATGATAACAGGCCATATGGTCCAACAAGCGATTAAACCATTGTTTTTGGTTTCGTTGATACAATTTCTCCTGATGCACATACATTTTTGTTATCATTGCATAAACTGTAATTTAATAATGATCTTAAAAACAATAAAAACAACCGTTCTTTAGGGGTGTCTTTGGGAAAAATGAGAGATGCTGGAGGGGGAATTCCTGCAACTTGGCAACTTAAACAACTCGTAAAAAACAACATATTTTTTATTAAGAACATTACTTTTTATTTATTTATTTGTTAGGTTAGTTATAGCCTCAGTGCCATCTCAGAATTCTGACTTTAATCTTTCAAATCTGACGTAAATTTTAAAACTAAAAAAACAGAAATTCAGATACCACACGTTGCACTTCCTCTCCCGTATGTGTGGTAATGTTGTTATTGAATTTAAACGCCACATCACAAACACTCAACAATTAGCTTAATATACTGATTTATTTTCGATTGATGACACATTCTTCCATATAAACATTTAGGAATACAATGCTTATTTGCAAAAGACCAGCGCTTGATTTTCTTTCCCAACCTGAACATTGTAGACCTTCCTGCGCAGCATCCTCAAAACTTTACTCCCAGAACTAGACGTGAAGAACAAGAGGCGTCATCTTCTGCTTCCTAGTCCCTCAAGATTAGCTCCCAATGTGGATGCATAAGTGTTTAAATGTGCGCGTGTGACAAAGAGATTTGGAGATGAAGAGGAAGGGAGGGAGAGTTAGTTAAGAACAGGGAGACAGATGGAGGGCGTGAGTCAGAAGGAGAGAAGAGGAGAGAACTTGAAAGGAGGCATAAAAGGATGAGTGCGCTCGTTTTCCAATTAAACGTTATCTGCATGCAGCGTTGCAGCCTGAGAGTGTGTGTGCGCTCCCTGGATGCTACTCCGTGTTGCCGTCCGCCATTATAATTGGACACAGAAGACTATCTCAGCTCTGCATACAGTGCTGCTGTTGTACTGACAGAGCAGTGTGTGTGTGTGTGTGTGTGTGTGTGTGTGTGTGTGTGTGTGTGTGTGGAAATTAATTTCCAAAATGCTGCTTTCCTTTATAGTAAGTGTGTGTTTCGTGCACACGCCGTTCCACCAGTATGTGGGCGCAGGGTAAGGCCGAGGGTCAGAATTTGTTCTCGTGCAGAACAGAGCTTTCCCTTCAACACCCACAATGCAGTAGGGGGATTTTGCATTTGTCTGCAAGGCACTGACCGGCCAATGAGATCTCTCGATGCTGCCGTGTCAGCATTCCTGTCATACCAGCCAGGGCGAGGAAGAGAGCAGCAAACTCGGGTCATGAACTGGAAATGTCTAATCCCATATGACAGGTTGTGCACAACATTAATATTTAATTATCTTTTAGCACTGTTTCTGTGGTGAATTTTAAATCTTGCTGTAACCTCTGTGAAATTATTCATCTTCTGTTCCAAATAACTCTTTATTCCCGCAGCCACTAACAAGTAATGGATGTATTGCTTTGCTCCATTAAGGCGTATGCACTGCCATGAACAGGGTCGAATGGTAAGAGGTATAAAAAAAGTTGTAAAGCAAATAATAATTCAAAAACCTTGTGTTGCTTCCCACAGTGTGCTCTAGTAATTCCAAATGAGAGACGCATCACCACTGTGTTACAATGCAGCTGGTTTCAGACAGAGGGGGAAATGAGGTGCTGCAGTATGTGAACATGTCACCGTAGGGACACTAAATACTGATATGAACCTGAGGATTTGAAGAATAGGGCCCCTTTAATAAGGTGTTGTCCTGTGTGCACAGGGTAGGAACAGGAGTATCTGACAGTGTTCTACCTTCCACTGAGCCAGCAGGTTGCGGGCTGCGTCCGGCTGCTCCTGCATCCTCTCCTTGTTGGTGGCGTCGATCAGCACGTTGCAGGTGGTCTCCGCCTCCGTCAGCCAGTTGAGGAACTTCTCCAGGTTGAGGTAGAACTGCTGCAGCAGCTTCAGAGCTTCCTCTACAGCCACCTCTCTGTCCGAGAGACTGCAGAAACAGGACAAAATGTCACCAAGGTAGACTACGTGCACAAACAGGAATACAAGTGGCACACTCCACATCGATTTTCTTTTTCTTTGACAAGTTGTAGAGAGATGTTTTGTACAGGTAGTGTGTGTCTCGTTACCGCTTGGTGATGTGTGTCCAGGTGGCCATCATGTTGTCGTTAACCTGGGTGACCTTGTGCGTGTCATCGTTGGCGTACAGCGTGAGCAGTTTGTCAGCCAGAGCGTTGGTTTCCTCCACCTGCCCCTGCCACTGCTGCAGCTCCCTCACAAAGGACTGTGAACCATATGAGGGAAGAAAAAAAGACAAACTGAAACAATTCTGAAAGGCGATGATTCACTCTCGCCATATAAATGTCTTTTGAGTCATCCCCTGTGTGAGTAGAATCATATTTTTCAGCCATCTGTTTATGAATCTCACTTGATTCAAGGTGAAAAACTGTGTGTGTGCATCTAAACTATTTTTGCTCATTTAGAAACACGTTTGAGACCTTCAGTTCAGAGTTTTGTCTCTTCAGCGCCTCCACCGTGTACGTGATCTCCTGCCAGGACTCCAGCCTCTCACTGGCCAGCTTGATGAAATGGTCAGCTTCCTTTTTGGCATCCAGCCAATCGGTGGAGTCCTGCAGCATGTTGTGGAGCTGCTTCGTCCTGTCCGAGAGTTTGGTCTGGGAGTCTTCCCAGTGAGCCTGAAGCCTGTCCACTACAATGACAGACAGAAAGAGAATGGCAAAGTTTGTTTTTATGAAAATTACGATGAGATTGAGTAAGATTGTGCTTTTCTTTGCTGTGTGTGTGTGTGTGTGTGTGGGTGTGTGTGTGTGTGTGTGTGTGTGTGTGTGTGTGTGTGGGGGGTGTGTGTGTGTGTGGGGGGTGTGGGTGGCTGGGTGTCTGTATGTCAGGTTGTCTGCTAAGTGAGTGTGTCCAATGTGTGTTTGTGCATTCATGTTTACTGCTTTATTCAATGTTAAATTTAAGGTGTGTGTGTGTGTGTGTGTGTGTGTGTGTGTGTGTGTGTGTGTGTGTGTGTGTGTGTGTGTGTGTGTGTGTGTGTGTGTGTGTGTGTGTGTGTGTGTGTGTGTGTGTGTGTGTGTGTGTGTGTGTGTGTGTGTGTGTGTGTGTGTGTGTGTGTGTGTGAGGCATACTGCGTTCAGTGATAGCGTTGCGGGTGTCCTGGTTGCTGGTTTTGTTCTTCAGGTTCTGAGCTGCTGTGACCTGTCTCTCCAGAAGTGGGCGACGCTGGTCCATCTCTTGCAGGGACAACTAAAAAAACACATGATCATTATTTGTAATTGTTTTGGTTATAGAGTGGTTCAGGTGAAGTATTTTTGTAGGCGACAGAGACATTAGCATCGAAAGGGTTCCCTCGACAAAAAGCAGTGGGGTATTTGCTGACGTATTTGTTCTACCTTGAGGCTGCTGATGTTCTCGTTGATGTCCTCCAGGTCGGCCACCACCACCTGCTTGTTCTGCACCATGTTGTCCAGCATTGTCAGCCAATCGGTGAGCTCGGCCCAGGACTTGTTGAACTGAGCCAAAGCTTCAGATTCAGCCTGGGAACTTCCTGTCAGAGTTTCAGCTGGGACAAACGAAAAAACACAACAGTTTATCCATCAATGCTCTCTAACACACAAAGGCATAGACCTCAACTGACGCAGCAACTGAAGAAAAACACAGGCTCAAAGTCTTACTGGCTTTTTTGGCTATTAGCAGAGCGGCCATCCTCTCCTTATGTTGCCGCACCAGCTCCAGGATCACAGTCCAGTCTTCCCTGAGCTTCACATACCTCACCTGTCACAACACAAACCAAAATCAAGAACAACGGGTTGGCGATAATGGACTTTCACAGATAAACATTGAACAGATGCAATCAAAGGCTTTTATTTTGATATGGCAACTTCACACATATATGTCACAAACATGTCCGTCACCTTGTCTTGTTGGTTGGGAGGATTCTCCTTGAACAGTTGATCGGCTCGCTCCAGAACTGCCTCCACCTCTGGCTGCTTCACCTGCACTTCCTCAACGAGCTGGAGAAACAAACGGAGACAACAGACAGTTAGAATAGAACGTTTGACTCAAAAGGACTCGCATGTATTTTTGTGTGTGTGTCCTACCCGGGGCTCATCAGGGCTTTGCTCCAGCTTGGCTCTGGTGATGGAGGCCCAGGCTGACAGGCCGTCCAGCTGACCCTGGAGCTGCTCCAGCTCCCTCAGCAGAGCCTCGATCTCCAGCTGACGCTCTGGCAGAGCCTTAGACACCTACACAAAGACAGGATGGGTTTTATTCAGGTATAGCTTTGCCATATGTTTGCCTCTAAATGCTCTTAAATGTTTACCAACTAGTCTCTAACAGATATGATTCTAGCTTGCTGCTGCTTTGTTCTGATTAGCTACATATGAACAAAACACTGTTGTGCTGTTAGCTGTGGTTTCCCCAGTGACGGCTGCTGACCTGAGCCCAGCGACTGATGATGACCCTGACGTCGTTCTGTCTGTCAGCAGGAAGTGTTATCTGCCTCTGCTTCATGTTCAGATCCTCCATCAGCGCACTCCTGGCAGGAAGCTCCTCTACGCGTGCCTGACACACACACACACAGGGTGAATTCAGTAAGAAACCATTGCAGCCGCTTAAAGTAGGACACAGCTCTTCCAATCTAATTATGTAAACACAAACACACCAACAAATAAGGTTGGCTTTCAGAATGAAACATTATAGCATCTAATTTGAAACCATCATACGCTTTGAAATTCAATTAACACACATGTTTTAAAGGCTTGGTGTAGTAATAAAGAGCTGAATCTCATTTACACTATGACGGCAGCTAAATTGAATTACGCTGATCGTCACACCCACACACACAGCTCAGCGGCTCATTATAAATGCTGTGTTGTGTCCTGATGCTACCTGGACTTTCCCCAGAGTGTCTCTGATGTGCTGAGGCTCGGCGGGCTGTAGCGGGATGGCCAGGACCCCCTCCGCTTTATCCAGCCAGCCCAGCATGGAGCCCATGTTCTCCTGCAGCTCCGCCGTCGCCGAGCGGGCCTCTGCAGACCTGCAGCGGGGGGGGGGGGGGGAGTGAGACATGTTCTGAAATGTAGACATATACAAAACAGCAGGCTTTTCTCTGCTGTGAACTCATACATGACACATAAAAAATAAAGTGTTCCAAAATCATTTTCTTCAAGGGACATTTGAAAGAGTCACACACACCTCCTCTTGCGCTCGTTGAGCTCCAGGCAGACGTTGGCCCAGCGAGTGTTGACTGATTTGAGCTGCGTCCGGAGCCGAGAGGAATCGTCCGGTGTGCTCAACTGGCTGATGTCCTCTCCCGCAGAGATCACCCTGCCCAGCACCACCTCCTGCAGAGGGATGGCCTCCGTCAGGTCCTGCACACACACACACAGAAGGTTGAGAAGTTGCGTTCAGGGGATATTAAGTGATCCGCTAGCCACATATCACTTAATTCATTCATCATCCCATCATTTATTAATCAAATTGTATCTGTATAGCCAAATATTACTAACTACACATGATCCTTTTTACAATCTGTTTTATGTAACCCTGTTATATTAGATCCTCTCAGATAGATATCGATCCTATCGTCTAATTCAAGGGGAAGAAATCGAATAATTATATTTCTTAAAACATCAAACTATTCCTTTAAATGCTTCGAGTAATGGGATCTTTTTTCTGCAACCATTCAGGGTTGTGCTTTCTAAAGAATTAACCTGAATACATCCCTCCCACAAGTGTATCAACAGTAATTCATTCAATATATCTGAGTGTGTGTGTAGAGAATCAGGAATGGGTGCGGTTCAGGTGGCAGCTTGTGCGTTGAGGTAGCAGATGGTTCTCTGTCTCTCACACACTCACACTCACACACACATATGTTGGCACTTGAGTGGCACTTGGACGGTGCATCCTCGTCTGTGCAGGTGGACATTGAGAGCTGATCACAGCAGCCTAAAGTGGACTGGGCATGTCTGATGATGCAAACAAACACTTATGCACACACCGAACACGTAACAATACTTAATATGCAGGGTGGAATGCATCAGTTTAACCACAGCTACTGAAACTCAGAGACACATCTTTAAAAAACGTGTGCATTTCCCTCTGTGAAAACCATTCCTCCTCTCAGTCATGGTGTTTTATTGTATTATAATCAAACTCTTTCTGTTTTATTTCTGCAACTACTTTTGACTCATTTAATTAAATTAATTTCAACTTAATGAATTCATTATCTAAATGATTTAAAGGACACACAGTTCATAACATTCTTTATGCTTATTTTTAGAAGGAATATTAACATGGTCTGTTTACATTTACTCATTTGTTTTGCATATCAGGAGTAAATGAAACTACTCTAATTATATTTCCTAACAAACATAAGAGATAAAGCCTGGAATTATTGTCGTAATATACTTTAAGTAATTCTTTTATCAGGTGCTAATGGACCATAAATGAATCATGAGGACACATTTTGATATCAGCATGTCCTAATATTACGTGTTATGCCATGAGATGTCACATCTTGTTCTCGTGTGCTACTTCATCCCACTGTGAAAGATAATTTGTCTTTTTATGTAATCAGTGTGAGCAGAAAACTAAGAAACAGAAAGGGAAGCAGTTCTGTGCCTTGCTCAAGGACACTGGAGATTAAATATGACAGCTGGAATACACTCAGCAGCTTTCTGGGTACAATCAGCGATGTGTGTGCAAGCCTGTCTTTATAATTCTGCAAAAATGTGTGTGTGTGTGTGTGTGTGTGTGTGTGTGTGTGTGTGTGTGTGTGTGTGTGTGTGTGTGTGTGTGTGTGTGTGTGTGTGTGTGTGTGTGTGTGTGTGTGTGTGTGTGTGTGTGTGTGTGTGCGTGCGTGCGTGCGTGCGTGCGTGCGTGCGTGCGCGTGTTACCCTGAGGTGCAGCTTGTGTGCTGCTGGCTCGCTCTCGGCCAGTCTCAAAGAGCTCTCAGCGTCGTTCAGCCACTCCTCCATCGCCTTCTGATCCGACACAAACTTCTGCCACTTGATGTTGCAATCCTGCCAACGCCTTGATGTGCGCACACAAAACAGATTGTCATTAAAATATGTGGACAAGATGAATCAATATCCATGCAATTATTTCCCACACACTGCTGCCTACAACTAAGGGCTGCAGTGTGGAAACTGGACAATTATAAAGCAGAAGACAATGTAAGAAGCGCGTTAAAAAGGCAAAAAGGGACTGTTGAAGCTTATATGGTAACATGTGACAAATAAAATGGATTGATCCCTCCACCCCCTACTTACTTCTGTCAAGTGTTAAACAATAATTGGCAATTATGTTGAAAGCAGAGGAGGAATATTTGTCTTTAAAGGGCAAAATCTGTTCCCTATTTTAAATAAAATATTGTCGTGCTACAACATCAGAACAAATCTTTTGATATGTCTTATATGTTCAAATAAATACAAATCATATTCAACCCACAAAAACCGTACAGCCTTACTTGAGTCTGTCCTGGTGGAGCTTGTTCAGTTTGTCCCAGTTAGTGTTGAGAAGGGAGGAGGTCTCCTGGATCCTCTGAACCTCCAGGTGCCGGGCCCCCGACACCATCTCCTCTCTGCGGGCCAACGCTCCCTCCACTGGGCCCCGCAGCTCTTCAATGCTCGCCTTCACCTCCTGTGTGGGAGATGGATGAAGTTATCTTTAGATAAATACGTTACCCTCTGCCTCCAGTCCTTATGCTAAGCCAAGCTAACTGGCTGTATCTTCATATTGTAAAGATTTGATTGGTATCAATATTCTCATCAAAGTCCAGTAGCCCACCCTCTATCTATCAGTGATGAAGTCATGACTGCATGTACTCTGTGTTTTAATGTCTTTGATATTTGCTGAGAACTGTTTTCTGTGTCTCAGACAGGAACAGTGCAGCAGTACTGACCTTCAGACAGAGGTCCTGCTGCGGCAGGTTATAATACGCTGCTGGCCAGTACTCCGGAGAGTTCAGCTTGAAGTCCGTCTCCGACACTGAGCGCAGCAACGCCTGCAGCTCGATCAGGTACTCCTGAAGAGCATGTATTCACAAACACACAAAGATGAGAGGTAGTTTAGAAAGAAGGAACATATTACGTCTTTATAGAAAAAAATATGTTTTGTATCATGCTTCTCTAACAGGCAACATATCAAAGCTAGCTCTAAGGGGGGACATATCAGTTGTTCAATAGAAACTGATCTGGGACTTCATTATTAAACAAGATCATGGGTGAAATTACATGTAAGTCTTGACAAGATTTGAATCAGTTTAACATGTTCAATGAAAAAAGGATACATATATTTGTTTAAATGTAAAAATGAATTATTGTAGATTAATTTTAGATGATAAATTCCAACAGTAAAGCCCTAGATCGTTTCTTTTTGAGCAGGAATTAAACACATTATTAAACCTTATTGTATATCATGATCATATCCAAGCTTGCGTCAACTCACATTTTATATATTTAATCATTAGATTATGAATACACTTTTGTATCCTCATAGGAAGTACATGATATATTTCCATGACCATGATGCACAATACTCATCTCAACAGAAACTCAACATGGCAATGTGTGCAGAGGGATTCTGGGTATTAACACTCGGCTCTGTTCTTTTCACCTCAGTGTTATGCTCCTTTCATTGGAGCAATCGCTTCTGCCTTTAAATTACATTTTTTAATTAACCCAAAATAAAAAACAGATTAGCATTATTAGCAGCCTCACAGAACGTTAATGATCACTGCTGGCCTTAATGAGTCGGCTCTGTGTTTGCCTGGTGTGACAGTAATAACGTCTATAACGGGTGGAAAGCTGGTGGAAAGGAATTATCAGGGTCCAAGTTATCCGGATTTCTGGTCTGACACCATAAGCCTTACATTTCCCATAATGCCACTTCACTGTTTCTCCATGCATCCTTGTGAATACCTACTTCCTAACTCCATACCGTATTTTACAACACATGCTTGACATCAGATGACATCATCCGTTATTTCATCAGTTTTAGCTCAGGAAAAAATTCAGTCTTCCCCATTTTTACTTAATTGAAGAAAGTATAATCCGACATCTGACACCTGTATGTTTGTTATGAAGTGAAATATGGCCAGAGTTTTAAGAGTCCCAGTATCCCTGCTGCACACAGAGCTATTCCACCTGGAGTTTGAATGGTAAAATAAAAATATTGATCCAAGAACATAACTCTGACGGGGCTCATTCTGCTTAAAAAGTATTACTTTGTTAATTGTTTCATTGTACACATGGGTATATGTGAGAATTGTGTTTGAATTAGATTTACTTCCCAGGTAAGTGAGTCAGAAATGTCTCAGTTGCACCAGGAAGCTTCTTCCAGCTTCTTTAAGCTAAACCAGAGTTGATGAGCATATCTTGGCATTATCTGATGTTGCCACTGCTCCAGAGACATATATTGTTATATGAATTAAATGCTTGAATGTGTCTGTAGTGACTGCAGACCAGACCAGGTTTAAAAAAACTCTCTCTGATGATCTGGTTTACTCTTCCCTTTCTCTTTCTATACCACTTGGACTGAATACACATCTAAACTGTTTTTGTCTTTATAACAAACTAAAAAAATATGATAATAGATGGCAACATTGCAGCTGTTGTGGCGCAAAAATATCAAAATTCAGGAGGAACATGTTACTAACATTCAAGTTTTTGTATTATCCAAATGAAAGGTTACAATGGGCCCTCTGTTCTTATTTGTTTCATTAAAAAAAATCATGAATTTGCATTGTAACATTACTTGTATAAAGGAATAAATGGATTCTTATGTCAATCTGATATGATGGCTGTTGTCTCTCCGCATGTCCATCTACACAAGGTCAGCTCGACAACACCCCTGGAGTTGGCAGGGATTGAGTGATTTGCTCAAGGACACTTTGTGTTACATAAGTTTTGGTGCCTATTATTAGCGCGTACCCAGCTTGGAGAATATGGAAAGTAAGTGCACCAATTACTGCTCAAGAGTCCTAAAGCAATGCACCAAAGTGCCAAAACAGCTTGAGTGGAGCCGCTCAGAGGCCTTACACTGAGTGTGTTCTGAGTGTGGTCTCTCGGTGACTCTTAATACGTGCTTATGATTCCTCTCAGTGCGCCTGAATAAATGCATAACTGAGAGTCTGAGATCTGACAGTGCAGATGTGCATTGGTCCAAGTGTATACCATATGGTGTATGCAGCTGATTCAACTGATGTGATTGGTTGACAGGATACATACATCTTCAGTGATGGGCAGATCAGGGAACTGCCAGGGTGTAATGTGATTGGTTGGCATGCGGTGACACAGAGCAAGACAGAGCAACCAATGAGATTCAGACATGTGAGCTTCACATGAACACAGAAAATAATGAAAATGCAGCAAAGAAAAACAAAAAAAGCAACTCACACCTTTTTTATTTGACCTTTTAGGGGCATTACTGAAATTATGTAGCTTGATTTATTGTAATAGATTTAGATAAATGTCTTACCTACATTTAGCAAAATATGCTTATTAGCTTTCATGCCAATAGTTAGCTTATAAGTTAACTTTGGTGCTATCTGGCAAAACTTGTTGCATAACTTTGTTTCTAAATAGCACTGGTGGGAATTAGCGTTATAGGGTGGTGCAGGAATGAGTCCTTGAACCCAGGTCAGACCTCAGATAGTTGTATTAGTATTTGGAGCTGGAATAAGTAGTAGAGTATTAGTACTGTAAATATAGAAGTCGTGCCTACTGAAACTCACACATTGTCTTTTGAAGGGTAAGAACTTGCCCTCCACCTCAACCCAGCGCGTGTTGAGCTGGAGTTGGCGGGGCTCCACTAGATTGGCGGCTCCAGCTTCTGACAGCTGATTGGCTAAGCCCTGCACCTCGTTAAGCTCCTCCTTCTTCTTGTCGAACTCTGAGCCAATTTCCTATTGGATGAGATCAACCGTGGGGTCACTCGCTATCGGATAAGCTCGAGGGGGGGGGGGGAGGGTAAGCACAGAGAGGCATGTGGATGTGGAATAGTACACATTCACACACGGTCGATAAATATATTGTAAAAATGATAAAACACTCACACACTCCAACAAAGACACAACACATTGATACAAGGGACATCATGTTTGTAAGTGTCAAACATACACAAGTGGTTCATATTGATACTATACTGTATGTATCTCCACTTCAACAATCCATATCAAATAAGAAGGTGGTGCTGTCATTAGGTGCCGTGATACTTTATTTACATTGAGAAGTAGTACAATCATCAGAAGTGTGAAGTGTGAAAAGAAGCAAGGAAAGACAGAAAGACAGATAGATGAGCAGACAGACAGACAGACAGACAGACAGACAGACAGACAGTGAGGAATCTCAGTTGCGGCAATGACAGGTGAGTCTGAGGCGAGCGAATCAGACGTCCCCTTAGCGAAATGTCATAGTGACCATCTGAAAGTGAAAGACACACACACAAAGTCAAGGTGGGGGAAGAAAAACAGGGGGGACCAGGGCTCCTGTGTCAAGCCTTTTCCACATCAACACATTGGACAGGGAGCTCAAAGGTGCTCCATCAGTGTGTAGCATTCCCATCAATGTATTTGTTGTGTAGTGAAATTGCTGAATACAAAAATAAAAGTCTGGTAATGTTTTTAAAAATGGTTTATAACACACTTTAAGTAGTATTGTAGTATGTAGAATGTCATACTTTGTCATATGAATCATCTGTACCTGGTGTAAATAGTATAACAATTATATAAAATACAGTATTTCATATTCATATTTAATTAGCTGGGTTTTTTGGTTGTTGGTAACAGAAAAAAATTGTTTTTTGTGACGGAATAAATATTTAAATAAATATAAATGTATCAGAACATATATAAATATAAACATAATAGTACATTAAAATATTATAATTATTATGTACTCACTTTGCGAGTTATTTTGAACCTCAGCTGTTATATGCTATAATAAAAAACAAATAATGATTCCACTGTTTCACAAATAACTGTGTAATTAGCCTCCTTCCAACGCTTGGTCTACCACAGAAAAAAGCCAGACAAAAGCGGTCGTTTTTCTGGGGGGAGGGAATTGATCAGCAATTACTTTCTTTAAATAGAAACAAGGAAGATGTCCTGGAACAATTATTCACAAAATGGTCTTCCTAAGGGAATAAAAGCAACGAAGCATTTGGGGAAGAGGAGAAGTGAGAAACAAAGAGAATAAGGATTTTAGAAAAGACACAGACAGCGTGAGATGAAGAGCTGGATGGAGAGGAGAGAGATAAACAATAGAATGGATTTCACGCTTTATGGTCATTTCTTAACATAGCAGAAAGATATTATTATCCATGTACATATGCACAATGTGTGTGTGTTATCACCTTGACCCTCTCTCCCTCGGGGGGGTCGGGCAGTTGGTCCACGCTGCGTTGAATGTCGTCCAGCCAGGCCAGCAGGTCATGTGACTTCCTCCTGTACTGGTACCACTGGGGAGCGATGGCCAACGCCTTCCTGTTCCTCTGCAAACGCAGGTCCTACACACACACAAAATATAGAAAGATAAAGTGTTTGTAGCAAGTCTCTCTAAATCTTTAAGGAGGACAGCATTTATTGTATTTCTACTCCACTTGTGTGTTGCACTGTGTAACCGAGTGTGTGTTACCTTGACGGTGTTGTACTTGCTGTTGAGCTGGTTCTGCTTCAGCCTGATCTGCTCCCTCTTGTCCTGATCCGGGGCCCTCTTCTGTAGATTCTCTCCTTTCAACAGCAACTCCTTCACTGCACCTTCCTCACAGTCCTGCGCCACACACACACACTGTTTAGAGCTGCACACATGATACCTAAGGGAAATAATAATCATTATCTGTGTGTGAGGGACCTTGTCCTCCTGGAAGTCCTCCTCCTTCAGGTTTTCCCCCTGCTTCACTTCCTCCTCCAGGAGCTCCAGCCAGATCTGAGCTTCACTGTGGTACTGCTCCAGCTCCTTAGCCGACGCTGCCGTCTGACACACGCACACGCGCACACACACACACACACACACACACACACACACACACACACACACACACACACACACACACACACACACACACACACACACACACACACACACACACACACACACACACACACACACACACACACACACACACACACACACACACACACACACACACACACACACACACACACACACACACACACACACACACACACACACACACACACACACACACACACACACACACACACACACGAGAAAAAGAAAGATCATCAGTGGCCTAGAGGGAGAGCATTTATTGGGAGAGGTCGGCGCAGATTACGAGTCTATTTAGAGAAATCAATTTAGGGAGAGTGTATTTAACGGGAGTATGTTTGGAAGTACATTTATGGAAATACAATTTAACTGTTTTCAAGCTAAATAACAAACAAAAAATCTGGACTAAATCTTATCAGACGCTCTTAGAATTTCAAAATGAAAGTACTCAGAGGGCTTTATTCTTCCTACCATTCCGCTGGTGATGCGTTGTGCGATGGTGTCAAATCTGTGGTTGAGCTGCTCCACTTTGGGCCTCACTTGGGCCTGGCACTTCTCCCCCCTGGTGGACATGAGCTCCTTGACCAGAGTCCTCACCCCCTCCATCTTTCCCTTCGTCAGATCCAGCTCCGCACGCAACACCTGCAACACACACACAGTTAGCCACAGAAGCTCTTTCCTAAGGAAGGACATTCTAACTATTGTGTCACACAGCTACATATCTTATTGCGACAGACCACCATGCAGAATTAAATAAGTTAAATTATACATTTTTGTTGCCTCCCAGAGAGTTGTTAACAACAGGATAATTATCTGTGTTTTTAAGAAATACCGCATTTCTTCTCAAAATCCATTCACTGACATCTAATCTACAGAGAATTACTGGAGGTAAAACACCAATAAACACACAAGATAAGCACAACATATGCACAGACACACATTACAACCTTGAGCACAGCGTCGTTGGGTCCCTGGCTGTCTATCTCATCCATCTTCTTCTCCGCTCCGTCGATCCATCCGTTCACTTCCTCTATCTCTCCATCTAACTTCTGCATCTGCCTCTGGTAGTCCTGAGGGAGAAAGGAGAGAGAGAAACTTGAGTGTGCAAACAACGACACTTTTAGAGGGTTATTTTTAGAGTTTGGGTTTAATTTTAGCACTGATGAGACGGATAAATATGTATCAGATGTGTTTTTTTGTTCTCTGACCAGCAGCAGGTTGAGCCACTCCTCTGCTCTGGATGTGACAGCGATCCAGTTGCAGCGCAGCAGGCTGACTTTGTCGTCCACCAGGCCCCCTTGGCCCCGCAGCACCGCCTTCAGGGCCTCCGCCAGGTCCACCACGGCCTGCAGCTGCGGCTGGCGCCTCTCCGTCTCCTCGTGGATCGACTGACAGGATTGAAAAGAGAAGAGAGTTGAGAGACAGAATGCCATTACCTATTGAAAGCTCCAGTTAATTGTTTCTATTTTTAGCAAATTTCTATATGACCTTATGTTGTGTATACCTGTGCCCATTCCACCTCCGCCTCCAGGTCGCTGGGCATGCCGTCCACAGCGGAGCGCTTGGTCAGCTCAGCATCGGTGGCAGCGAGCCACTCCGTCAGCCCGTTGAGCTCCTTACGCAGCTTCCTGGACAACTTCAGACTCTTCTCCAGCTCCAGCTTACTCTCCGTCACCTACACACATAAATCATGTTTAAATCTGACCTGTATGATCATGTGAGCCTAACTATCTGTGTGTGTTGTTACCTGAGAGCCCAGCTGGTTGTAGAGCAGCTTCAGGGCGGTCACCCTGTCGTCCATATCTTTGGGCTGCTCCGTCTGCTGCTTCTGCACGATCTGCCTGCCGGTTTTTATCACCGTCTCCACCTCCCCTTTCACTTCACTCAGCACCTTATACAACTTCTGTTGGAAACAAACACACAGCAGGGGCTTAATGTAGGATCAAAGCATCTATTCACCGCATCTGATTGGATGACCCACCATGCACTGGTCCAGCTGTGACTGCACCACGTCCTGCTCCACACTGCGGATGTCCAGCACACCCCCCTGGCTTTTGACCCCAGCCAGCAAGCGCTCGCACTCGGTCAGACGAGTGTCGAAGTTGGCCGGCTTCTGGAAGAGCCGGAACTTCGTCCACACGTCTGCCAGCATTTTCTGTGAAAAGGAAGAGACACAAAGATATATTAAAATAAATAATGAAATGCAGGTGTTCGGTGAAGTTTGCAGAGGAAGAAGAATCCATGTTGTCAGTGGATTATTTATCCACACCTCTCCTGCTATGTTATGCACAGCTGGCACAACTTAGATACCTTCATTAATCATTTAAATCTCCTGACAAAACACAATTCTCCAGAAAATCCCTCAGTACAATTTTGTTTTGTTTTGTACTTTTCTCAATATGTGTGTGTACATGTTCATGTGTGAGTGTGTACCTGCGTGAGGTCTATCTGTCCCATAACCCTCGGGTCTTTGTCCTGGTTCTTCTTCTTCATGTCCTCCAGGGTCGCCTCATGGCCGCTCAGCTCCGCCTGGATTTTCTGTTGAACACACGCATGCACGTAAAAGACCAATTAAAAATAAAAAGGATAACACCGATTATGTTAATGAACCATAACTTTATTTTGACTAAAATTAATATAAAAATGTGATGTAATGGGTCTGAAAATGTTGTTTTGAAAGTCAGACTAAAGCCAATAAAGTTGGAATGCATTGATAGTGTACCTCCTAATAATAACCACAAGGGGGCATGAGGGATCAAGGAGATAGGAGAGGATGCTTAAAAGCATTAACAACCTGTCACCCCCCCCCCCCCCTTTCACACACAGAGGCCTCTGTCACCCCTCTCACTTTTAAATACCAAATGCCCTGTAATCACATATGCTCATCCACACCAATCTAATCCAATCATTCTCCCATCCGCCTGTGTGTGTGTGTGTGTGTGTGTGTGTGTGTGTGTGTGTGTGTGTGTGTGTGTGTGTCTACAACATACGTGTATTCAATCTTTCCTTCCTTCTCCACGTACACACACTCTCCCTCATCAGTCTTTCTATCATCGCAGGCCATTATTTCACCATCGACTGTCTGAATTGTCTAGAGGCTGTGTGGAGGAAGAGACATACAGACAGAAGTGTATGTGTGTGTGTGTGTGTGTGTGTGTGTGTGTGTGTGTGTGTGTGTGTGTGTGTGTGTGTGTGTGTGTGTGTGTGTGTGTGTGTGTGTGTGTGTGTGTGTGTGTGTGTGTGTGTGTGTGTGTGTGTGTGTGTGTGTGTGTGTGTGTGTGTGTGTGTGTGTGTGTGTGTGTGTGTGTGTGTGTGTGTGTGTAAGAGTGTGTGTGCGCTCTTGTCCGTGTCCAAAGTTGCCCCGGGCTTAATTAGGACAACAGAGAGAAAAAGAGCATTCGCCATTCTCCCTTGGGTTCCCATGCATGCACACAAAAAACACACAGACAAACGCACACACTCTCTGAAGTATATTTCCACTCAGCTGTCATTCTCTTCTTCCTCTACCTGTCCACACAGCTGTCACTCTTAGTGGTAAAACCTGACAGGGCAAAAAGCTTGACAGTGTTTCATGAGTCAACTAAAAGCTGCACTTACTGATGATGAATTGGCATCTTTATTCTACATTAGGAGCATTTTTATTCAAACTGACTTCAGCCTGGCGTAGTCTAAATACTGCAGGTCCAGTTGGGTCTGCTTACATCGGGACCAGCGGGGTGAAGTTTGGTTTGATTAAGTCTTATCAGTAACGCTAGCATTTAATTGAAGTATTGTCATTCATTCCTATGAAAAGTTCCTCAGTGGAGCATGAAACTAAAATATCTTAGGATGCTCTCCCACATATTTGTCCCATAGAGCACAAACGTCTCATTTACATAAAAGGCAGCATGAAAATAATTCAACTAATTAGGTATTTTTAAACTTTTAGGACACAATGAATGAAATAAAACGCCCTCTCTAGTTCTAAAGCCACTTTTAGTTTGTCCGTTCTGAGCTACTGTAGAAAGATGGCGGTCTCCGTGGGGAGGATCCCTGTGATATGAACGGCTCATGAACACAGCCAGTCTTAGTGAACGGAAAAATATAGAGATTATGTAGAAGCTATGGCCCACAACGATTCTCATTAGTCCCTACACGCACACACAGCTACACACTGATGGCTACCTGAGCCTCCTGCGGTATCTGCTGGGCGTCGATGTGGTCAGCCAGGTACGCAGTAAGGTGTCGGTCGGTGTTGGCAAGCGAATCCTGGATCTGCCTCAGACTCTTGTCATTCTCCTGGGCCCACTGCACACTCTTCTCCAGCTCCTGCTTCCTGAGCCCCGCCTGGGTAAACACAAACAAAACTGCGTCACAAAACAAATGAAGTGGACCATTAAAACAGATAACAGCAAATGGGAAACGTATATAATGTATATAAAGAGAAATATTCAATCCCTCGTCCCTCTAAATAACAGTTTCTCGCAACACACAACCCCACATGTACCTAAAAACAAACAACACAGACACACACACTCTCTGCATATACCCTCTTGAAGGACGGAGGCCGGGGTTTCTCTCTCATGTTGCCTCAGTGTGACGACAACATCAAGGTTGCCAGCGAACAACCCAAATAACAAACGATCTTCTGATGCCTGAGAAGTAGGACCCTCTGCAACTACTGTTTCTGTTCTGCTCTCCACCTCTTGTCTGCCTACGAGATTAACTTTCCTACGGACATGTTGCATCACATCCTGTAAGAGCTTGTGAGTTGTGAGGAAGACCATGTGGTCACAGGTGAGCATGCTAAGCTCATGCACAAGGATAATGACTCTAAATATAGCCGTGAGCCGCTAACGCTTGTGTCACACTCACAGTGCTCCCAATGTCACCGTTTCATGGCTGATAATGTACGAAATGAGCGCGATATTAAATATTTAGACAAACATTGATAACAACCTTCCCCGTGGCCATGTACTCCATTTCCCTGGCAATTGTCGGCTCATGAATACATATTCTTATTAAACACTCAGTTTTCCCTTATTACTAATTTCTCTCACACATCGAAAGGAAGTCAGTGATTGTGAACGGGCGAGATAGAGGATCGCTGTTTGCCTTGCGTCGGAAACGCCGTCGGCTAAGCAGCGATCTCCGCGCTACACTTGCTCTTATTGGTTGTTCAGCCGTTACAAAAAGCTCCAAATTAAAATGGCAAACACGCCTCTTTGATCTGAGGAACAGCAGACAGAGATATAACACAACATGGATTTATCTCAACATAACTTTTTAAGTGGGACACAGATATAATGAGATTATATTCCACTGTCTCTGCACTTTCTTGGACCCGTGCACTCTGTTGCCGGGGGAGTGTTGACACTCAGCTATTTGAGTCGTGAATTTATAATACTTTGGATGGAAAGAAGTTGGAAAATAGATAAGAATTATACTTCTGTGATGTTTTACTTTGATTTGATAACATCAAAAATGTCTTAGTTAAGTTAGAGAGGCAACTTTACAATTTAGTAAAGACTATCCATAGGACATTCAAGTTTAGTTTCTTCAGTTTATGTCCAATTGTATTTGATCTTTTTAGAAGAAAAAGAAGACTCTTTATTAAGGGGAAATGGTCTTTCAGTCAGTTGTTCACACACATGCACAGGACAGGACCTATACATCTGAATACATCTGAATACATACATATGGATACAAACACATGCATTTTGCTTTTATGGAGAGGTTTCAGAGCGTATATCGATATGTCATTTCATTTAGTTTTCTTTGGAGTTCATTTTAAAATTGAACAACTGCCATGAACGCCCAATTTCCCATGGGATAATTATTATTAGTATTTCTTAATCCGATTAAAAAAAAAAAAGAATGAACTGTGTATTTTTCTTCAAAAATCCTTTATTTCTGTGATGCCTTAACAGATATATCAGTTTATATTCACCTCATTAAACACCTTTTTGGAAAGCTCCATTTAAAGACGGTTTTAGTGATGATTTAAGGTGTTTGTTTTAATAAAAAAATAACCACTGCTTCTAGGTGATTTGTCTAGTGTCTGTCTTGTGGTAGGATGACAAATGACCGTTCCTGAAACCACACAACGATCCAAGTTTGAAAGAAATACATTTAAAAAAGAAATCCCTCCTACAGTTCCCTCCGGTCAAAAGAGAGGAAATATTAAGGCAATATTTTGGTCTGTGTGCTTTTGCTCCTGCATCTGTCTTTCCAGAGTGACTCTCAAACACCCGCTTCCTGTCTCTGCGCTCCTCGCCCTCAATATAGATGAGAAACAAACAAACAGCCCCCCCGCCTCACCTCACATGCTGACACACACCGCGAAACAAAGGACACCGGCTTCAGATAACACACACAATGACACTTCCAAACCAGAAAATACAAAAAAGTCTGAAATAACACACACACACACACACACACACACACACACACACACACACACACACACACACACACACACACACACACACACACACACACACACACACACACACACACACACACACACACACACACACACACACACACACACACACACACACACACACACACACACACACACACACACACACACACACACACACACACACACACACACACACACACACACACACACACACACACACAGTCTCTGATGGGTAGACCAACAAAGGGAGGCTTATCAGGCTGCAAGGAGAACATTAATCTGGTGCTATTGTGAGGGAGGATCAACCCAGCGGGCAATGAGTGTGTGTGTGTGTGTGTGTGTGTGTGTGTGTGTGTGTGTGTGTGTGTGTGTGTGTGTGTGTGTGTGTGTGTGTGTGTGTGTGTGTGTGTGTGTGTGCAAGAATGTCTAATCTGTCGCTGAGGATCACCACAAGAGGCTGAGAATGTTTCGCGGCCGCTGATGCCGGCTGATGAGGGCTGGAAGGAAGACGTTGAAAGAGGAAGAGGAGGAGAAGGAGGAGGAAGATTACGAAGAGGAGGAGAGAGTGCAGGGGTGGAGGAAGAGACAATCAATTAGGAGAAGACAGACGGAGCTGGGGAAGGAGAGGGAGAAAGGAGAGGAGGGTTGTATGGAATAGAGAAACGATTGGAAAGGTGTGATGAATGAGAGAAGGGTAACGTGAGAGAATAGGAGGAAGAAAAATGTGAATATGGCGGAAAATAAGGAATATTTTCAGATGTATATTTTTGTTAATATACACTTATTGTCTGGTCAATAAAATGATTGAAAATAGTTCAACATATAGTACTCCATGACACTCAGATTGATTTGATTCTAAGCAGAGAAGGGCTTGCTCAGCCTCAGGACTTAAAGGTTTCCAAAGGGGCAGTGCATGGAACTCCAATACTTTTGCAGAAACTGGATCGGTTTTATCCAAAGCACGATCAGGCAGACCAAACATGACCTCAGCATCAGAAGATCAATACATCAAGCTTGGTCCAGAGATAGATAGAGCAGAATTCAAGAGCAAGAGCACGATCAAAAGAAGGACTTCTCAGGAGGGGAAGCGAGGTGAAACGCTTTGAGTGGGCTGAGAAATACAAAAATGTAGAGGTGGATAAAGTCTTATAAACTGATGAATCCAAGAATGGGATTTATGGTAGCAACAGATGGGGGGGGATGTAAGGAGAGAACAGTTGAGAGAATGATACTGCAGTTTATCAAACCCAGCATAAAAGACATTGCATTTTAGAGAAGGATTCATACAGCGGGAGGATAATGACCCTAAATGCACCTAGTTGAAGAGCAAAGATGAACAAGTCCTGACTATTGTGCATTTTCCTCCACAGTCACCTGACCTCACCCCCATGGAACATTGAGGACAACAGTGAGAAAGCCAAGCGTTATGCAACATCATAAGAGGCTCTTTGGAACACTGTCAGTTCATGCTGGGATAACATGTGTCGTCAGATTTTTAACAAACTCGTGGAGTCCGTGCCAGCTCGAGAACATGATGTTATCAAGGCCAAATGAGGACGTACCAAATACTGACAGAAAATAAAACGTACATTTTCCAAAGAGAATTGTTGAGCTGGTTTTATCATTTGTAATAAAAATGGAAGTTTCTTGAAATGTGTTCTCAGAAAAAACGAAATCAGTTGTATTTTTGGTATAAGGAACGTGATTGGTTTATCTTGCAGTTGCCAGCATTTCCAGTCCACATGTACATGCTGTGCTCAAAGCCTTTTTTCTTTGGTTATCTATCGGAACACTTGTCCAACGTTGTACTGTGAACTTGTCTTAAAGCAACCAACGACAGCCTGTAGCATCATTCTGACTGTGAGAGAAATGTAGGACAGAAGTCCAGCGATGTGACGACTCATGTTTAGTAAGCAACAACTAAAAACCCAACAGGAAGTGATGGCTGATGATAATGCTAACATATATCATTACCATAAACCCTGCAATGTCTCTGCTTGCATATATTATTTAACTATTTGCGCCTAAGAGGTGATTTAACCAGGCTTTAGCGTACCATCTGACCTAAGTGTGTCCATGCTTCAGGTCTAAGGTGATGAAATAAGGTGACATTTAAAATGTTAATCCCCTAAGAATACACATTTTCTCCCCAGGTGCACAATGACAACAACTTGATTTTCCAGGATAAGACAGCAACATACCCCAATAATTGTAGCATGTTCGATAAGAGCCAACACTGACAGACCACACCAAAGCAAAGTAAGGGGGTGATAAATAATTAGACAACCGTTTTTTTTTTTATGAAAGACTTTGTATGATTCCTCTTACCCTCGCCATGAGCTCATCCCATCGTGTGTTGAAGGCGTCCAGTTTCTGCTGTATTAGTTCATCCAGAACTCCTCCGTCCATTAGCGTCTGGGCCAGCTCCCGAATCTGGTTCCTGTTGTCATCCGGGTGTTGCAGAAGAACATCCAGACTCTGTAAACACACAGAGAAAACCTCCATCAATTACACTCGGCCATTACACTTTGAAAAATATGGGTTTGATTCAACTGTTTTTTTGCATACTTTGTTTTGTTTGAAGCTGACTCAGGATAAGGTTAGGAGACGTGTATTAAACATTATGCAGGATAAGAGCGTTTGGTGATGACATGCAAAGCTTAAATAGGTCAATTAGCCCCTGTACGTCTGACCTGGGTGCTTAACAGCTTTCCACATCTTCCTAAATCTTTGCTGATGTCAGTTTAGCGAAGTGAAATACAGCTGAGTAGGCAGTTTGCATTTTTGCTGTTCTGTTGGAGTTTTAATGAAATAATGCATCATGGTGGAGGGGCTTAAAGCTTTTTGCATTGTTTAATCTCACCAAATCCCTGGATGTAACATCTGAAGCACTCTGCAAAAGCACAGTTTAAGCAAATTAACAAGTTAGGGTTAACACGTAAGCCTTTCACTTTACTTCTTCAAAGAAGGCCAGGCAGCTCCAGTGTCTCTAATTACAGGATTCAATGCAAATTCCATGGGATTAACACTTTTTAAATTTCATACAAACGCCTGCATTACAGAAACAATCTTGTTTATGTTTCTGTTATGTGTTCTCAATTTAAGCCCACTGGGTTTCTGATGTTCTTCTCATGGTGGTGGTACGGGTTTGTAGCTGAGGGAGACCTGAGTTCTCATGGTTATTGTTTAATTAAAAAAAGGAAAGAAATCCCTTTAAAGCTTACAAGGATCACGCTCCCTGCTTGAGGGTCTGGTGGCTGTTTGGATTGCAAAAACGGTCGCCTTAAACTGGTCATCCTTCTCTAAAAGCTGGGTTAGCCTAGCTGAGCCGTAAGCACCGCGACTATTTAAGCTGATCCGAGACAGGGACACTGATTAACCACAACACAGCAGAACACTGACGTTGCTAAGAAGTGTTGGAGGTGTGCTGATCACAATGCCTTGGTATAAGCCTGCTTTTATTCTTGTATTTTATACCTGTTTTTGATATAATAGCTTGTTTTATTTTAACTTTATCATCTTGTAAGAAAAGATACAAATGAAAGGCGTTTCAGAGTGACTTCATACTGACATCCAGCGCCTCCTGCAGCTCCTCCGCTCCTCCCTCCAGGTTCTCCGTCTCGTCCAGCTTCTGCTCCAGCTGGTCCAGGAAGGCGTTCTCCTGCTCCAGGTAGGAGAGCAGCTCACACCAGCACGCCCACACCTCCTGCAAACACACAGGGAGGCACACACAGAGGAAATGCATCAGTGAATTGATTCATACGAAAACAGATGAACATTTTGACATTTGGCAAGATGAACGGTGCAGGAAAAGACGGATAGTGAAAGTGAAAGAGAGAACTTCCCCCGTAAATTTGAAAGCCCATGACTACCAGTTTTTCATATTCACTTATTCAGCGTTGCTGCAGGCCGTCATATCAACATCTGTTCAACATCAACATGTTTGATGAGTTTGTTCCAGTCTGCAAATTAGCAACAGTTGCCTCTGTCTGGCTAAGTGATTGAGTTGGCTTTCTAATTGTGAAATGAAGCTCATTTGAAAAATATGTTCCAAATGGCACAAGTTTCTTCACACAGGACAAAGTCTGTCAAATGTGCAATATAAAGATCAAATAAAATAAAAAAGGATATTTATAAATAATAAGAACATTCAAAGTAAAAGTATGAAAAACAAGAGAAAGTCAATTATTAAAACCAAAGATGTGATATTTTGCCGTAGGGGGGGTCATGCACTATTGATCTGCTCTGAGATTTCTGCCTCCAGACCACAGAGCACAGTCTTCTCCACAGTTTTCATACTGAATATCTTCTTCTGAAGAACATGTATTTATCGAGCTCATATCCCCATCACTTTAAGCCTGAATGTGAAATATTTAACCACCTTGTGTTCATTAAAATATACTTTATACTTTGATTAAGCTTACAATTACTAAGTCAAGAGGTAAAAAGATGCAAGAAGATAGCCTGAAACGGTTCTACTCGGCTAACCTCGCTTCGCCTCTGCTCATCTATAGTAAACTGAGTACATTCACACACTGGCACTGATGTATTTTGTACACTACCGCCTTGGCCTTGACACACACATGGACACACACTTTCTCTTTCCCCACTTTGTCTTTACCTAAGCATGGCGAGAATGTCCGATAAACACTTCCAAATGATCACAGAGAAAGTTCTTACCTCCAGCGTTTTACATTTCCCATCCAGCCGGCTGCACAGGCGCTGGTAGTTAGCCGTCAAAACGTCCAATTCAGACCGCAAGGCATCATGGGCCGTGGGGGGAGCCTTGGCGATGAAACTGTTGACACTGTCAGTCAGGAGTTTGACCTTCAGCTCCTTGGAGTGGACCTCTTCCTGGGCCCTCTGAGGAAGATAGAGTAAGGGATGTTGATTCCAATTGCATAGTGGTGCAGTGATGACGTATGATTTCAGGCATCTAACCAACCAAAATATACAGTTTTAGGACTCATTCCTGCACCACTTTATTGGTAAGCCTTGTTACAAAAATGAAAGAGCAAGAGAAGGAAGAAGGACAGAGAGAGACAGAGAGGCTTAATGGAAGGAGGGACGGATGCACAAACAAATGAATCAATGTGTCTGCAGTTGACAAAGCCACAGTGTAAAGGGACAGAGACAGACGGAGGGAACAACCTAGGCAACGAATCAATGAATGAAGCTAATACTTTCCCAAACCAGGCAGGGGGGGGGGATTTGGAGAATAAGCGACTGAACAGATTCACCAATGGAGTTTCCTTTAGCTCGGAGCAGAAAGGGGGAGGGGAGGAGAGGAGGAGGGAGGGAGGAAGAGGGAGGGATTAGCAAGAGCAAGCAGAGTGAAATCAATTTTTAATTTTCAACTTGCCTCTCAAGTAAACTTTTTTTAAGCGGGTGAATGGAAGGGGGCTACTACTGCCAAGGCTTTTGGGTTTATTAACAAAGGACATTTACATCACAAATACATCGCATTAGGGTTATGAAGGCAGAGAAAGTGCAGCGGGGAATAGGGGCATTTATGCAATTTGATACGAAATTGAGTTATGGAGACAAAGAGAGTGGAGAGGGGGTTAGACTCAGAGCTGTGAGGGAAGAATACAGAGAGAGGGAAATAAATATAGACCGAAATAAGTGTTTTTCTTCACAATAAAAAGAGAGGCAGGCAGACGGGGGGCTATGGATAAGGAATGAACCAGGATCAGAAGAGAGGGACAGGGAGAAGCAGGTGCAGAAAGGTCAGTGAGATGTAAGTCTGTACTGTGAATAAAGACCCTATGTAAATCCCTTTATAGTCACAATTACGGCAGAAAAATAATAAAAATACGTATATCTGTATACATGCCTTTTTGATTGAAAATCTGTCTATGCCTGCAAATCATTGTAAATATTAATAATTCAGTTCACAAAAGATATAATGGTCTACAGACATAAATAAAACACTGTGTCAGAGTCAGCACTTTCTGAGGCTTACGGACCGTCTCCACAGCAGCGTTAAAACATTTTGGAACGCTTCTGCCCATTCACTTTGAATGGGGTGACGTCACTTTGCCTCACTTTTCGCCGAACTGCATTGTGGGCAGCAGAGCGGAGATTTTCAGGATTTTCAGGATTCAAAGTTGAGCAATGTTCAACTTTTGAAGCTGAGGTGGAAGCGTCAGCCAATCAAATCCCGTGTATGCAAATCTGACAGTTCAAGCGCTAGCCAATCAAACCGCGTGTATGCTAGGAGAGACATATATATTTTTCCTTCCAAAAAATGGAGGAGAAATTAGCGGTAGGGAATCACCCGGTGCTTTATGACCAGTCCCTATTTACCTACCGGGATATAAACCGGAGGAGCCAGGCATGGAGGGAGGTGGCAGAGACAGTGGTAGGTTTTCGCCTGTTTGGGGAGTTTATATCCAGTTTACTTCGGGCTTTTTTGCTTCGTATGTCGGGGGCGGGAGATTCATGTGATTGGTTGTTGGTGCCTTGCTCGCAAAAAATTCCCAAGCTTCAGATACGCCCACCTCCAAGATTTTTTTACGCTGCTGTGTGGACGGGCCGTTACTCAGCAGAGAAGTCGTCCTTTATGAGCCATGGTGCAAGAACATTTTTTGTATCTTAGTATCTTAGTGCAAAGAAATAGTGATCATTACTCTCAGACTAAAACAAATGTGATATTTACTCTAGGAACTACTGTCACAGCAGCAGCAATCTACTGTCCGGTTCACACACCTTGAGCTCCTCCACAGCCTTGCGCAGCTCTTCAGGAGTCTTGTACGTGAAGTCTCTCTCCAGGTAGTCCTCCTCCGCCTGGTTGATCCACTCCTGCATCTCCTGCATCTCCTTCCTCAGAGCCATGGTCTTGTCGAGGCCTCCTTTCAGGGCCGACTTCTTGGCGTAGGCCTAGACGGAGGTAAAGAAAAACATTTAAAGGTGTAGGGACACATAAAGCAGGAAAACACGACCTCTGGATGAAGGGTCCGCACCTGTTTGCAGACGTTCTCCCACTGGGCGTTGAGGTCGTCTAGTTCCTTCTGGATGTGGACGGCGTAGGGTGGCTCGGCCTCTTTCTTTAGGTACAGACCCACTTCATTGATGCCGTTGACGCTGGGTTGGATGGTGTGGATGTCATTCACCAAAGCCTAGCCAATCAGAATGCAAAATATTCAGAACGTTGTCATATTTCCTTGTCATTCGTCGTCCTTTAAAGTTAGGCTTGCCCAGCTTGGACCTCAGGCTTTACGCAGCTGATGACAGGAAAGGGAAACTGTTGAAATAAGACTTTGAAGTGAGGTCCAAATGATTTCCTCACCGTGCACTGCTCCAGCTGTTTCTCCAGAGCTTCAGAGTCTCCCAGTGCTGGCCATTCCTCGTTCAGGAACACGTCCACATCTGCCATCCACTTCTTAAGAGTCTTAACGTCATTCTGTTGGCGAGACAAGAACGAGTATTGAGATGAAAGATATCTCACTTTAGTAAGCTTGACTTCTAAGCAACATATAGCGATCCCCGTTGTAAATCTCACCTCAAACTGCAACAGTTTGGCCATGAGTTCCTGGAGTTTCTGGGCGTTGTCTGTCAGCGTCGTGCCGAGTCGTTTCCACCGCGCCATGATGCCGTCCATCTCGATGCGATACCTGCAGGAAATCACAGAAGCTCACAATTGGCTTGTGACATGGCATATATGTTTACCTATGCTTTATAAGTTCTACACAACTTTATTTTTTTATATTCAGACCATTTTGATTGGGCATCGACTTTGCTTTTATTAGCAGACAGATGCATAGATCAATAAGGAGACGTGCAAATAAAAAACAAATCAGACAGGGGTTAAGACAATTTTGACTTGGGTTCATTCAACTAAACATTACAGCAGCGGTCGTTTCAGACACGGATTTACTGAACTGGAATCTGCACCCAATCTATTTTGTGTAATCCTTTCCTTCAATAGATTACACAGCACTCTTTATTTTCCATGTCTTACTTTTGGCTGATGTCTGCTGGTGCTTTCTGGAACACCTCCTCCACAGTGGAGGTCAGGTAGTCCACCTCCCCCTGGTGTTCAGCCAGAGCCACCTGCAGGGCCTGGGGGGGGGAGAAACAGAGAAATAATGAGGAGGGGCAATGGAAGTTTTGATTGAAAAAGTACTTATATAAAATATATATATATTATAAAAGAGGACTAGAGACACATGTGAATATATTTTGGATCTGACCTTAAGTGAATTCTAAGATTAAAGCCAGAAGTCAGATTTTTATGTCTGAATTCTGAGAGAAAAGTCAGAATTCGGAGAAAGAAAGTAGTACCCTGACTATAAAGTCAAAATTCTGAGATTAAAGTCAGCTTTCTGACTTTTTTCACAGAACTACAAAAAATCACTGAGGTCAAATCTAAACAGATAATTCACATGCGGCCCTAAGCCTCCTCTGTAGTCCAGAATAAATAAAAAGATAAATAAAACACACATGTATCAACAAACGCAGAGGGGACCCATATCCATAAACGAGTTATCCAATTACCATCTACCACGTGTTCTAGCGTAACTGGCGTAAATGCCATGGAGAAAAAGAGTCGATTCAAAAGCTTGTCCGTAACATTACTCAGTATTTATCGAGCGGGGGGGAAATGGGAGAGTGAGGGATGACGAGCATGAGAGGATATGAGGCTGCCACTGTTAACATTTTGTAATGAAAGCCTTTTCACACTGTTTGATTTTGCTTAGCCTGCAGTATGGGATGAATGATAAGTGGAGAGGTGAGGGAATTCCCGGTGAACTATAGCTGGCGTGCAATGGAAGATTTCTGGGAAGAAAGCCTCGTTCACACAGAGGTGGCTCAGAGGCTTAGTTTAGCTCAGTTCTAGCTCAGCTCCTGGACGGGACATCCGTCAGTTACTATGGCTTACCCACAATCCTTCCGCTGCAACACTGAATCCAAAGCAAGGAAGCATTAGAGACTCAAAGTTTCTGCTCAAAGGGCTTTTTCTTTTCTTTCCTTCTCGCTTTCAATTTGTACCAAGCTCCATTTGAGGGCACATGGATAAGCCTGTTTCTTTACTTCAATGTTCACTGTCACTAACGGTACAACGGAAAGGTGAGAGGGTGATACATCACAATGTCAACGTCGATGGACAGCCTTACTCCAATAGGGTATGGTTGTGTAATATGATGACGTTAGACAATAGAGAGTTTACTTTACCTAAGTCACAAAAAGGCCTTGTTTAATGCAATTCTGTCATGTTACTTGATGTTATAAAGATGAGCCAACTGTTATCAACCCAAGCATCTGTTTCACTATCAGACAAAACTGATTATAGTCTCTAAGAAATGGGATTAAAACAATGGTCTCCTATTTCCAAGTCACTGTCTTTGTGGACCCAAAACACAGCACATGTCCTCCCTAAGGGGATTAGCTTGTGGTGCTATGACAAAGTCACACTACCAGCCTGACAACAGTCATAATTCTCTCTATCACAGGAGGTTTTTGCCAGGTAGACATGAGTTGTTTCTGGCATTTTAACAAATGACCACTGCTGCTGTTTGTCTCAAGAGGACGCTCTCTTTCTACAGTGCTGCCCAGAGGTTGCGATAGACTTTTTCACAGCCCATTTTGACGGACAGGAATGCAACATTTCCGTCAAAATCCACTATTACCCGTCGGCCTGTACACAACTCTGAGAGCACGCTTGTGAACTGTCAACGGGGGGGGGGGGGGGGGGGGGGGGGGGGGGGAGTGGACACTCGCTCATGAACTGTTAGCGCCGTGTTATGCATGCCCACACAGCACCTCGCGGGTACGCGCACAGCGTAAAGCAAATACTTTCGTTGATCTGTTCGGCAAAGTTAGGTTTGGAAACGATATCATTTCCTTTTGGCATGCATAACACGGCATAATACCGGAGCCCTGCTGCGGGGAAACTTTGGCGCTGTTCGGAGTTTGTTCTAATCTGTCATCGTTAAAAAAAATCCATCATAGACCTCTGGTGCTGCTACCCTTTAATATCTGTAGTTCACTGGGGAAAATCAATGAGCTGTGATGCTTTATGGTCTGAATGAATCAGTCAAACTGGGAAATGTGACTTTAACTCCTTATGTTCATATAAATATATTTATTTTATCTTTTGATTACACATCCTTACTTTAACTTTGTATGTCTATGTAAAGATTTAAACTCAATATCTCATTTTCAAATCAAATGTGTGTAAGTGTTCTGAAGTAAACTAGAGTCCTACATCAATATATCTATACAGTCTACCCCTACTTACTGATCCATACATCGCTACAGCAAAATCATTCATCAGATGTATTTGACGCCTGATTATAGGTAGTGATTTAATGCTGCTTTAAGGTCTTTAATAATATCTACCAGTAGCTGTGGAGGATATTAATAATCATCTGTCACTCACTTCAACCATTATCTGCTATAGTTTTGTATTTTGAAACACGAGGTCAGGATTCTAGCAAAGTTCCCACCTGACAAAAACTCTCATTATTTTAATGAAATAGAGCGAGGGGAGATACCGTCACCTGGGTAAAAAAAGAACTGTTTCTAACTACACACGCAGAAGTGTCTCAGAGCAGAGGGGAAAGAGTTGTAGTGAAAATTAATGACAGCTCATCAGTATGCAGAATGAATTTCTAATTATTATCTACAATCAACTTTAATTAATCTCCGGCTACAAGGCTTCATCTCCCTGCTATGACACAAGACCATTATCAAGTTTAAAGAGGACACACACACACACACACACACACACACACACACACACACACACACACACACACACACACACACACACACACACACACACACACACACACACACACACACACACACACACACACACACACACACACACACACACACACACACACACACACACACACACACACACACACACACACACACACACACACACACACACACACACACACACACACACACACACACACACACACACACACACACACAAGAAACCAACCCTTCTAAAACAACTAAGAAGTGTGTGTTTGAAGGGGAATACCGATAAACACTGACAAAATGAGGAATATGTGTGTGTGTGTGAGTACGCACCTTTGTATTGTAAGCATTCTGACTCACTGGTGTTTGTGTGTAGACAGATATTGTGCTAAACAGAGACACTGATTTGCTCTCCTGGGATTTTCTCACCCGCCTCTCATAATTGCAGAGTTGTAGACAAACACACACACACACACACACACACACACACACACACACACACACACAGCAGACCTGCTCTCTGCATGTTAAGCAGATGGAAGTCTGGCTCCACAAAATCACACATTTGCACTGAAATTGAAATTCTCTCTGCTTGTTTTGGGGGTTTCAGAATATAGATTTTAGCTTGCTGCTGCTTTGTAAATACAGACTACAGCGTACAGAAATGAAACTGCAGCAGGGTTTACATTTAAGAAGTGACTTATATATATAGTTTGTATATTAATGGCTTTAAGGAGGATTGTATTAGCTTCTTGGTACTTATATAAGATGTTTTCATTCTTAAAAGTGGATTTTGGGAACGGAAATCATTTAGAGAAAATATGTTAACTATGGGATATCACTTAGATAAACAGGTCCACATACCGCCTTTCTCTGAGCACCAGTGTCTTATGTCAACATGTTTAACGTAGCACAAACAGATGATAGATGCAAGCAGGCGAAGCTGGTCTCTCATACAACAGCGCCGTTTCGTTGTACAAATATCGTTGTCAAAGGAACAACTAGAGGCTCTATATTCATGAAACTCGCTGGAAAGTTGAAGGATGGGCCAAAGTAGACACACATTATTTTCCACTTATGGAAACAGCCATAGTTTGAGATTTGTGCATTCGAGTGGCCTTCCAGAAACCACAATTTAGGAGAAATATGTATAATCTGTAATGTGCTTCCTAAAAAACTCCTTTGCTATTTACACTTAGTCTTTTTTAAAGGACACTTTGGCAAAGGGCTTAATGTTTACAGCAGTGATTTAGGGATGCCCCTGTGTATCAGATTCAGGTTGTGGCTATGAATCAGCGTCTTGGTTAATGGTGCATTTCATCTGCTTTCTCTCCCTCCTTTATCCTCTGCCTGTTTCCTCAAAGAGACGCAGAAAAGCATCCTTTAAAAGAGTGCTGCTTTCGCAGTTTGGCATCGCCAGCGGCCGTATAACTTTACAGCTCGTAGTAAAAAACTGATTACACTGTTACACAGGCCCACAGGACGATAGAGCCAGCACCATTTTGGTGTTTGATGGGAATTTGTGTATAGATCTTAGGAGCAGTGTTGTCAAGGGCTTCCACTGTTGACTCCTAGTGGATGATGGGATTATAGAATAGCCACATAACAGCATAATTACCTGTGATTCATACCAGATAGTGGGCTGCCATTATACCAACCTTAACTCCACTATTTAACAAGTTAACTGATCATCTAAAATATCTTAACAGGTTGAGCTTTTCTGAGTTTGAGCAGTTGAAGAAATAAAAAAATAGGTTGAGCTGTGAGTTAGAGAATAACACATGATGGCTTTTCAAATGTAAGGTCATGTGCAATTGGTAGTTTAAATGTGTGTAATATCTGAAAGCAGTTGAAGCATGAGTTGAGGAGTAAGAGTATAAATGTCAGTCGATGTGAAAACACTGAAAGCAGTTTTATCTCATTGAAGGATTATGGGTGAAAGCAGTTAAACTGTGAGATGGACAGGGACACTCTAATTTAAAGTATAACTTGAAATATATGAAAGTTTGAAAGTATGAGATGAATGCAGTTGACATGAAAATTGAGATAAAGGGTGAAAAACGATGAACTTCATTCATAGAGTGCAAGATTAGAAAATAAATGCAGTTGAAAGGTCAGTTGTATCAAAGCCCAGAAACACCAAACTGACAAAGTAGTGGAGGATTGGAGACGTAAGCCAATTCACGTCGCCTACATCTTGCCAAATAAATTAATACTACAGCTAACAACCAGCTAGCACAAACAATTCCCTTAAGCTGAACAGCCAATCAGGGCGATTTATCTCAGCAACAGTGCGAGAACACGGGAAAATATTGAAAAAAAACAGGAAAAAACTAGGGCGACAATCATCACCCATAGCCTGGAAAAAGGACCGACCTTTGGTTTGTGTATCAGGGACTTTTGGGGTAAAATAAGTCTCAGTCTAGGCTCTCTATACTAAGCACTGTTCTGTTACAGAAGTTACACATTGAAAAGTAAAATCTGAACGAAGTTGGTAAGTATTGACATGTTAAAGTGTACGATCAAAAAGAAGTTGGTCAGTAAAACCGTGGTGAGTAAGGCTAAGCGCTTCATGCTGGTTTGAGTTGTTTGTTTTCAGCAAGCAAAAGCTGAATAAATGCAAACACTTTCTCAGTTTTATGCATCTAGCTCCTTAATGGAGAATAGATTGGAGCTCGATATGCTTTCCCTTTCAGCTGCAACACAACCACTACAGCTCAATGGAGATAAATGAGTAACTATGTACATAATAATACAGTTAACAGCCCATAGTAATGTTTGTTTTTACAACTTCTTCATGCTGAATTTAAAGCAGTGCATAAGCTCAGCTGTTATTATTCTAAGTCCAGATGTTAACACATGATCTGCAGACAGAGTGTGAGTGTGTGTGTTCACCTGAACGTCCGTAAGTCTCTGTTCCATCACAGGATACTCTGTAACCGCCGTGGATGGGATGGACAGCTTGACCTCGCACTGTTGTAGCCATGCCAACAGTGTGGCTATAGTTTCCTTGTAACGAGCCGGGGGCAAGCTCTCCAAAACTAGAGGCACACAGAGAGATATGTCAGAGAGGCTGTAGGCGTTGTTGGAGCGCTGCAAAAGGCAAAGGCTTAATGTATGACATTTCTTTCTGGTCAACTTTTCTATTCCTTCTTAAAAAGCTTCCATGATTTGATCTCAAATGTGCTGACTTGACTCTATAGGAGAAAGTAGTTTTTGTGGCATTCTTTCAGGTCAATTATTTTCTATTTGCTTCTGAACTGAATTTAAATCTATATCATTCATCTTGCTATATCTATCCATGTGTGAGTAGTTAAATATGTGTATTGGATATGTATAAAAGTGCAGAGTGTGGAAGAAGCTGTCTGACTGAGTAAAAAAGCAGACTGTCAGCATCTTTCTCTATTCTTCCTCCTCCTTCTCTCAGTGACTATACTTTTAGTTTTCTCCTTCTTTTCAATCATTGTACTCCCCATGATTATAAATAGCTGTGCGCTCTTGTTTTGTCTGTCTCATTTGGTTATTCTGTTCCTGATGGGCGATGCTTTCAGCTCATTTTTCTATCTCATTAAGTCTTATTGTCAATGGGGAGCATCTTAACACAGTGAGAGTAGCACTACAAATAGGAATCAATGACTCACCCTCACCCGCTTCTCAGCATGCAGACAGGTGAGAAGGTGTAACCACACTGTTCACACATGAGTCACTCCACTTGTAAATCAGCGTTAAAATTGGCTTTGTGACATTTAATTTAAGCGTGTTTACAGTCAGGATGACAGAAAACTAGAGTGTCTAAGTGACATTTTCCTTGTTTTATTTTACGGGAGAATGTAGATTGCTTTGCTGCATGATCTGGTGGGAGCTGTCAGGGTGTGGAGGTCCTCAGAGGGGGCCTTAGGTAAATTACAATCTAATTGGGGACATTTCTACCATAAAAACGCCATAAAGCAACGTCTGTAAAACCTTACACAGAACACCTCCAACTGCAAACGAGGTCAACTATAACTCATTTTAAACCCATATACGTTTTAACTCTTTCTACAAAGTAAAAAGAAGTGGATGGTGTTAGGACATACATTTTTAAATTGTCTTGTTCTTGATTCCTTTCCTATTATTACTAGAATTGACCAACCTACTCCTCAAATAGAGAGTTCATTATCAGGCAGGGATCACCAGGTGTAGTTACAAAGGTTAACTCTCTTACCCAGCTGCAGCTGTCTCTCTCTGGCCCTCAGGTCATCCAGCACCTGCCAGTAGTGCTCTTTGAAGGCACTGATGTCAGCGTCAAGGAAAGCTGAAGGGTCCTCGTCCCCTTCCTTCTCCTCCTTCAGCTCCTTCAGGTGCTTCTCCAGAAGATCCACCTGAGGCTGCAGCGAGGCCAGGCGAGCCACCTCCTCCTGTCAGGACAGAGGGGGTTGTTACCATGGAGGTTAAGAGAAAAGCTCTATGGTTATTTTCCGTACTACTACAATACAAACTGATCAGCTGTTGATAACATTTATAGAGTGGTGCTATCAGTGAACCTGGCATTAGAAGAGTGAGCGGGTCTGAGTCTTTGTACCAGCTCAGTAAACTACTGATACTACTGAGCCTTTATCAGAGCTTAGCAGGATGTTATTTCAGATCAGGGAAGTTTCTGTTAACCTTTAAGGTCCATCAGCTTCCAGAAGAAACTACTCAAAGTTGCCGGATCAGAGAGCCTATTCTCAAAGAAAACATTGGGTCCAGTACACCCAGTTTGTTTGTTGAACACTGCTCTAAAATCTATTTGCTAAGTAGAACAAAATATTTCCAGCAAGTGAGTAATAAGTCACATTTTGAGGTGCTGGTTGGATGATTTTTTTTAAACTTTGGACAGAGCCAGGTGACCCCCCCTGCTACCAGACTTAAAACAAAAGCATGCTAATATCAGTGCCTCCTCTAACCCTCTGCAATGAGGGGACTGTCTATTGTTCCGATGTTCTGAATTGTCTTGAAACACCAATATTCAGAAGAAAAAACAAATTCATATTTTTAAACGCATGAGAGGAAATGAAAGGGAACTTGGAATTTAAAAGTTCCTAAAAAGACAAACTACTATGTGATTACTCAAACAAGCAGAACAAGTGTATTTGTTGGGGTTTATTTTCAGTAGCACATTAATCAACATTTAGTGTCTTGTTTGGATAACAAAAAGTAAGAAGTATCAGTAGGGATGTAGCCGTTAGGGCAGGTTAATACTCTCTAAACTGAACTGGGTTGGCTTTGAATGCCGCTGAGTAACTTAAACTCCAGCCTAAAGCCACGCTCCACTTCATGAATAATGTGAGGAAACACAAGCATTCATAACCTTAGCAGTCTTTGTTTTCATAAGCTGACAGTTGGCGGCACAGTTTGCCATGGGGAAGGTTGTTTCAGAAGTTTGAATAAATACTTTATGCTGAAGTCTTTCCTGTTTAATACGGAGATATGAACACAGAAAGAATTTATGTGTGAGTGTGTGTTCACCATGTGTGTGTGTGTGAAGTGGAAATGTGTGGGCGCACTTCTGAGGGAAAGCTTGTTTGTGTGAATTGGTCTGACACATCTTCCAAGAAATATCGAACTCCAGCACTCCATGTCTTATTTTCTCCTTGCTTCTCCTGATCATTTCTTCCTTTTAATTCATTCTTAATCAATCTCCATTCTTATTGCTCTCTTATGTCTGTGGTATTTACGCCTCTCTATACCTTCTTTTGTGTCCTCTCGTTCACTTTAATTATGCCTCCCCTCTTCTTATATCTCCAGAACAGCTTGTCACCTCTCTTCTCCTGTTGTTTGGATGTTCTAAATGAACGTGCGTGCGTGTGTGTGTTTGTGTGTTTTCGCCAGTCAATACTCATTCACAAACACATAGGTTAAAAACAGGGCTTTTCAGAGTCTGAACCTCCCGTGAAACTGAAAAAAAGTCCCCATTAAAAGTATAATAAGAGTAGTGGATTTCTGATAACTATCCTTGGATTGCTTTGATTCTGAAGAAAACGTAAAGCCTTGTCATTCCCAGGCAAGTTATTTGCAATCTGCGACATTGGATCATTTCTATATCTTAGTGTAGGTCAAAATGAGTTTAAAAGTATATATGTAATCGATTTTTGACATCGATTATGGTTCATTAATCTATCATTTTTGTTTTGCCAGGTTAGCTTCAGCTAAGTTCTCGTAGTATTCACAGGGATAACATATCAGATGGTTTTCCTCATAATCTTGGAAGAAAGATTCCAACAACTTTGATTTCTGTTTCTTCTTGCACTATTTTCATTGTGTCATTTCTTAGGTATGTTTATGTTGCATTGTTGGAGGATCCTAGGAGCCTGTTGGAGGATTGTCATTGCCAATGTAGACAAACCAACCAAATAAAGATATGGTATGAAGAAAAAATGAAAAAACTAAACAAACAAAAAATGAATTTGTGTGTGATGTTTATCAGTGTTTGCCAATTACAGATTATAGGGGTCATTTTGAAGTCATTTTGGGTTGAGACCACTTTCTTCCACTCACCCTGCACCGGTCCAGCTGTACTTTGAGAGGTTCTGGTTCAGAGGCTGGGGGCGCCTGCACTTTGAGCCAGCTCTCACTGGTGTCCACCGCTTGCTCACACTGCTCGAACAGGCTGTAGAAGGCCAGCACCTGCAGGACACACACACAGCAACATGTCAACTAAAAGAGAAATAAGCCTCGGGTAAACTCCCAAACAACATCTGTTTTGCAGTAGAGCTGCATCATAAGTCAAAGTGACCAAACTCTTTCCGCACCTGCGATAATGTGAGAGTGAGTCACATCGCATTTAAATTCATGCTGTGTAGCCTGCCTGGGTAGCAATTGTGTTGTCTAAATGATATGCATAGTACATCTTTGCTATTCATTGCCTATGGACACCTTCAGAGGAAATACTGTGGGCACCATATGCTTCAAATACAGAAAGAAAAATATGGCTATATAGTTGGTGCATCCTGTCCACAATTCGAGAAAAATTGGACAAATAACTGTTCACAGTATAATTTTGTATTAATTAAAGCAGAAGAAATTAAGAAACCAGTGTTTTGAAGATAATATGAATTGCAAATGGCATTTTAAAACTATTTCTCAACTATTTTTCACATAAATATGAACACATATGATGATGTAAGCGAGATCAAAATAATATAGCTTTAAACAAATCCCTAATTGGATTATCATTGTAATACCTGCATGCTTTAAAGAATTTGAGTGCAGAATCTCCTCACTTTCTGAAGTTGATAAGTGCGTGATGACATATGAGTGGACGTGTGTGTGTGTGTGTGTGTGTGTGTGTGTGTGTGTGTGTGTGTGTGTGTGTGTGTGTGTGTGTGTGTGTGTGTGTGTGTGTGTGTGTTGTGTGTGTGTGTATGTATGTATGTATGTATGTATGTATGTATGTATGTATGTGTGTGTGTGTGTACCTTTGTCTGGTAAGCCAGCCATGCCAGCTTGTCTGCCAACAGGGCACAGAACCCCACCCAGCGCTGGTTCAGCTGCTCCGCTGCCTGGGCAATGTCATCAGCACGCATTCCCTCTGGAGGGGGGGGGGGGGGGGGCGGGGACAAAGAAAAAGGGGGCTTTCACACACACATACTCAGTGATACATGCTTCACAGTTCACATGGTTATGATTGGTGTCTCTGTAGGGGACAGACATGAACACACACTCTCCTGGTGAATGTCATCTGTAGGAGAGGTGAGGCGAACCATCACAAAGTCTGTTTTTATGCCCCCTGAACACCGGGACTCACACTCTCTCATGGTGCATTCACACTCACTGGCAACATTTGTGTGATGTAAATGGCCAATTTAAGTGTAAAAGTCCAATGTCCGGCAAAGTGAAAACCTCCAAGAGGTTGCAGGAGGGGGGAAATCAATGCTAAAGTTGTACAAAGATGGATTCACACTCCGGCCTCTCAAAGGGCAGACTGAGGCCCATCAGCTGGATGATAATTGGACCAAGGCAGCATCCTGGCTCGCAGGTCTCCAGATTGCTCCTTCCAGTAATCCTACCTATATTAGCGCTGCCATTTACATGTACAACGTTTGTGGATGCTGGCCATAGACACAGACACAGACACACACACACGCACACACACACACACACACACACACACACACACACACACACACACACACACACACACACACACACACACACACACACACACACACACACACACACACACACACACACACACACACACACACACACACACACACACACACACACACACACACACACACACACACACCACACACACACACACACACACACACACACACACACACACACACACACACACACACACACACACACACACACACACACACACACACACACACACACACACACACACACACACACACACACACACACACACACACACACACACCAGTAAGTTGAGCGCTGTCCAGTGTTTACAGCAGTGAAAGTGAAAAGTATAAATGGAGTGTTTCTGCTTTCAGAAGCCCCAACAATAACACAAGGACAGAGGAGAGGACACGAGGAGAAGCATCCCTCTCTTTCTGTCTCTTCCTCTCTCTATCAGCGTTTCTATGGAGACAAGGGGAGAGGGTGGGACAGGTGGAGGCGTTGCCATGGGGACAGACAGGGCGTGTGTGTGTGTGTGTGTGTGTGCATGCATGGGAATGAGTGTGTGTGAGTGGGAGAGTTACCCTGCTCGACCAGGGTCTGCGCCGTGCGCGTGGCTTCCTGAAGCTTCCGGAACTTCTCCGGCCGCTCTCGCTCTATCGCCTGTGGCAAAGAGAGATAGGAAGTTAAAGGACAGGAGACAGACACGGAGAGGCAGCGAGAGAAAAAGTACCAGGTACCAGGACAATTATTATTTAATGCACAGAAGAATAAAATCAATGTCCAATTCAACAGGCTATTTCTTCCAAAGAGTGAGAGCTCCTGCAGCATCGACCTCTGACCTCATTCTGCTCTGACATTTAGGACAACCTCAGCATTTCATGGGTCAACAACGGATATGTGTAGGTTTTTGCTGCATTTTAGTGGCAAAATAACAATATTGCAAAAAAAAACTTAAAGGGATAGATAACAAAATGATTTTATGTTGAGATTTAGATGAGAAGAACAATAATACTCTATTGCCTGTGTGCTAAATATGAAGCTAGTGGCGTGTATTCACCAGCACTTTGTCGTACAGCTCCTGGATGCTGCCGTCTTTGCGTGACACGGAGCACTCGGGGCTCTGCAGGATGGCCTCTCCTCGGGTCATGTAGCTGTGCAACTCTGTGAAGTCCACGTCAAACCTGAGGACACATGGACGCATGGACTTGGCATTATTACTTCCAGTGATGTTATTGTTTAGCCCAATATGGTTAAGTCGTTTTTTATCTTGGTCATTTAGTAAATATGTCTTTAACACGTATTTACATCAAGAAGAACAAATATTGAATGAATGAGCAAGTAGTTTTAGTTTGTGCCCTTTACATTCCAAACAAGTTAATGAAACCAACAAAACATAACAAAATTAAATAAAGCCCCAACCATCTACCAGATTAATAGTTGACATAATTTAGAAGTGAAAACTACAAATACAAATAAAAATATATATATATATATACAGGTGCATCTCAATAGATTAGAATATCGTGGAAAAGTGAATTTATTTAATTAATTAAATTAAAAAAGTGAAACTCATATATTATATGGATTCATTACACACAAAGAGAAATATTTCAAGGCTGTATTTGTTTTAATCTTGATGATTACGGCTTACAGCTAATGAAAACCCCAAAATCAGTATCTCAGAAAATTAGAATATTGTGAAAAAGATCAATATTGTAGACTCCCGGTGTCACACTCTTATCGGCTAATGAACTCAAACCACCTGCGAAGGTTTCCTGAGCCTTTAAATGGTCTCTCAGTCTGGTTCAGTAGGCTCCACAATCATGGGGAAGACTGCTGACTTGACAGTTGTCCAGAAGACAGTCATTGACACCCTCCACAAGGAGGGTAAGCCTCAAATGGTCATTGCTACAGAAGCTGGCTGTTCACAGAGTGCTGTATCCAAGCATATTCATAGAAAGTTGAGTGGAAGGAAAAAGTGTGGTAGGAAAAGGTGCACAAGCAACAGGGATAACCGCAGCCTTGAGAGGATTGTCAAGCAAAGGCCATTACAAAATGTGGGGCAGCTTCACAAGGAGTGGACTGAGGCTGGAGTCAGTGCATCAAGAGCCACCGCGCACAGATGTATCCAGGACAGGGGCTACAAACTGAGCCTTCCTCGTGTCAAGCCACTCCTGAACCAGAGACAACGTCAGAAGCGTCTTACCTGGGCTAAGGAGAAAAATACATGGTCTATTGCTCAGTGGTCCAAAGTCCTCTTTTCAGATGAAAGTATATTTTGCATTTCATTTGGAAATCAAGGCCCCAGAGTCTGGAGGAAGAGTGGAGAGGCACACAATCCAAGTTGCTTGAAGTCCAGTGTGAAGTTTCCATAGTCAGTGATGATTTGGGGAGCCATGTCACCTGCTGGTGTTGGTCCACTGTGTTCTCTTAAGTCCAAAGTCAACGCAGCCGTCTACCAGGACATTTTAGAGCACTTCATGCTTCCTTCTTCTGACAAGCTTTATGGAGATGCTGATTTCATTTTCCACCTGCCCACACTGCCAAAAGTACTAAGACCTGGTTTAGTGACCATGGAATTACTGTGCTTGATTGGCCAGCAAACTGGCCTGACCTGAACCCTATAGAGAATCTATGGGGTATTGTCAAGAGGAAGATGAGAGACACGAGACCCAACAATGCAGATGAGCTGAAGGCCGCTATCAAAGCACCCTGGGCTTCCATCACACCTCAGCAGAGCCACAGGCTGATCGCCTCCATGCCACGCCGCATTCATGCAGTCATTCATGCAAAAGGAGGCCCAACCAAGTACTGAATGCATACACATGAACATACTTTTCAGAAGGCCGACATTTCTGTATTAAAAATCCTTTTTTTTTTTTTATTGGTCTTATGTAATATTCTAATTTTCTGAGATACTGATTTTGGGGTTTTCATTAGCTGTAAGCCGTAATCATAAAGATTAAAACAAATAAAGCCTTGAAATATTTCTCTTTGTGTGTAATGAATCCATATAATACATGAGTTTCACTTTTTGAATTGAATTAATGAAATTAATTAACTTTTCCACGATATTCTAATTTATTGAGATGCACCTGTATATGTAATTATACACTCAACACTTTTGGTATAATAATCATAATTATTATATGAACAATATTGAAAACAATAATAGACACATTTAAACAAACATGATACAAACAGAGCAACAGTATGATATTGTTTAATTGAAAAGGGAATTGTATTCTAATGTGGGTACTTGACATTTCCTAGAAAACATCATTTTAAAGTCATCTATGTAATCACTTTAAAATAGCATAACAGCAGTGGTGGAGAAGTATTCACCTCCTTCAATTCAGAGAGTACAGTGGGTACTTAATTGTAACCCTGATGACATCACTATGACATCATCAGGTTTATTAATGTTGTTCAGAAGACGTTGCTGTATTAAAGCACAGTACTTAAGTTAATGTACTCTCCACCACTGCATTCCTCCTCTAAGGTCTCTCTACTGTCTACATGTGGTAAGAGGATTTTCATCTCCTACTTTACTGCTATCAAAGGTTTATTTCAATTGTATCACTATCACATATCATCATTATCAGTTTGTGCAGTATTTCATCACCTACCTGCTGAGATAAGACAGCAGAAAGGGGAGCATGAAACTGAACATTTACCACAAGTTAGGAAAGAAGCTTTATATGGTGTGGTACTGATAATAATAATAATAATTCAAAGATGACCTCCTCACCTTTTCCTAAGTTCAGAATCCACCACAACTTGTCTCTTCTTCTGTGGTGGCGGTGAATCACGGGTCTGGCGCACAGCTGACATCTTCTCCCTTGTTGTCACCTTGGTAACGGTCGTGGCGACAGAGTGGGTCAGCTCCGACTGCTGGACCACGCTGACAACAGTTGACAGCTGCGCACAAAATAATTAAAAAAATAAACTTTTAGACACAGCGACAGGTACAATATCCAGGGTTCATACACTTTTCCACCCATTAGGCGAATTTCACCGAAAGAGATAAAGTATAGTATTACTATTTCGGCGATTAGATAAAATATAAATTATATTTGATGTAACTTTAATTACATTTCCATGACTTTTCCAAAACTTTGGGAAAAATATTGTTTTCCATAACTTTTCCAGGGCCTGGAATTTGCATTTTGAATTTCCATGACTTTTCCAGGTTTTTAATGACCGTACGAACCCTGATTATCAGTTAACAAAGATCTGTCCAAACTAAACACATCCCAAAACCACATTTAACACACACACACACACACACACACACACACACACACACACACACACACACACACACACACACACACACACACACACACACACACACACACACACACACACACACACACACACACCACACACACACACACACACACACACACACACACCACACACACACACACACACACACACACACACACACACACACACACACACACACACACACACACACACACACACACACACAAAAACAGACAGACTAAATCACTACCTTATTTACTCAATCACTTACTCACAATCACACACACACACACACACAAACTCTCTCTAATGCAGTTTTCTTAAGGAGTCAAAGATCAATCAGAAATACATATGACCGTATGTCTGTGGAAACTCAACAGCTACAGTTGTGTGTGTTTGTATGTATGTGTGTGTGAGTGTGTGTATTTAGACAGCTGCAAGAGTGTTAAGTAGCGACTTGGGAGTTGTGTGACAGATTGTAACTGCACAAACAGATGAGAGAGAAATCAGACAAATTGTTTGTGTGTGTGTGTGTGTGTGTGTGTGTGTGTGTGTGTGTGTGTGTGTGTGTGTGTGTGTGTGTGTGTGTGTGTGTGTTGCATGTAAAAAAAAGGTGTGTGCTTGTGCTGATTGTGAGCCTTGTTGGCTGCATTCTTGCGACCAGTTGTGTGTGTGTGTGTGTGTAGGTTTTGTTCAAGCGGGGAAGAGTCTGATGACAGTTAAGCATCGGGTGCAACTCCTAGGATAGCCTTGTCACCATGGAAACGTACATGTGCGCAGCTGAAGTGGTTAGAGACGGCGCGTAGAGGTCAGTCTGCTAATTATCAGACTGATTATAATGGATAAGTAATTGAGAAGGAGACGAAGACGGAATAAAGGGATGGTGTAAGAGCCACTTCAGCACATATCACATGCTATAGGAGTTATCATATTATTCAAGTGTAGGCACTCCAGAGGGCCTTCAGAATAAATGCAGCATCTTTATCAGCAATTCACACACAGAAGCACTTTGTCTTTATCCTATCACTGTCAGGGAGCATGTCAGTTTTAAAGCACGGAGACTGAGAGGAGTGAAGAGTGATTATGAGGGGTGATAATTGTATAGCAGGGCTGTTTGATCCCTCATCCCTGGGTCTGCTCAGGGTAGCGAAGGCAGGTACGAAAATGATTACACACAAGTGTCAGTCCTTATTTGGGCCTACCCTCTGCAGTATGCTCCCCTGGCGTGTAATATAAACCTCTCTAGATGTTCAGTGACCCCTCTCCTCCAGTCCCTTCACTCCTCTCTTTCCCTGAGGCCAAACACCTGCAGCTAGCCGCACTCTGTTCGCTCACAGCAGTGTTTCTTTCTTTCAGCTACGAAGTCATGACATTCAGCTGTATAGGACACGTTTGCAATACTGTAATCCGAATATAAAATCTGCTCTATAGATTTTGTAATGGGAGTGTACCTGGGAGCTGCTCATCTCCAGACTCTGGATCAGGCGGTCCCAGCGCTGGGCGAAGCTGTCCAGTCGGGCCTCCAGTTTGCTGGCCACCTCTTTGTTCTTGACGCTGGACAGCAGATCCTGACTCATGGAGCACAGCTTGTCCATGGTGGGACGCTTCACCTCCAGTTCGGCCTTCACCGTCTGGTGGGACATACACAAACACAGGGTGGGGTTTAAGCTTTCCTGGTGTTTGTACAGCTATGTGAAAGTGTTAGTGGTTTTGTTACAGGGACACTCACAGCGAGGCGGCGGATGCAGGCAGTCATCTCCGCCTGGTCCTTCAGGTTGGTGGTCTTGATAGAGCGAACATGCTCCTCCTTCTGAGTCAGCCAGGAGTCAAACAAAGACTGAGAGGAGAGGAGAGGAAGAAGGAGAGGAGAGGACAAAAGATGAGATCCGTTAAAGTTATATTGATAGAGAAATGTGTATTTGATTCCTGTATAAGTAGCGCTGTTATCAAAGCAGTACATTTAAGCAAAATAAATCCAGCAACCACAAATAATGCCTCTGACCCGACAGGCAGCAAAGCAAATCCAGTTTTGTGTTTAATTAAAACTGATCAGCTAATCTTGTATAATCCAATGTTTTTATTTGAGCTCCCTCCATTATTAATAACAGAATATGAGCAAGTCGGATATCAAGACACTTTCAATTTCCTTCACAACGTATGCTGTGGCTAAAAATATAAAAAGGCAAATAAAGCAAGAGAGAAAATATGATGACGTGAAAGTAATCAAAAACAGCGGCTAATTCATAATTCTTATCAAAGGACAGGATGGAAGTTTTAATTTTGTTCTGACATGCATGTGTAAGGATCTGGATGAGTAAAATACTTGTTATTGCAGTGTGATAGCGATGTAACTGGATCAGCCACACCTCATCTGGCTTGCATTGTGATCACATCAATGATGGTTTAAACGCAATCAATACAGTATAACAACATTCTCCACCAGCAAGTTGCAAGATCAACTCACTGCCCTTTCCTGCAAGCTTAAGCAAGTCAAATAGAAGCAGCAGCAGCTATAATGAATGAAGCCTCCAAGGCCCGATGATTATTTGCATATTTGCATTTGATCACAATTCATGCAGAACTCATATAAAAATAACTGGTATTGATGTCCAATTCAAATGCAAATATGCCAAAGATAACAAATGGCATATCACAAATCCACAGTGGTTTGTCAAATTGTCTTAAAACTAACTTCATCTTCAAAAAGCTTTGTTTTGTGTTTTAATATTGAATCTGAAGTAAATTCCTAAACGTTTTGAGACTGCCAAATATGGAAGTAGACCAATCTGGATGATCTACAGTAACCTCATTATACATGCAGAAAACACTGCTGTGATATTTCCTCACACACACTCATACCTGTTCATTAGTGAAGTGTTGCCATTTCAGTAGAATCTCCTGAAGCAGGATCCAGCGTTCTTCTGTCCATCTGCAAATGGAGGCCCAGCGGTCACCTAGCACCTGCGCACACACACACACACACACACACACACACACACACACACACACACACACACACACACACACACACACACACACACACACACACACACACACACACACACACACACACACACACACACACACACACACACACACACACACACACACACACACACACACACACACCACACACACACACACACACACACACACACACACACACACACACACACACACACACACACACACACACACACACACACACACACACACACACGATCATCAATGGAATGTTACATTAGTACACAAAATCATTTGGAAATATTTCCCTCGAGGGACTGAAACATTCCCATCGTGTTGCCTCGGAGGCTGATGGATCCACATCTTCACTTGCCAGTTCCATTTTTTAAGCTGCCAAACATACAGCTCCATTCTCTTCTCCCTCGCAGCTGATCATGATTGTTGAAGGGCATGAAATACTGACGACGAAGACAAAATATATTTGTTTTCTTATTATATACAAGTGTATGGCGTCCAGTGGCAGAACAAAGAAAGTATTGATGATCTGGAATAGTGCGGCAGGATTTGGATACATAACGATTTGTGATTATTTTTGAGTGATATTGCAATTGCGATATGATTCATGATATTAGAGGGAATTATCATTTTTGAAAACATGATTCACATTAGATCACTTTCATTGTATTTGAACCTGCGCTGCTGCACTAAAATGGAATGGTTTAATCAAACAGGACTGAATATTTAATGCTCTTATTCATCCATTCAAACACACACAGAGCAATGGCTGAGGAGATGCTATGCGAAATGTGAGGATTAGTATCTTGAAAGAGACAGGGATTGAACCCTCCAACCCACTGACACACACACCAACACACACAGAGGCGGTGAGATGTACAACTTTATTTTTCCTGACTCCATTGTATCAGCATATTGGCAGCTGGCTGTTAGCTGAGTAAAATGGGAGAGACACTCTTCCGTTCCATTTAACTCACAGACGAAAGCCACAGTGTGACCACTGAACAGAGTCATCAGAGTGACAGAGAGGAGGCGAGGCGGAGAGAGAGGGGAGGAAATAAAAAGACAATGAGATGCAGAAAAGTGTAAGACAAGCGCGGGGTGCAGACAGAGAGAGGCTCAGCAGGTTAATCTTAAGATGAATGGCCTGTAATTAATCAAGTGACAGTTCAACAGCGGGGAGAAAGCAGGGAAGGCACCTTCCATTTGCATTTTTACATTCCGACACACGCCGTTCCCCCTCAGCTATTTCAAGCTCTTATCTTGTGCTTAGGAATAAAACGCACTGCAGGAAACAGACACTTTAGAAAGTCCAACAGAGTTGCATTAGGTTTCTCATAAAAATAATGTTAAGTTTGATTATACTTTGCAAACAGCACAACTAGCAAACTGTGTGCTGCATTATGATACTTTTGGGGATTTGTTGCTCGACTAGTGACTTCTTTCTCTAACCACCTTCCTCAAAGATAACACATTGAACTTCCCAAAATTAACCCACCATGACGTCTCCTTTTTCTCCCTGCATTCACTTCCTATTTTCCAGTGTTGCAGCCCTACATCACAGTTCAAAACGTCCTTTATTTGTTATACAGGATGCCATTTGACATCGCTGTCAAAGAGCCCTAAGACAAAGGAGGCTAATGACTCTCCATCCATCTGTGCTTACGTAACGTCCCATAACTACATTATTAAAAAGCACCCGAGCCTCATTTCTTAAAAATAACTACATGTAAACCATCAGGCCTTAAAGCAGCTTACACAACCAGCTCTACTTCAAACTTACAAAACTAAGCCAAGAGCATAAAGGACCTTTTCTGTCACACACAAGGTCAGAGGTCGCAGCACTGCAGCATTTCATGAAGAGCTTCAGATGTTGCTCTACTGCCAATCAGCACCTACATCCTTTGGCCTAGACAGTAACAATGTCAGGGTGCTTCATCGCAAAGTGCTTAGAAAGCAGTGGAAATCAGCGGCTGCAGTTTTAATAGATGTTAAGCTTTATTTTTGCAGGGAACAGGAGTTAACGAGGGGAACGAAGGCCCATGCATCAGGCGCTAAGAGAAATTAGCCACACAAACAGGCAGCAGAGTCTGGCTCCTGGCTGGAGTCTGACTGATGATAACTTATGGAGTAAACAAAATCAGCAGAAAGCTGCAACGCGCTCACATAAAGCACATCTCGCCGGCAAGGTCTAATTACTGCGCTACAGCAAAGACAAAACTATCTCCTGTTCAATCTATTTCCCCCCAGAAACAACAACCGGCAAGTGCTGAGCCTGCTTCAATCCGGAGAGAGAAATATAAGGTATTTGTTTTACCACAAAGTTTCCTCTACGCTGTGTGTGATCAGCAAAGTGTGTGCGATGTGAACACAGATGTTACTGTAGGAGACAATGTGAGTGTGTGTGTGTGTGTGGTTACCTGGAGTTTGCTCTCCAAAGCCGCCGTGGCGCTGTCTCCGCTGGTCTCGTCCACCACCACCACCATGTGGGTCAGAGAGTTCACCCTCACCTGCTCCAGCTCCAGGTCCTCCTGCAGCAGCTGCAACAGGAACACACACCATGTGAAAGAGGGTTAATGGCAGGAGATCTAAACAATTTGGATTTCCTGTAAGATCAAGGGAGCAAGGATTCAATTGGATTACCCGAACACAGTCACAGAACAGTTGTAGTTCACTTTGGATATAAGGTTCTCTTTTTGGGGCAGATTTTTAAACTGCTATTTGTTATAATTTTAAAATTTTCTGTTCATTTGGGACATCTGAGAGGTTGAAGTCAAACTTTAAAGTTTTATATTGTTGTCTAGTGCACAGAATGTTACAATCTACACCTTAACTTCAGCCTTTTAAAATACGTTCACATTAACTGCATTCTAACTCCTTTCACTAATTTAAATTAGATGTTCAACTGAGCCCTCAAGACAAATGTCAATGCTTCAACCTAACCTATAATTTCTTCTCTCTGCACTTATTTAAATTGATGGTTTTACTTCCCAAAAGTTCACAATTAAATCGACACTTCCATCAAATCCAAAAAAAACTTTAACTGCCAATTTAATTTATTTCAAATGAAATTGCCACTTTAACGTCTTTACATATTCTAATTGCATTTTCAGCATCACACACACAACATTTCTTTATAAAAGTATTATTTGTTGTGTTTTTTATTCAAAAAGTAGATTTCTTATTATAATTGATTGATTGTTTAGTCAGGAACACTTCTGAAACTGTTGTGTTGTGTTCAGGAAGCTTCACATACTGTAAACATTCAAGGCTTTCAGTGAGATTCACATTTCTATATTTTCCATTATTCAATCTGTACACATATTGATACCAAAACCTTGCAACAAAATAGAGCAAATCCCAACAACAAATATTAAAGTTGCATTTTTCATATTGTGTAAAGCCTCCACTGCTGGTAACAGGATTCAATTTCCAAATCTTCTCTGAGAGCTCCCATTTTCTCCAGATGATTCTGCACTCCCAGTCGGAATGAGATTCCAGTGTGCAGCAGGGGAATTGGTTACGAAAACAACATAAAAGAAGTAGGACAACACACACACACACAAAATAAACAAAACCAGGGTCTGCTGATTTTAGTTTCTGTTGCAGACCTATGATTTCTAAGTGGATGTCGGGATGTCTGGTGTCAGTCCTCACTCTTGGGGTAAAGTTGTACAGCAGTTTTGTCTCAGAGCCCACTACCCCTATGTTTAAAAGTGGCAGAAAACAAAAGCATAACCTGAAATGCAGTCATGGCTAGTTGTTGGAGATCTTTACAACTTCAAAAGCCACTTACTATTAACTGCAATCAATGATTGTCATGGTTGATCTTGGAAATAGCGGTCGGCAGAACAACAAAAGCTCCATTTAGTAACTTTCAGTCTCAGTCGTCACGGAAACAAAGATGCTTTAGAAAGGATAAGAACTGGCTCTCTTCTTAAACATAAAACAAATCTGAAGTACGTGTGAATTCATTTCTACCAGCAGCAGTAAGATTTATTTTACATTTTGCATAATATGAGTAAAAGACCAGCAGAAGGAGGGGGGGCTGGTATACTGTACAATAAGGGGGCTTTTATGCATCGTTGTCTCATAATCTGCAGGAATATGACACATGTATGGGCTCGGTTGCTGAAGTATAGGCTTTCCTGTTGTTCTCATAAAGCACATCTTTCATTAACTCCATGACATTTTTCACTGAGGTTTAGTAAAAGTGGTTCAGAAAGACACAGGACCAGATTTGTGTTACTATTCGATGGCAGCCACCCACCTTGTGCTCTTCCACTTGGTGCTTGACGTCCTCCAGGTCAGGACCCATCGGTTGGGCCCCCATCCTTTTAATCCGCGCCTCCGTCACATCCAGCCAGTCGGTGAGCTGCTGCAGCTGCTGGTGCTGCAGGCCCATCAGCACCTCGTGGAGTCTGGGGGGTGAGAGACAGTTCAATGAGCTGTCAATCAAACGTTGATATGGTGGGCGTCAGTGCTCATCAGAAAGAGTCCAGCTCATGAGGAGTCCACAAGGTCAGATCAAGGTGTGGTGAAAGACTCTGAGGCCTCAAGCAGCTGATTTAATTGGTAGACATGATAAGAGCTACCTCTCCTGTTCTTATACTAACCCCCTGCTGTTTTGTCTAAGCGCTGTTTGGTAGTCCAGGCCATGTCTGCACGGCTTTGTGAATCAACAAGATTATCAAAGCAGATAGCTGAGCAGTTAATTAAATTTGGCTCGGTGTCAGTTATCATTGAATGCACCATAATTAGAAAGGCCTTTGTATCCAACAATGCCGGCTACTGTGGTCCTCTTCATTGTGTGAGAAGAGAAGAAACTTTATTCAAAGCAATAAATAAATCCTTTGAAACCATATGAATGTGTATCTGAGTGGGTATCATTTTTCATTAGGCTTTGCATTCTTTCACACCCCTTAACCCTTTCAATCTTTTTCAATGTCTTTGTTATGTATTCAAATATGCACTCTTTGGTACTTTCACTCGCTTATTTGACTTCACGTTAATGGATTGCTTTATATATGGTGGTTTTCTAGTCTTAGCAACCACTCAAAGCACTTTAAAACACAATTTAGAATATGAAAAGTATGTCTTTATTTTATGGTATTTGGCCATAAGCCCTAGGATTGTACAATTATAAACTGAGACACGATGACCAAAGTTCTTGCAGTACTGGGGATCCGTTCCAGCTGCAAAGGACCTGGGTTTGAATACAACCCGGCACTTGTTATGGTGTCATTCCTACAAGTGTGTGTACCTGGTCTGTCTCTCCATGCTTGCCACTCTCAGGTGTTCCCACCGGGCGTTCAGGAGGTTCATCTGCTCCCTGACTTCCGAGTCCTCGTCTTCACTCAGGTTCCTCTCCCCCAGCAGGGCGGCGCCGGCCCGGAGGACCCGCCCCACGCTGCCTTGATGGGTGGTCAGCTCCACCATGTAGCCCTGGAGACAGAGAGGACATCACACACTCACACCGGTTCTTCTCATTTTGCATAATTAGGAGCACTTCACGTCACTAATCCCACTGAATTACCCTCATTCACTTTAACTGCTTTCAAAATACATTTCACCCTCTCAACTCAGAGCTAACTCTATTTCCTCTGAGTACTTAACTCCTATATGATCCTCACACAGCAAAATGGGTTAATTTAATTTTGAAAGCATAAAAGTGGTAAGCGAGTCGGCCAAGTCCACATCTATTAGAGTTAATTCAACACTCTCAGATAGCTTTAAAACAGCTGCAGCTCTGTAGGAGGAGACACATTAAAAAAATTACAGATCAATCCAAAATCAGGAGATGTTTTACTCTTAATGGAACAACCAGTATTTGTAGACTTGTTCTTCTTTTTCTCTGTGCATCTTTTAGTTTTTAGCCAACAACAGGGGCACATTACTGCTGCTCTGTTAACACTGTCAGAAACTATGATGTAAAATATTTAACATCTCATGCAATGAACATCTGGCTGTAGTATCATTCATGTGTGTACCCTGCCGAGCACATCTTTCTCGTATCAAACTGATGCTCTGTTAGGAAAAATAATCAATTCACATCATTTATTTTTACGGGAATAAAGACATGTACATTAACCGTTGGATATCACTTAATCCTAAACACTGCTCCTTTAAGAACACTAGATACCTTATTTGTAATGAGGTGCTTTTCTGTTAAGTGCAAAGTACTCTGAATTGTTGTTACCAGTTAAACAGATGCTGTTGAAAAAGCTGTTCTGATAGTATCACTAGTTACAGCAGACTGCACGGCTCTGGCTCTCACCTCGTGCGTGTGGAACTGCTCCTTCACCTCCTCCACATTGTCTGAGATGGGAGGCTGGCCCTGGAGCCCGTCTTCAGCCGACAGCAGCCAGGTCAACACCTTCAGATTCAAAATAACATAACACACTCGAAGTATAAGTCTGGAGATATTCTGTTTGTCTACTAAACTAAGTGGTTGCTATTGATGATGGAAACATTTGAATAAATACAAAAAGAGCTCAGTAACAGCTGGTAACTGTAGTTCTTCTTAAACAGGAGGAAATAGGTCATTCTTTGGGGACCATTTTCAGCGGCAAGATGGCGAATGTGAGATTGACTTAAAATAAAACTAAAGTGTTTATCACGGTTATAAAGTTATACATCAGCCAGAGCAAAAGTGTGGCATGTTGATGTATTTGTAACGCTTTATGGACCAAAATAACTGAGCTCTGAGCCGATATATGAGGCTTTGATACACACAGTACTTTGGATCTGTTGACTATTAGTTTAGTTTAGTTTATTTTATTTTTTTCGAGCGTGTAAAACCAAAGAAAATACAAATGAAACAAAAGGTGATACAGACATGATACAATACTATACAAATGAATGCAATAACAAAACGAAACATTTAATTAATAATTGAATAATCTGTAGTATCATTGTCTGATATCAATAAACAATAAACAACAAAGCTTTAGCTAATTACACGTCCGAAAAGGGGTCGGAAGAAGTTTACACTTATTTAATCCGACCCCTTCTCCCTTTTTTTTTTACATCTTAATATATCTTAACATACAATATAGACGTATACTTATAATCTTGAATAATTTATATAATCATTCATATAATATATACAGGCAAGTTAGGACAATGGTCTCTATATATTTATATATATACATATGTACATACACAAATTCATACAAACACAAATCAGAAATATAAAAGCATAAAACAGAAGAATACATGAAATATAAGATATGAAACATTTCTTGATGACCACCATACCTCCTCCAGTGCGGCCTGGTAGCTCTCCAGGCTGGTGGAGCCTGGAGGCAGAGGACTGAGGCCCCGCTGCAGCTCCTCCTGACCCGGACTCAGGAACTAGAGAGGGGAGGGGAGGATGGGAAGTGACGGACAGAGATGATTGTGGAGAGGGAAATAAGTGTTGGGTTTGGGGGTAAGATGGGAAAAAAGGGTTGAGAAGTAGAGGGAATGTTAGGAAAAAGGGTTCAGGGGAAAAACACGCAGTACAGAGAAGATAGAGAGAGACGAGGAGAGGCCTGTTAGTGTAAGCCATTACCGTCGCTGACAAGCAGTTCTGGCCTCGCTCCAACCTCAACAACTTGTCCTCTTTCTATCTCGCTTCCCCCTATCTGTCTTTGTGTGCTGATCTGGACACTAACAACTTTTTATCTGGGCTCCATGCTCCTCCTCTCCCTCTATTCTTCTCTCTGCTCCTGAACAGATACAGCAGGCTGATAACTGTCCAGCCTTCGTCACTTGTTTTGTATTGAGACTCAGAAAGGACTGTACAGACTGTAAAGGAATCTAATGTTAAAATAAAAGCTTGATATTCATGTCCCTGACACTCTTAAACATGGTCTTTTTTAAATATTCTATTGGCAGGTACTAAATTGTCCTCAAAAACGTGTTTGACAGAGAAAACTAGACAATCGGTTTCTCTTATCTCAAATGTAAGCAACATTGTCGAGATAAGACGGGGTTTTAATATGCCGTGTTTCTGTGTTATATTCCACTTTAAAAAAAACAGCGGGTGTGCTTCAATAAAGCTTACTGGACAAATTGAGCCCCCTGCTGTTACAGTAAATATCTGACACAGTCTCTGAACACATTCCAGCAAATAATGAGCCCCATTTTGTGATAATGCATGGGAACATTTCGAAATGTCATGTTGTGGAAATATAGAGAAAAAAAAAAAATGTGTGTTTGTTTTCAGAGGACCTTCAGTGTTATAAGGTTTCCACTCTTTCCTGGTTGTAGCCTCATAGTCAATATCGATATTATCATCTTATTATAAACAGGTAAAGTTTGCCGAATTATGATTCCTAATATTGCTAGATTGGGGAAAAAAGGGTTGTTAAAAAAACCTCTTAGTTAGAATGACTTATATAATAAACACAAACATATCACACATCAATCGCAAAACATTTCAACCATGAATTATTGCCTAAGCATCAAATAGTCCAACTTAACAAGTCCCATGGTTTCATGTACTTACTTAGATATTTGAAGTAAATTCATATTTTGACAGTATTTCATCTTTTCAAACTAAGTCAGGTATTTACACATTTAGACTAGGAATATTTGAAAGTACTTTTAAAGTGTTTTTACTTACTTTTATTTGGCAAAACCACCTTTAAAAATACAATTGCCTATATATATATATAAAACCATAGACTTGCTAAGATGGACATTTTTAGTGAATGACGCAGACAAACAGTGGCAGCCGGATCGTGCATAGACAGACAGATGGACGTGTGGCGTGGAGTGTTAGAGCTGCAGGACACGGACCTGATCAGTACAACGCCTCCTCTTTTGCTCGGGCGACTTGACATATGCAGCCTGGGTGTAGGCATAGCTTTTATAGCGAGGCTGAGAGGAGGGGCTCTGCACTCGGCCCTGAGCCACACTCACTGTGATCTGAGAGAGAGATGGAGAGACAGAGCAGGAGGGAGGGAGAGTTGGCAAGAGAGACCAGAAAAGAGAGTCGAAAGAATGCAAAACATCGAGCGAAAAGGATCCGAAAGCCAAATTAAAATGAAGAGGAAGAGATGCAGCAGGCGGGAAAAAGGGACAAGGAGCGAGTGATGATGGGAAATGAGGATGAGGACAGATGAGAAAGAGAAGGAAACAGGAGAAAAAAGAAACATGAATACACATAAGCTCCGTTTCCATCCAAATGTCAAGCTAATTTTACGTGAACTTTTGAATGTAAAAATTAACGTGTTTTTCCATCAGCAGAGTTAGGGCTGCTCAATTAATCGTATTTTAATCGCAATTACGATCTTGGCTTGCAACGATTACGAAAACAACGTAATCGAAATAAAACGATTATTATTATTTTTATTTTTATTTTTTAATTGGTTTTTCAGTTGAATTATACTCAAAGTTCAGGGTAATCAACTGTTAAAAACATACTTTTCACTTTTTTTTCTTTCAATAAATTGATGTTTTCAAAGTAAATGGATAATCGTTTTTAATAATTGTGATATAAATTATTGACCCAAATAATCGAGATTATGATTTTTGCCATAATCGAGCAGCCCTAAGCAGAGTGTCAAGAAACACATTTACAAGAAAAATGGGAAGTCTCCAAAACTGATATTGGGTAGTAGTTATTACTCGCAGACGTTATGGATGTTGCGGTTTTTAAAGTTCTCTGGAGATGAAATACTGCACAGACTGTGTCTAGGGCTGATGTTAGCAAACTTCAGACATATTTAGCATTTTATATTATCTTGGAATTGCTAATTCCTGTTACAAAGCAGTTATCCTATTCTGCAAACGCTACATTGGATTATTGTTAATGATGCATTAATGGGAAAGTAGCATTTTGTATTGAATACATAACATTTTGAGGCTTTGAGAAGATTTGTAGAAAAATAAAATGCAGAAAATCAAGTTAACACTTTCTGGTGCTTATGATATTGTTTTAATATATATTCAAAGGCACCTAATCTTATTAAGTACGTAGTTTTCTAACTAGAATCCTCAAAAGTGTCTTGGATGGAAACCCGGGTACCGTTTATGCTGACATGAGAGAGGGCAGAAGTAGACAGAGAGAGAACAGATGTGTTAATGCAGATGTGCACAATGACTGACAGACAGCAGCGCAGAGTCAAAGCAGATGTTGTGAGCAGCTCCTATTCAACAACCCAACCACACACACTTTCTTTCTGCCTGCTGATGTGTAGAAGTCATCAGTTTAACACTTGGTTTCCTCTCCAGGGAAAGAGATCACTGGCCTGTGTGGCTCTACACTCACTCTGCTCCATTTATCCCAAACGAGCAGCCGCTCTGAACGGCTGCAGTCAGCAATTCACCACCATCTATCAGCAACTGACTTTTAATTTCACAAGTTCTCATTAGGGGGGGTACACTGAAATAAGCTCTTATTTTGAAGGGACAAATAACTCCTAATTGATGACAGATTCTCCCTCTTGATTGACATTTCCAAGCTGCCTTTCCTTTGACAGCCGGGTGATCTGCTGCATCGCTAAAACCGAGTCAACCGTTCCACCACAGACACCATAAAAGTTTAATCTCTTGCTGTCACGGAGGTTTCTCCCCAGCTATCAATCTCTCCTTTCACCTCCATCCCCTGAATCTCCTTTTCTTCTTCTTCTCTTCTTCACCTGTCATCATCTATCTGTCTGTCTTCCTTTCTCTTTCGCCCCTCACTGTTTCCCCTTCACTCCATTTCAAGGTGGATTAGGTGTTTTTCTTTCTGTAAAGAGCAGACAGCCAGAGGCGACCCAGCCCTGGATCAAACGCTCCCTAGCAGGGTGTTTGTTTTCACCCGCTCCGAGCACCAGACAGGCGGGGTTTAACTGCGCGGGGAAAATGTCACAGAAAAGCTGACTTTATGTCGTTTCCAGCAAAAACTTTGGCAACTTTATTTCCTTACTTTCATTTCCATGAACTATCATCCCTGAGTCCCAGGTGGGGGTAGGATGGTGTTGCTGTACGGAGGTGTTGACAGCGCCGCTTTGATGATGACAGATGACGGAGGAGGCAGATAATAGCCGCTGTCAGTAACTCTTTTCTTCCTGACTCCCTGTTTTATTGCCATCCGACTTGCTCCTGCACTCCCTATTTGTCTGCTCCATCTCACTCTTCATTCCCCCCCTCCATCTTTCTGTACATCTTTATACATCTCCCTACTTCCTCTTTGCCCTCTTATCTTTTCTTCTCAACATGCGCCAGTCTGTCTGGTTCCCAGAAGGAAAAATATTTTCTCTCCACTCTGAGGAAGGGCTTGATGTGGCCATTAAACTAAGTGAGATAATGATATTAGCAGCCATTAGTCCAGGAAGCTCGCTCCATCCTGCTGCGATTCGGCGCCACATTGACCTCTTCTTAACTCGGCTCTAAAGGTCAGCGCCGGTGGATCTCATTTGTGGCTCTGTCAGGCTTTTACAGCACTTTCTTTCGGAGTCCCTGTCTCAATTTAGCTGTCAATTCTCACTCCGAAGCTCACAGATATAATGACTGTAAAAGTGAGATTTCTCTACTCCTCACTGAAAAGGTGACTACAACTCCCAGCATGCCTGGCTGCGCTAAGTTATCCAGGAAAAGAACATCTGCTTGCCTCCCTGCGCTGAGACTCGAACCTGATCATGTGATGGTGGATGGTGATTATATAGATGCGGAATTATTTATATATTCATTTATTGAATTGGGTAATTGTAACAGTAACTGCTTTGTGTGAGCAAGATTGACAGTTATTTAAAAAAAGACATATTAAGCTCATTTTCAGAGTCCTATTGGTATGTTGTGCCCCTACTGTGACATGCTTTAATGTTAAAAAAGGTCCTATTTATAATAGGGCCTATTTAATTATTTTACTGAGGGACTTTTCAGGCCAGAAAATGCAATCTTATTTCTATTAGGTCAACTATATGATATTTTATCACCACATTTAGTTTACTGATAAAGTATCACTATAAAGAGCTTATAATTTATTTAGCTTTATCAGCCTTCAGCAGCAAATAGATGAGAGCTTTTAAAAAATGCCGTAGCTTTTGGCAAATATAAAATCATATATCTTTCAAAATACGCCCACACAAAAATAAAAATGGTGTTTTCCATCAAAAACGTGGCAGAAAAGCTCAAAGGTTATTGCCTTGTGGCTTTTTTATTTTTTTGTCTGCTGATATAATCACAGTATTTACTGTACATTTTCTTAATCATGATGAAAATGTTTGTGATTATCATGCTCCTCCACGCTCTCAGTGTGTGGTACCGCTGAGAAGTGAATATGCCCTCCAACTGTTCATTATCCAATTGATCATTAAAAAGTAGAATGCAAACTAAGTATGCTTGTGAACCTGTGTGGCAGCTGATTAGCATCTTTATTTTATTTCACAGAACTTCAGGGAGAGAGGGAGTTTCAAACCTCCTTCCAATGTTTTTATTTCACTGCTTTTGTGAAACTGAAGCGCTCCACAGTAATGCTGCTTTAAAATTCATTCTCGAAAATCACCAAATCTCAGCGGGTTTCTGTTTTTAATTAATTCTGTTCTCGGTGTCAACACTATAACGATGGTTTAAGACAAATGGCATTTTTTAAAGACATTTTCATCCCTTTACTATCCCTCCAATAGTACATTCCTGCTGGGAATTTCCCAAGCCCACTTACTCATCCCGATAAAGGTTGGCAGGATGATTGTGTTGATGCTTAGAAGGAGTTCAAACTAATTTCACAACAGGGTGAGATAATCCGGTTCTGGAGCTGATAATATGCGGTGTACAAACAACCGCAGTCATTTAGTGGTTTAATATGCAATACTATAGAGTGTACTTGAGTGTTATTACCTAGTGTGGGCGCTGACACAATAACAAAGCAATGAAATGTAAATGTGAAGCTCTCAAAACAAGTGAAGCTGAGCACAGATGCAATACATGCAGAGCAAAGGCTCATGGGAAATGAATCATGGCATCATCACAGCACAAAGACAAGAGTCATTGGAGTGAAGATGCCACTGTCACTAGTTCCCATGAAGAAAGGGATGGCACGTGAGTTAGGAAACAGGATGCCATGCTTCTTTAAAGGTGTCTAGGTCCCTTCCTTCCTTTCCTTTCCTAGAGGCTAAAGATGATTCTTTACCTAATGTGATTAAAAAGTATTGCATTGCTGATGAGCCATAACAGTGTCACGTGACCATTGTCAGTGTGTCTGACCTGCTGGGAGAAGCGCTGCTGGGTCTGGATCTGGTAGTGCTCCTCCGTCGTCATCCGGGCAGCGCCGGATGCGGTCGCCCGCGGCAACGTCTCCACCTCCTTAATGGATTCCATGGAAATGATTTGGGGGAGCACCTGGAAGAGCGACGTCACGTACATGAGGACACTCTTCTTGTCCGGGTGAGGCACGGCCACATCTGAAGAGCGGGGAGAAAGAGGAATAAAGTTATTTTCAAAACTTAAGGATCAACTCTTAACTGCCTTTTTCAATGCCCCCCCGTGTTGTTTCTATGTTGACATTTGCTGTTTCTTTGAAGCCTTATGTGCTAGTAAAACATATATGTTAGGGGTTTGTACACTTGGTCAGACGAAACACAAAATGTAAAGGTGTTTTCAGAAACAAAGGGATATTTTTTTTGTATTTTCTGACATATTATTCTTGATAAAAAGTAGATTCATCAAGAAAGATAACTGGAAAAATTATTGTTGCACTTGAGGAAGTTACTTCAATGAGGTTTAAAAAGTATGCAAAGGCCACTTAAAAGACACCAACAAGAGATTTCACTCCGTGTCTGAGAGCAAAATTAAGTCGGAGAAAGTTTTCCAACAGGTTGGAGGAGAGATATAACAGAGTGATGATTTCAGGAAAAGTACTCAGGAGTCTGTGGCCTGGCAGCTCGGCCCGGGGCAGAACTAACAGAGACGGATCACAGCGCGGCCGGGACACAGCGGATAAATGAACACCATGAGGTAAAAAGAGAGGATGGGGGGAAGAGGGTGAACAAGGGAGCAGAAGGGGAAGAAAGGAAGGCAGAGCTAATGAACTCATAGTGGTAGGTTTTTCTAACAGAGCAAGTTCACGAGAATAATGAGAGCAGGAGAGGATGACGAAAAGAAACAAAGACATACTGTAGAAGAGAGAAATAGCAAAGTAGCGGCGTCTGGGCATAGATAAATATGTGCGTCAGAGGAGGGATAGATAAAGCTGGAGTCATATTTCTGCCGTTGGTATCCTGATTTATCAGCATCACAGGGAAATCTAAGGATGTTATTGTTTGTCTGAGGAAGACAAACAGCCCCGTAAATAATGCCACCATCTGCAAGTGTGTGTCTGAGTGTGTGCACATCCCTCACTTGTTTGGTCCAATCTGTTTCTCTATTCCATCATCTCCATTTTAATCATTTCGCCAAGAATCCATGCGTGTGCATACCTATGAGGCTTTGCAGATGTCTGTGTGTGTGTGTGGTGTGTGTGTGTGTGTGTGTGGTGTGGTGTGTGTGTGTGTGTGTGTGTGTGTGTGTGTGTGTGTGTGTTGTGTGTGTGTTGTGTGTGTGTGTTGTGTGTGTGTGTGTGTGTGTGTGTGTGTGTGTGTGTGTGTGTGTGTGTGTGTATGTGTGTGTGTGTGTGTGTGTATGTGTGTGTGTGTGTGTGTGCCCTGCAGTGAATACATCTGTCTTTGTAAACATGCACTGTGGAAATGTCATTAGTTTCGATTAAAAATAGTTCATCAAATGGTTCCTTAGAAAATATCTGGTTTCCACCGTGATGTTCGACCTATGACCGGGATATATATTCTGACAACAAACTATATTAAAATGTATCAGCTCAGTAGAAACATGTCTAAAGAATATTCCACAGTTTGCTGATGTGTGAAGAACATAGTCTCAAAAAGAAGTTTGAGACATTGGATGTCAGCTTTGATCGCAGGCTAAAAAAGCAAACAAAGGCTTTGGAGAAACAAAGCAAAGACAAATAAAATCATTTTGTGGAGAAGCCAGGGAGAAAAATACACATGTACATGTCAAATTGTATCTCAAATATAGAAATGCAAATGGCCAGACCTCTTCTGATCCCTCATATTGCAGCGCTCAGTGTTCCAACTCCACTGAAGGCACAGTATAGGGTATCAAATAAGGATTGTGATGTTGGCATCCCACAATTAAATGATAGATGATTGCATTATGATTGGGATATGGACGTTAGTAAATGTGTTTTGGCTTCAGTGTTGTGCACGCAACACGCTTTTGTGAATGTGGAGCTCTCCTGATAATCCCTCTTCTAAACATTTCGAATAAGAGATTTCACAGAAAGAAGAAACAGACTGAAGAAAAAGAACACAAGGTTTATGTACAGCGAAGAATCATGGTTTGACGCCTTGCATGTGTTGTTTGCAAAACATCAAAACACCAAAATCCAGAAAGCTTCTTTATAAAGAAGACATGAATATCTGAAAAGCACAACTTGAAAAGCGTCATTTTCAAGTTTAGAAAGCACGAGAAACTGTTCAAAAAGCTTAGGTTGGGGGGGGGGGGGTTAATTGTGTTTTGAGCGCTGGTTCACAGCATAAAAAAAAGACGTTTGCCCCACTTCTCAAAAACAAGTAATTGTTTTGTGTCAGATCAATGTATATTCATCTTCCGAGATGTGTCATTTCAAGGCTTAAGCGGGCTGTGAGGGATTACATAGCCTATCTCTCTGGCTCAGAGCCTGAACACAGCACTCACAGGAGTGGGGGTGCAGAGGGATACTGCTAAAATTCTTATTCCCAGTTGATTCCAAAATGCCTAAATCTACACATAGTGAGATTCAGAAAAAAATGTTATAGTCGTATTACCGTTTTTCTCGATTGCTAACACACTAAAATTATACATAAAGCACAATTATTTTAACTGACACTCAAAGAGCAAAACATCAGCTTAAATCTCCAAAACTCTAAACACGTTTTCAGCTTTTCACACAATTTGCAAATCAACATGGCACTTTTTGCAAACCATTGCATAAAGTCACGTGTTAGCTGGTTTAAAACACTGATATTCAAAATGCCTCACACATGGACCAATAATCAAGAAACACGTTCCACCTGACCAAACACCACACTTTTGAATAAAATATGATTTTTTTCAACAACTCATTTGTATTTCTTCATTTACTGTATTTCTGTATAAGCAAGCAATCTTTCTCTGCAGAAACCTCTATGTACAGAGCATAGCCCATAACAGATGAAAGTGCTTTAGGTTATGCTCAGCAGTGTGTAGTTGGGTGGTCAAACAATCTAGTATTATGAATGAAGTGTGTTATATTTGGTGCAAAAGTTTGCATTTGGTAAGTGTTTATGTAGTTTTGAGTGCAGTTCTTCATTTAGCAGGAGAAATGAGGTGTTTTGCACTTTGGGTGTGTGGTTTTGTGAATTGTGTTTAGTGTTCTGAGAAACTGAGCAATTAAAAAAAAAATGTGTGTTAGCAATCGAGAAAAACTGTAATATAATATAATCACAGTTCATATAGTTTATATTTAGAAACATGTTGCTGAAAATGAAAGACACTTTTTTCCCAAACTATCAGTAAGTTTATGAAGTCCTTCCACCAAGGTGAACAGTTATCACCACGACAACACCCAATCACAGCATGACACATCGTGTTTAACTGGGCCAATTAAGGTGCATGATTGGAAGGCGTGAAATACGATGAGCGCTGTAGCTCACCTTGAAAATTCTCCGCTGGAATTATTGGGGTGTGTGTGCAGCTGTGTGTGTGTGTGTGTGTGTGTGTGTGTGTGTGTGTGTGTGTGTGTGTGTGTGTGTGTGTGTGTGTGTGTGTGTGTGTGTGTGTGTGTGTGTGTGTGTGTGTGTGTGTGTGTGTGTGTGTGTGTGTGTGTGTGTGTGTGTGTGTGTGTGTGTGTGTGTGTGTGTGTGAGTTACCCTCAGGGTCCAGCAGTCTGTCTATCCCCATGTGTTGTTCTGCCTTATTAAAGGCGTGTTCCAGTCTGTCGATCGCAGACGTCTTCTTCTCCACTGAGGCCCAATCAAAAAGCTCGGGTCTGTGGAGGTAAAAGGGAAGTGATCATGTGCCCACTGCATCTTTATTTTAAATCCATCTAAATAAAGAGGAACATCCAACTATTTAGCGTCTTCAATTACCTGGTAGATGCTTTCTCAGTTACACTTACATTCTTTAGCATTTGTTAATTTAAAGGAGATAAAAGGCCTAATTCAAAGTAAAAACTGACATCGAATTTAACAAATAGTATTTTGAGTGTTTAGTCTTAAAAATGAAATACACTGTAGTGATCTTACTTGAGCTGATGCAGTCATTTGTATTTTTGGAACTACTTTAAGTCGGCAACAATATATTCATCTACCAGGCAGTCAGTGGTTTTAGCCGTACACACTCAAATAGTGAAAGTAGACCATAATAATTCAAAGCTGTTTGATTTAAACATTGCTCTGTGAAATCAACTATCCGTAAACAGAATGCTGTTGGCACGGAGCGGATGATCTGCAGGGTGATGGCTGTGGAGTGTGTGATCTCGCACTCTGTATTCCTGTAAGGACACAGCGAACAGATGCTCATGCTGGCTAGCCATGATTTAATTCATTATGACACGAGTCCAGGCCTGAGACCCAGACTCTCAGGGGCGTCCAGAGAAATATATCAACACTGATTCACCTGTGCTAAACCATTCTTCCATCAATTCATCCGGCTTTCATCTAATATCCAATTACTGCTGCATCTATATCTTCATTCTTTACTCATTTACTGCAGTAGATATGTCATTTTGCTAGATATAAAGTATATATATTCTCACTGGCTGAAATATAAAGCTTTCTCAACTGATTAGGTTTAAACAAAGAGCATGACATTCTTGGAGTTGGCTTCCTGTAGCAGTGCGTCACTAATTGCTAGCTGGCACTAAATAACCAAATGTTGTCTTTTCATTGTTTCCCTTCATATCCTGTTTCTCTTAGTATTCAGTACTAACGGGCTGCCTACAAAATATGAAAACAAGACCACAATTCACACACACATATTCTCCAGTGAGGTCATATTCAAACGCCTCTCTTTTGTGCCTTGGCTCCTGTTCTTTCATGTGTCCACCTGTGGTTTCTTCACTTATCACCTACACCCACACACAGTCGACAAGACACACACACACACACACACACACACACACACACACACACACACACACACACACACACACACACACACACACACACACACACACACACACACACACACACACACACACACACACACACACACACACACACACACACACACACACACACACACACACACACACACACACACACACACACACACACACACACACACACACACACACACACACACACACACACACACACACACACACACACACACACACACACACACACACACACACCACACACACACACACACACACACACACACACACACACACACACACACACACACACACACACACACACACACACACACACACACACACACACAGTATGCAGTACCTGTGGCTGTGGATGAGGGCATTGAAGGCCAAGCCATCATTCCAGCTGCTGGAGAAGTTAACCACATTGACCTGAGGACAGAGATAATGGTTATTAAAGGGCCAACCTGTGAATGCAGTGTGACACTCACTGTCGAAACGCTGTCGCCTCAATGCTGGTTCCATTTTCATAGGTAGATATTACATCGTAGAGACATTTTCTTCTAAAATTACAAGTCTGAGCTATAATACATGGGGTTACAGAGTACTGTAGCTAACAATGGGTTTCAAATGTAATACAAAGCGACTCTGAGCTCTGGACGTGCATGTACTCAGAAGAAAAGTCAAAAAAAGCAAAGATAAGTTATTTATGAGAACGCCCATTGATTTATTTTGGGATGTCTAGAAGATTTTAGTAATGAAAGCTAACCAACATTAGCTTATTTAACTGTTAATTAATTGTGTCCTAATAACCAAACTGTATAAAAATGTCTTACTTGATTGCTACACACATGATATTATACTAAAAGACTTTGGAAAAAATGACATGTTACTTAAATGAAAAGGCTTTTACAATTAGAACTAGCTGATCCCCTAAAGGACAGAGAAGCTACTCTTAGCCTAAACTCAGATATAGTAGCTTGTTGGCCTCTCTTTATTTATGTGTTAGTCCTGAAATGAATTCTTTGTAATGATAATAATGATATTGTCCTTGGCTTTAACAGTAACCTCAGGCTTTTTCTGTAGATAGTTAGCGGGACTTGCTCATATATTAAAAGCTTACATTGGAGACACACAGACACACCTCTTTTGCTCCTGTATTGTTTGTTTTGGGAAGGTCAAATCAAATACAGATGTTTTAATAGATAAGATTAGAGAACACTTAAAATAAAAAATGTTTAGACACTAGACTTCTACAAACTACATGTGGAATTTGTATTTTAATGGATTCATATTTTTAGGACAAGCCTCTCTGTCTTTTAGTTTCATACTTAGGGCTATGAAATGATAATCATCTGATGGCACTAAACCCAGATCTGGATCACCACCAGAACTAATCTATCTGTCCATCTGTCAAACCACTTCCGCAGAAATCTGTGCAAGAGGGCTTTTATAAATCCAGTCAGGCAGATAGAAAAAATATGTCACTGTGGCAAAAATATTGTATGTAGAGCACCAATGAGACTTGTCGCCATTGCTTTTAGGTGAAGAAAGAGTTTTGCTTGACATTTACATGGTCTATTATTCAGAGGACTATTTTTTATGGTGTCACAGGACTATAGTTTCCTGAGATGCATGAGAGACTGCTGCAGAAGAGTCAGTGAGACAACAGTGAGACACCCTGTGGATTGAGGATAAGACTGAGTGAGAGGAAACAGACCTGAGGGTACTGGCGCGTGTTCTGACGAACCCAACTCAGCAGAATCTTCTCACTGTTGGTCTGCTGTAGGCCCGCCATCACATCCTTCATCACATCCTTTACCTGGACACACAGACAAAGCAGGGCTGGTGTTAAAAATGAACATTTATTTCTTCACTAAGTGTACTAAAGTGCATTGTTAATTAGAACTTTGATTTGACTGTGATGTAGACCCTGTGTTGTTGCAAATACAAATCTTAAACATTCCCACTATAAAGCACAGACAAAAAGGATGTGCTGTCAGTTGGAGTGGGATAGTAAGGCAGCAACATACACAAACAAAGATCCAGTAGAAACACAATATCCATCTAGAGAGAACAGACATGAACAGTTAGTAGTTGGTTACTGTTGGCAGTTCCCACCAAACACACCCATAACCACTCTTTCTCACACTCATAAACTCAGACACGCACCACATTTTAAAAACTCTCCTCATAGTCACAACAACAGATTATGATCCATGCTAATATGATGCCTGGCGATGTGACATTACCATAAAATTGCCATTTTTTAAATACCTGCTGCTTTCTAGCAAAGTTTTGACGTGGCCTGTCAGTAGATAATTTGCATATTCCCACACACACACAAACACACGGAACTCAGTGAGAGCAGTCACAGTCAAAAGGACATTTGTGTACACACATATCCACGCACAAGTCTGTGTGTGGTTGCATCCTCACAGGCTGGATTTTTGGCAGCTGTGATTGACAGTTTTGGAGCACTTGTTCAAGGCTCAGGGGGGGGGTGAGGGAGTGAGACGTTATACTTTTCACTGCCCAGTTGTGCATTACTTATGCACATCTTACCCTTACCTTTCTATCAGCCACATATCCACTCACACAAAATAAATATTGTTTGTTTCCACTACTGCTCTTTTTCTCCCCCCACGATACCACTCAACTCCCTTTCTTTGTCTCGCTGCCCTTGTTTTTCTGCACACGCACACGCACACGCACACACACACACACACACACACACACACACACACACACACACACACACACACACACACACACACACACACACACCACACACACACACACACACACACACACACACACACACACACACACACACACACACACACACACACACCGTGTTAGCAGAGCTCAGAGCAGGGGCTGGACAGATGAGTGAAAGACAGAATGATACAAAAAATCAGTTCAAACAGGGTCAACAAAACAGCGGAGAAACTACCACAGACACACAGTTGAACTGAGATATGTCAAGTAATAGAGTTAGGAAGAGAGAAACACACACACACACACACACACACACACACACACACACACACACACACACACACACACACACACACACACACACACACACACACACACACACACACACACACACACACACACACACACACACACACACACACACACACACACACACACACACACACACACACACACACACACACACACACACACACACACACACACACACACACACACACACACACACACACACACACACACACACACACACATAGAGGTAATAGACTTTGATGTAATTCGGTGTTGAGGTGAATTCCCAGAAAGAGGACACACACACACAGGTTTGTTAGCAATTCCTCAAAGAATGTGGAGTGCCGGGTAAAAAAAAAAAGGGACTCATTTGGGAGTAGGTCACTGCATGCATTTCCACTTAATTGGATGGGCGCTTTGACAAAGACACACACACAGACACACCCACACACACCCACACCTACATACTGACAGAGATCCACACTCAGACTGGCATACGTGCCCACACACAAGACGATGATAACCTCCAGGGCATAGCAGCCTTTGACAGGCAAATTCACACAAACACATTACATACACAGACACACACATGCTATACACAAACATTCTCACTCACAGCTCATTACAGAATTGTGTTTTGCTATTAATCGCGTCATTAAGTCTATGCCAAAACTAGCGTGATTGAGACATTAGCCTCTCTTCAACTTAATGAGGAATGAAATACAATTAAAATGTATTGTAATATGAGCAGTGAAACCACAGCCTTTACATGGAGATGGTTTTAAACAGAGTCCAAAAAAGATTATGAACTTTAAATACAGCTTAAGGGGAGAATGAGCCAACAGCTATTTTGTTGTTTAATGCATTGGCAGAAAGATGAAAGCTCTATTATATAAAAAGAAAAGATTAAAGGAAACTTCTGAGCGCCCTGTACTGTTTTTGGTCACACATAAATGTGGCTGATGGATGTACTTTTCTACAAAGTTATGATGTTGAATACCTGACCTCGGAATACCCTCCTGTTTTGTTCAGAAATACAAACAAATATGATTGCAAAGAAAAGTGCATTTTAATCATATGGTAGAAGGTGAGCATAAGAATGCAAACTAATTGTTTCTTCTGCCAAATACTAAAAGCATTCTGGCAATAAATTATATAAAATATTAAAAATAAACAGTATTTGAAACCAAATGTCTTCGGTATATAACCATCTTAGCTTATTATTTAATTAAACAGATACCTATAGTAAATCAATAAGAACAAAAGTATTTTTTGCATCATAAAGAAAAAGGCATTTTCAACTGTTGTTAGAGTGATACTTTAATTGAAGCTTGTTTGTGTACACTTTAAAACTTTGTGTGGACCACTAAATAGGTTCCATTGATTTTTTCATTTTTGTAATTACAAAGTAAAATGTATATGAACACAATTTGGAGTTCAGGGAAATTGCAAAGCTTTATTTTCTGTTTTGTTTGACTCATTGCAGTTGGAGTAAATACTCATTAAAGTCAAATTAACGAAGCAAAATTGTCTGCCTCTGCAGAAATATTGACCCTTTACCAAAATGTGCAAACTCTTATTGTCTCTAAATCCCTCCAGGGAGCAGCATGCTAACATATTCTTACACACACTCAGCAAATAAATACACATGACATGCATGCACACACACACCTGCCAGTGGACAATGATGCTCCAGATGAGCCCGAGAATCAGTTTGTGATTCCCATCAACGATGTCTGCCGCTCCGATATTCACCAATTCAACCTGGGGAGAGATTAACAGATTGGTTAATTCTACATTTAGTCACTTCAATTCTCGACATTTTAAGCTATAGTGACCCCTTAAAATTAAACAATTTACAACATGAGTTGAGAGCAAATGAACAAATTGATAAACCCTTCCACCTAGCTTAGTCTAATTATAGCTTAGCAAATTGCTCCACTTTAGTATTTTTCCAACTGTGAATAAGGTATTCAAGCATGGCCTGTTTTAGCAGAACTTGGCATACAAACACTCTGAACTGAAGCATGGTGTGTGTTTTTCCTTGAGCAAAAATGCAAGAGCAAAAGTTCAAGGAATAAATTATGTGTGTTGGCTCTTACGCAAGCTAAAAACGTTAGCACCGCATGGCTAACTAGCTTGCTACAAAGTAACTAGCTTACTACCAATTAAGCTAGCTAGCCCTGCGTGCTAACGTGTAGCTAACACACGCTAATTCCTCAAAGTAGTATATAATATATATATAACAACATTATTGTTTGTTTAAGATAGTTAACACTGAGTTAAAACATACAGTTTTGTTAGCAGCAGTCGTTTCAGCTGACACAATCCATGCTTACCTCTTTGTGAATTGAATACCATTTCTTAAAACACTTAACAAAAATGAGTGCTGAATGGGCAACTGTATCATTGTAAATAACATGCTTTGTAGCTCTACAGATAGAACACTGAATGGAGCTTAGTCACTTCAACAAAGGGGTGTTTTTTTAATTTATTTAACATTTTAGAAGCCATACCATTATTTCACAAATAAATAAATCATAAAATAAGGAATTTAGTGTAACAAAAAATATTTCTAGCATGTATAAAAAAAATCTCTTATTACTTTCATCCTCTAATGACCACTTAGACTATGACTTTATGCAAGAAAAATGCATAACCAATCTGTCTTTGCTATTTTAAAATGCATGGTGTGGTAACCCACATTTGAGCTATCTTCACTTAATTAATATATTCTTATAAAGATAGAAAATTTTACATTAGAAGGGAAAGCAAGGCAAGGCAACATAATGGGGGAAATGCTTAAGGATAAATGAGGCAAAAGAATAGTTGTGGTAAGGGAAAAATACACAATAAGAAAGAGAGTAAGAAGGGGTGTTTTTCTCAGACAGGAAAATAAATGCATCCTGGAGGAGACAGGTGTAAAGGTATGTGGCAAGTTGGAGAGGATAGAGAGAAACATGAAAGGCCTTGCAATTTAAGCATTTCACTGTCTGAATCCAACCACTGATTTATATATAGTCAAATCCATAGCCTTTTATAATGAACTCAAACGGCGATGAAGAGAAATATGTATGCGTCAATACATGTACTCACATTGTTCTTCTGCAAGATCTGCAGAGCACGGTTGACATTGTTGAGCGAGTGAACGCGCGAGAATCCTCTCTCCAACCTCACCTACAAACAAAAACACACACACACAGACCAGACAGTGGAGGTTATTGAGGCATAAAGAGACCTTGCTCAGGGGCATCCACAAGTGCTACAAACAACCACATTACAATAAAAGTGTGTGTTTTAATGTGTCTGTTTGCCATTACAATAGGAGATGGTATCAAACAAAGAACAAGGATGATAACATCTTTCCCTGAGATAGAAGTGGGGTAGAGTGAGACAAAATAAGTGAGAATAACAAGAAGGCAGGAGGGAGGGATTCCAGCAAACAGACAAGGCGCAGGAGGAGAAGAGAGCTGGAGGGGGAAATAAAAACAAGGTGGGAGTAGAAGTTTGATTACCACAGTGGGCCGCGCTGCTGTGTGTATGTTTCCTTCTAAGAAGCAGATTAGTATGTTAATCTTGACATTTGGCATTTATTTACCAGCTTATAAATGTACCAGTGATGATTTTGGTTCAGAGAGGTGGGATGGGAGGCATTATGAAGTTTAACATCATAACAGTTACAATCTACCAGGTCAGTCAGGTGGAAAAATACAATTTATTTTGTTACTAATAAGGAGTGCAATTAACATACTGGGTGAAGTGTTATCTGACGTGGATTTAAAACTGTATAATCAGCAGAGTTATCAATGTGTGATAAGAAATGTGGCAATCTTTCCATATCTCCTGGAAACTACAGCAGTACCTCTCGGGATACAAGCACAGATAGTGAACATGTCTTGGCAACATATTGGCACGATTTCTTTTCAATGTTTCAAAAAGTACTAATTTGTGCAAAATTGGAAAGTGCTGTATCTGGTGATGCCATGGGGAAATTTAAACAGATATGAAAACAGTTAATTCAGACACTAAATGCATTTCTTAAATTTGATTTTTGGCCCAAAAGGAAAAAGAATGAAATGATTCAAAATTTCATTTAGTCGATTTCCCTACAGTGTTGCTTGACAGGGAGAAATACTGTTGGAAGTCCAGTGACCCTAAATCATTATTAAAGCACAAATGGGTCCTAATATTGGGTTTTTCTTCAGGCCCTCTGCAGTCCACTGTGTTAGATTAAAGAGGTTTAAACTGCGATGTGTCAGTCCAGAGTTTGTTCAGTCCCTGATACAGATTTAATAGTGCTAACCCTATAATAACCTATTAATTCAAGCAGGTTAGTGGCATTGTTGTGTAGTTGACACTGAAACAAGAAGCATTTTCCCTCTTCTAACATGTTTCTAAGCTTCAAGTTTTTTGTTTAGCAATGACTGCTGATTTCTTATATTCTTATTCAACGGTTGCCCAGAGGAATCTTTGTCTCTTTTTGGTTCTTTCAGTTGTCAATCTGGTGGAACAATTGTACAGCGTGTAAAAAATAACAACTATTTGTAAAGAGGGCTTACAAACACAATTCAAACACATACAGTAGAGAGTACTTTCCCACTTTTTTTCAATATGATAATTTTGTATACTGTCGTTTTAATCTGCTACTGTGAATGTTGTTTGTGCATAGGGAGGGACACATTTGAACCATCAATACAGTGTGTGTGTGTGTGTGTGTGTGTGTGTGTGTGTGTGTGTGTGTGTGTGTGTGTGTGTGTGTGTGTGTGTGTGTGTGTGTGTGTGTGTGTGTGTGTGTGTGTGTGTGTGTGTTCATGTTCATACCAGCTCATGTCCTGACAGCCCCTCCAGCAGCTCCAGCAGGCGTCTTCCATCACACAGGTCTGAGAACAGATTCTCCACAGGGGGTTTCCCTGTCTGAAACACAGATATTTATGAATAAAAGTTATACTTCTGCAATATTTAAGTCTGTAGAAGAAATGTACATCAGTTGCTGGGAGTCAAAAGAGACTGTCATTTCTTCAGTAAGCACAAACTGACTCTGTGTTAAATGTGAAGATAGCAGTTAATACCCGAGAGGCTGCTCCTTATCAGTGCTGGTAAATCTGGGATTACAAGCTAGCAGTTACTTCACATTTTAAAAAAAAATGCTGCAGGCGGAGTGTCTTCTCTGGTGCCTTCACAGCCACCAGAGTGAAGGGAACAGGAGCTACTTCAGTACATAAAAAATACAGTACATCACAAAATAAAAAGTTGTATTTGTATTTCTTTTACAGCTATAAAAAGTAGAAAACTACCTACTATCAGGCTTCTTTCTAATATTTTTGAAAGGGTACCTTCTATGAAAGAGTGCCAAACCTGAGAAATGAGTTAGCATTAAACACTTCTGGGCTCTCTCGGCTGATTTTTTCAAATGTGTTTTTGGTTAGAATTCTAAAATAAGGTCATATTTTGCTTGTATTCAGGTCATATTAGTATGTAGTGTCTCTACTGTGACATGTCTCCATGCTTTAATGTTCAAAAAGCTCTTAATTCTTCTCATACTGCCTGTGCTGCAGCACCTCTTTTCACCCTCTGTCTGAAACCAGAGCATGGTCTGCTCTGATCGGTTAGCTGGCCGGCTCTGTTGTGTTAAACATCACCATTATATCTCACATATGTTTTACCTCAGGAGTGTCCACAGGGCTACAGCTCTTAACTTGAGGCTGATCAATTAGTTCAATTTAACTTGAATATTGCATCTGACCTTCACATGCCTACGCTTTATTAGAGGTGTCATAACAGATTTGAGATCAGCTAATCTGGACTAATTTTCTCGCAACACTTGATTTAGCATGGTGAGCAGAATGATTGCATTATTTGAAAATATAGCCAAAACCTAATGAAGTAAGAAATTGTGAGAAAGTGTGAGAGGAATTGGCAAGACAGGAAAAGAACAAGGACAGTAAGCAAAGCAAAGCTTCATTGCTGCATTGTTTGCCAGCAGCATCATATAAAAAAAAAAACATCATGAATCTTCCTTGTATTATTACTGTCCTTACTGTGGCAGAGATCTCCTTTGTGCATCAATCACACATCATTACAACAAGGTCTGCCACAGGAAGAAGCAGAAACTACCCACAATATAGAAAGAAAAAGGAATTCACTTTTCTATAATGAAGGAATTCTGTTATCCATCTTCTGTGGATCTTCCTATCAGTTTCCTCGTTTTCCTTTTATTTCTGCTCTGCCTCCATCTCATATTTTATACTCCCCTTCACATTCTCTCACATCTCATTCTCTTCCTCTAATGTCTCCTCTTTTCCGCCCTCGACCTACGCCTCTCGGCATTGTCCTGAGACTCCACGTTATTGAGTTATTCTCCATTCGCCAAGGCAATGTGTGTGTGTGTGTGTGTGTGTGTGTGTGTGTGTGTGTGTGTGTGTGTGTGTGTGTGTGTGTGTGGTGCGCTAGATGCATTATCCGAGTGTCTTGTGGACTGTGTGTGGGTGTAGGTGATAAGTGAAGAAACCACAGGTGGACACATGAAAGAAAAGGAGCCGAGGCACAAAAGAGAGGCGTTTGAATATGACCTCACTGGAAAATAGAATATACAAACGATAAAACCATCACACAATTCTCTTTCCTTCTTAATTTTCACAATAAACTCAACAGTTCTTTAGGTCTTTTCTGGGCTGAATGGGTGTTCCCATAATGCAGCTCTTGGAAATGCTTGAACTTTAGAAATCGTTCCAGCACTTATAACTGAAGAATCCTCAGAAATGTACTCAAACACATCATAATCTCCATCCAGAGCAGATGCTTTCTTTTGCAGCAAATCCAATCAAAATGTTTTGCATTCTTGTTGCATCTACCTCGGATTTCTTAGAAAGATCTGCGTCATGGCAGCAGAGAGGAAGCATACAGTAAGATAGCATTATATATTATATAAAGCACACATAATGAAACATGTCAGACCATATCTCACTACTGTTGTTGCCTGCTTACAAGCAGAAACTTAAAAGGGACAGACCGATAACAAGGACAGTACAACGATGGAGCGAGGAGTCAGATTCAGCACTGCAGGATTGCTTTGCATCCACGGATTGGAGTGTGTTTGAGGACAATAACATCAACACACACACGGACACTGTCATCTGCTACATTGGGAAATGCATCGATGACGTGGTACCGAAGGTTTCTGTACGGACATTCCCAAATCAAAAGCCCTGGGTAAACGGTGAGGTGCGCGGCAAACTGAAAGCGCGCACTCTCGCGCACACAGCGGGAGATTTGGAGGAGTACAGGAAGTCTAGGTATGATCTCCGGAGAGCAATAAAAAATGCAAAGAGACAGTACAAAGAGAAGGTGGAATCTGACTTCAAAGGCTGTAACACTAGGAATATGTGGGCGGGACTAAGGACAATGACTGACTACAAAGGAGCAGCGGGGGGTGCTGCGGGAGTGTCTGCGTGCGCATCTCTCCCAGATGAGCTAAACAGTTTTTTTGCACGCTTTGAGAGCAGCCAGGCTGTGGAGGTACAGAGGGACCAGGAGCTACACTGCCCTTTTGTTTTAAATAGGGCAGATGTGTGTAAATCCTTTAAAAGGGTTAACCCACACAAGGCTCCTGGACCTGATGGCATCCCTGGCCGTGTTCTCAGGGTGTGTGCAGTTCAGCTGGCAGAGGTGTTCACAGACATCTTCAACAGGTCCCTGCTGCAGTCTGTAGTCCCCACATGTCTTAAACACTCCACCATCATTCCTGTCCCCAAAAAGACAATCATCACCTGCCCCAACGACTACCGCCCAGTAGCACTCACCTCCATCATAATGAAGTGCTTTGAGCGGTTAGTCAAATTATTCATCACCTCCTCCCTCCCTGAATCTCTGGACCCCCTGCAGTTTGCCTACAGAGCAAACAGGTCCACAGACGACGCCATAGCCCTCACCCTCCACACTGCCCTCTCACACCTGGACCCGAAGAACAGGAACACATATGTGAGAATGCTGTTCATTGACTACAGTTCAGCATTCAACACCATTGTGCCCTCCAAGCTGGCCATCAAGCTCAGAGACCTCGGGCTCAACAGCGCCCTCTGCGACTGGATCCTGAACTTCCTGACGGGCAGACCCCAGGCAGTGCGGGTGGGAAACATCACATCCTCCACCCTGATTCTTAACACCGGTGCCCCTCAAGGCTGCGTGCTCAGCCCTCTCCTCTACTCCCTGTTCACCCACGACTGCGTGGCCACACACAGCTCCAACACCATCGTGAAGTTTGCTGATGACACGACCGTCATCGGCCAGATCACAGACGATGACGAGACGGCATACAGAGAGGAGGTCGAAAACCTGACATCTTGGTGCCAGGAGAACAACCTCCATCTCAACATCAGCAAAACAAAGGAGCTGATTGTGGATTACAGGAAGCAGCAGGGAGAGGGACACGCCCCCATCGCCATCAATGGGACTACGGTGGAGAGAGTCAAAAGCTTCAGGTTCCTTGGGGTCCACATCACTGAGGACCTGACATGGTCTCTTCACACCACCACCATCACTAAGAAAGCTCGACAGCGGCTCTTCTTCCTCCGCAGGCTGAGGTGGTTCAAAATGGATTCCAGGATACTCTGCAACTTCTACAGGTGCACGATAGAGAGTATCCTCACTGGCAGCATGACGGCCTGGTACGGCAGCTGCACCGACCTCGATCGTAAGGCTTTACAGAGGGTGGTGAAAACTGCACAGCACATCACCAGGACGGAGCTGCCATCCATGGAGGACCTTTACTCCCAGCGGCTCAGGAAGAAATCACTACGGATTATCAAAGACCCCCATCACCCCAGCCACAAACTGTTCTTTCTGTTGCCGTCTGGCAGACGTTACCGCAGCATCCGGGCAAGGACAAGAAGATTCGGAGACAGTTTCTTCCCGCGGGCAGTGAGACTGTTAAACAATTGAACTGTTGAAACAACATCAAACATTCAACTGCTACTCAGTAGTATGTATCTAATACCTAATATATATATATCATTCCAATAACTTGTATATAGACTCATACTGCACTATTCCACATCATAACTTTATTTCATTTTTATAACTATTATTATTTTTGTATTGCTCTTGCTCTTATTGTTATTATGTTATGTTATTATGTTGCATTGTTGGAGAAGCCTGTGACATAAGATTTTCAACTGCATAATTACTCTGTAGCTATGTCAGATTGACAATAAAGAACCTTGAACCTTGAACCTTGATGTGAGTCCATTTTCATGTTGTGATTTCACTGCTTTGCTGACACAATCATGAAACTATCCCTAACTTTAAACAGAGGGAAATCAGCACAAAGTCAACTAAGGTTATAATAGCGATATTGCAATATGCCAGTTTCTGTATAATAAAGTTGAGGATTATCATACCGTGTACATTTTCTGATATAGGGAATTGAAAAAAGTAATATTGTGATTTATTAAAAAAGTTTCTTATGCCATCATTCATTTAAAAAAAAAAAAGCCAGAAAAACAGTCTGCTGCTGTGAATGATACATTGTTGAAAAAAAGAATAATAACGAACAGACCCTTCTGGATGTACCAACAGTAGTTGTGACGGGAGCTAAGGGCAGCCTGTTCTCTGCGTCTGCCAACAGATAAGTGTGAAATCACTGCTGCTTCTGAGACACACTCTGCCCTGATTTGTTTTAGCACTTATGTTTCCTTTTATCGTGTTCCAACAACAACTGGAATTACATCCACACACAAATACAAACACACACCATCCACTGACACACACACACACACAGTTTATACACATCCTACAGGTTTATCTGCATGACTATGGGGTGTATAGAACATGTTTTATCTAACAAAATTCTGCAGCTCATTTCTCCAGCCTGTATGTTAAAGTATTAGTCACTCTTTCTAAAGGCACACTTCTGGTGA